CCACGTTGTTGTAGTTGTCAAATTGAACTTCATTGCACGCCAATGTGTGCACTCGAGATGGACGAATGGTTGGACTGGTTGATTGTGCTTGGATTGGTTGACATGCTTGGACTGATTGATCGTGGTTGTGCTCGTGTTCATGCATTATAGATACTGTTCTGGACCCGTAATGTCATTCCGCGTGTTTTATGACAAACTGATGTGAAATTGAGAGACTCCTCTACACTAAGGTATTGCAATAGACGATCACGACGCCGCTCAGCGGGCCACTCAGGGGCTATGATCGACACGCTCATATAGGGCGCCGAAAATCCAGCATTTCTGCCCGAGATTTGCGAGTTGCCCAAATCTCGTCCTAAGCCCAGCATTTGCGCTCGAATACGCGACGAGCCCAAATTCAAAATTTACGAGTGTCGTATATTTGCATTTCAGACACCATTTACGACGAACCTACTGATAGCATTCTCGGCCGAGTTTACGGTGGCCTCGTATGGTAATCCCGTTTTTGAACTTTGGTCTTGCATATTGTCTCACCCCTTATCCGTCGTCTCTTAACTTGAATACACGCCCGTCCCGTGTTCTACGTTTACGCCCGAGATTTTCGGCGGGCCAATATCCTGCCTTATATGGATACTTTAGGCTCGAATATCCGCTGACCCCAAATTGCGTCCTATCGGTCACAATTTGGGAAAGCATTTGAGCCCCATTTAGGGCGTTCCCATTCCGGCACATGTCTCCGGTGATACACACCACGCAGAGCGTGTCAGCCGTCGGCGATCGCCGAAATTTCTAGCTGCGTGTCGGGTGGGCCGGGGCCCGCTTCGAGCCATCGCGAAGGCGCACATACTCCAACATATCATGATGTCGCAGATCCCTCATACGATACGGTCAGAGCGGGGACAAGGCAGACGGCAACGCGCATCCTCGCAAAGTCACACATTCGATACGGTCATCCAGGCTGTGAGTTCAGCTCAGAGGTTGAGATTGGCCTGTCGTTTGAAGGTGAGATATTACAGACTCGAAGGCCACGCTCGCTCACGTTCTCACGTCACAGGGAGCTCGCGTGATGGGCACGGGGAACAGCTGGCCAACTCCCAGTCTACGCGCGGATTCTCGTCAGCGTCCTTGGCATCGATGCGTCGGACCTGGTAAGTGATCCCCAGCTGCAGACCGTCAATCTCTAGGGCAAGGGCAGCCGGAAGAGGGCACGGAGCATACAACAGCAGCTAGGAGATAGTACGATCCTTTCACTGACGCACGGGCCATGTACTGTACATGCGCTACTTAGGTTCAATGCATCGCTATGGCCGCGCCGAGCGCTCAATTTACGCGGACTCGCCACTGAGGCGGTCCGAGCAGAGCAGGACAGAACCTAATATGCTTCTAGATCTCACATGAGGCCTGCTCGAGGCCGTGTGGTTGACGCGATGCATCGCATTCAGTCAGATTCATAAAGGACTATCGCTGCGTGTGAGTTCAAGAGCCACTGTTGCGTCGCCCTTCCTGATACAATCTCTACGCTCAACCGGGGCATCCCTTCGATCCTGATTCACGACATTCGTACTCCACTGCCACTTCCTCTCCAAGTAGTGTCACTGTCGCGCTCACGTCCGACGCGGCTCAATTAGAAGCGCCTTGCTCCGGTGAGATCACAGTCGTATGTTATCAGGCAAGTCATCGTCTGATCTTTGCGTGGTGTCAGTAGAGTATCTTGGCGTCTGCCGTCGGTAATTGGATTGAACGGCACTCAAGCTTGCACTAGGTGAGTCCGTCCCAGTAAGGTGCGAGCTGGCATGATCAACTTGCATGGCCGTTCAGTAGATGGGCGGTACCACGCACAACGAAGACAAAATGGCCAAGAAGCTCGAGATTTACTACAAGCCGCCCACGTACTCAAGGTGCGTACCCATTCTATGTATGCTGTCCAAGTATCAGTGAAGGTGACACATACCAATTATGCTAACTTCCTGTGCGTGCAGAGACAACTATCCGCGCTTTGCGCACGAACTTGTCGAGCGCATCGTCGACTTCCTTTGGGATGATCCCAGGGCATTTGCGGGGTGCTGCCTCGTTTGCCACGCGTGGTACTGCGCTACACGCCCGCTCTTCCCTACGATGGCGGACGATCACCGATTTATCCATAAAGAGAGTTTCATGCAATACTCAAGACTCCTCGCCCGACCAAGATACTTGCCCTTTTTCAAGGTTCAAATCGCATCGCTGAGACTTCATGGAACGTTCGCGCACTCCTGGGTGATGCACATTCCCCTAGGTTTGTTACCTCGACTATCGCTCCTCGTGCTCTGGTATGCGGATTGGGTAGCTATCAACCCCCAGCACTTCCTCCGTCTCTCGAATTGCATTCGATGCGAGTCCTGGAACTTCGCTTTTTCCGCTTTCGCCACGCGCTCGACCTTCGCAGGATGATCAATGCACTACCCAACCTCTCAGAGGTGGTTCTTGATGAAATAGCATTCCAGCACCCTTCCCTTGGCGTGCACACAGTCCACCCACTTCGATACTCCTTATCAAAATTCGAGCTCAACAACGTGCGCTCGAGACGCGCACTACTATTGTTGACATTGCTCAATTCGCGAACATGCCATCAATTACGAGAATTTGTTATCTCGCTCGCGGGCCGACCGTGTGCAGAACTTATAGCACATGTTACCAGCATACTGCAAATTACAGGAGCTGCACTCGAGAAGTTCTTGTGGTGGCATCTTCACGGTGAAGGTAATGTTCCTCAGCACTCACTGTATCTGAAATTCATCATGATTGCTCACCGACGTAAACGTAGCCTTCGAAGCCGTACCGCGATTATCAGCGAACACGTCACTGGAGGAACTAGACCTGGCCCTGTGCCTTCCTTCGTCGCCGCAGATCATACAAAGGGCTCTCGAGGCCTTGCTGTCCGACATCACCAGCCCGCGTCTGCGGCGAATTTCGCTTTCCATCTGGCTCAACCAATCTAAAATCCTCCAGGATGCAAATGAGGTCCCTGTCTCCCCAGCAGACACGACGAAGTCTATTCCCACATTCCACGCCGTGCTGTCGCGCGGCATCTATGACCGGCTTCCAAAGAATGGTGTTGATGTCTACTTCTCTATGTCAAAAGTAGAGCCAGAGGCTAAGCACATAATGTCTGGGATCAAATTCCACATCTTCGCTCTTTTTGCACCGTGGTTGGCCCGTAACAACGTTCTGAAACTCAAGTTCGATCCCGATCCCGATCGGACATCACCATTCACACTTCCTTGGGTTGACTCTGAGGTGAGGCACATTGCTTCTTCAAATCCATAAGCCCGACTGCGACTTGCTCAGCCCGCTGATCAGCTCAACCCAGATAGCATCGCCGGATCAGGTCGGAGTCAGGACGGTCGCAGGAAACGACTCGGAAGACGTAAGTCGGGGGGCGTAGATGTAGAATGTGAGAAGGCAGAGAAAACGGCAGACGATGGACGAGCGAGTGCAGAATTCCCCGCGCAATATGTATGCCGTCGTTTCACTATCTATTCCAAAATGCTACGCTAGAAACACGGGTCTCGGAAAGATAAGCACGGGCGGAGCGCTGAGCACTCACGTCGTGTCTTGGTGACGCGTTGCAGTGAGTAGTGTACCACTGCATTAGTCTCCTCATCGGCCCTACAGCTTCCAGCTCCTTCCACAGTCGTAAGGCTCGACGATAACCGACCGCAGGGCACGCGCCGCGAGACCGTTCTAACGTATCGCTATCCGTCTCAAAAGGGAACCATCCTACTAGTAGCGTGGCGATGGGAAGCCTCCCTCTGGTTCGGTTCTACGTTCAATACACACAATCGCTCTGCGATGGGACCGCTCCCTTCCCTGCGAGCCGTGGCGGTAGACGATTCTCGGAGCTGGAAACGCTCCGGCCATGAGTGAACAGCAGGAGGACCACTGTGGTTCGTACTCCCGCGAGTCACACGGTAACAATGTACTAACTTTACGCTAGAGGTGGGGCTCTAGTGCTTCGCTACAAAAGCTCAAGGCTCTAGTTGTAAAGCTTCGGGGGCCGCGCGAAGGGTCCGTCGAGCTGCGCAGGCCGCGCACACATCTAGAGGGGAGAGGCTCCATCTCTGAATGAGGAACGACGCCGATCGACATATAGATCGCGCACGAGGAGAGGACGGAGACGCAGTCTCACTGTGCAAGCCCGGTGGCCACAACGGGCCACAACGACGGGTCGGCTACGTGTCCTCCTGGAGGAGAGACGGCGACCGGAGGTGTCAGCGAGTGAACGAGGGGAACGATCCTCTATATACAAGCCCGGGGGCAGCCAGCTGTGGATGGAGGTCGTTCATGAGGGAAAAGAACCGGAGAGACGACTCGGAGCGTGAGAACTAAAGACAGTGTCCATTCAAGGTGCTTACGATACATGCGAGGATGCATACCGGCTTACGTATGAGTCATGAGTCATGATGTCGCCGTGTGTCCTAAGTATCAAGTTCCGTTGGATTTGCCTGAAGAAGTGTGTACCAGCCGCGTGTATGCTCGAGGAATATACACGCACAATCATGATGTGTTTACCGCAGCGCGATGATGCACAGCTGCACGCGCAGAGCGAGGATGATGAGGTTCTGTCTTCTGCCTCGCCCTTCTCGCCGCAGGCCATTCCGCGAGGCTATACTGCATTGACGGTTCCGAGTCGTCTGAAGACTGCTTTCATAACTTCGCTTGAAGCACGCCTGACGGAACTACTCGTTCAATCCGAGGTATAAAATCTCGCATATGACACAGCAGTTGACTCACATTCCCCTTCGTCCCCAGGTCTGACTCCAGAGACGGGGACTCGTTCCCGCGAGAACATAAAAATCCTCACTTCAATCTACCACTCCATCGGCCTACCACGTGTCTTCCGTGCGTTGACCCATAACGCAATGGATACGGGCGGTGCGAGGACGTCGGTATGGTTCGTAACTGCGAGGAACCGACCATGGAGCACCTCCAGGCTACGAGATCAGGTCCTGGGGCCTTGCTTCATAAACGCAGCAATCCGACCGAGCATATATTGAGGTATTAACGGGATACGGTGAGTGCTATTCTGTACACGAGTCACGTAGAGTCGCTGGGAACCCGGAGTAGAACCCAGGATTCGGAGCGAGAAAGGGCATACGGCATGACCCGGTCTGCGTGAAGACGGACTCGAGAAGCTGCATCACGTTCGCCGCGGATGTACACGCCAGCAATTTGAAGCTGATTGGACAAGTCTTGCGGTTGAGCGCAGCCGCGGTCTGCTTCTCCTGCACGTTCACGGGTGTATTGGGTTTCGCAGCGAAGAAGTGGGGGGATGCGGGTGAAAGGTGAGCGTGAACGAACCCGACATAGCATCGCACCCACATGCGGCGAACGGCTGTTGCATGATCGCCGTCCAGTAGGGCACTGATCTGCGTCGAGCTCTGAAGCGGGTCTACGACAGGTGAGTCCTGACCCAGCAGAACTTCTGACGCGATAGAATTCAGATGGGATACGGCAGAATTTGATTGCAACGAATGAACACACAGTATTCGGTAGAAGATGGGCGGCTTCGCGACAAGCACGGCTTACCTCGAGCCGTGCGTGTCGGACCATAGAACTGTATCTTGGTTGAAGCACCGAGGCGGAAAGGTGGTAGCACTTCAACATTGGATAAGTTAGTAGGTGCCGTGGAAAGCTAGCAGGACATACCTCGTACGCAGCCATGTCCAGCTGAAACAATGGATTGACGGGAAGGCAAGGCTCGAGAGCACGAACAAGTCCGTTCATCCGTCCCGCACGCCCACGCGCAAAGTGCTACTGTACCGTGTCGGTATGTGGCCCTTGGCTGGAAGTTTGACCCGACCTGCAGGAGACGACTCGGTCCTCTGATCGCAACGAAGATCCTGGCGCGGAGTGCGAATAACGTACCACGGAGCGAAAGGAACTTGTTGTGGTGTATTGGCTGGTGTACGTACGAGCACGGAGAAGAGAGGCGGAAGGGTCGCTGCAACAACTCGGGAGGAACGAGTGCCGCAATCGGGACCATTCGTAGCGTCCGGAGTGCCCTACAATAGTGGACCTATATTCGGAGAAGTGCCTTACAGATTGAACCTATATTCTGAGCTTGTTACGTCGAGATCAGTGAATGCTACTCACCGCTGCTGATACGTCGCTCCGCATCGTACTGACTCCCTGCTCCCTGCTCCTGACACAGACACCAAATCGACAGATCGACTCTGCAAACGCTACGACCAGCGATAGCCAGTCCCCCCGCCTGAATCCCATCGCAGAACAGCTGTGAGCGCAATCACTGCCAATGCATTTGCTTCGAGCTTGAGCAGTAATCGAGCATCGGTCCGTTCGAAGTAGAATTGACCGACGAAGACTGAGGTGTAAGTGGGCGCCGCCGAGGTCTAGGGAACTTCGTTTGTGTGGCCTCGGTTGCCTTGATTTCCTCCCAGGTCGTAGACGGCCCTGGCGGTCGTGAGCCGCAGCCTCAGTGTGCCATACGAGTGAGCGGCGGAGGAACGTCCGCGTCGGGCTCGGTACGCGTGCTGTATTTCCGATTTTTTGCCGAGTCTGCACGTGTCACGCGTCACTGTGTCGGTCGTTCGCTCTTGCCTCGCTCCACGATCCCCGCTGCCCACCGACGATCCACTGGCCTTCTGTCCTGAATGGATGTCGCACTGCGTCACCATACGCGCTCGCCATCGCCGCCACGTACAGCTCCCTGCCTACGGCCAACTCACCAACGACTAGCATCCGCAACACCGATTACAGCGTCCCCGCTGCCTATTCGTCTGGATCTGCTGCGTCAACTACAGTACGCATCCGCCGAATGCCTACGCTACTGCTATGTCGTCTTCTTCGGCTAGCGGCCATTCCAAGCTGCGCGGAATTGTTGCCTCACGCATACACCGCAGTACGTGCTGCAGGTCTCGCTAGTCTCCTCTTTCACTGACGTCTATATGTAGGCTCTCTTAAATGATTCATCCTGCGCTACGTGTTGTAACGCGTCCGGCGAGCGGCCTCTTCGCACAGCCCACTTCGCGGTACGTACGCGGTGCTACATCCATACCGTCTATCCTCCTCTACATCTCTCACTTTGTGCGGGCAGACTTCATGGCCTGCGATCCCGATGGCAATACCGACCTAGGTAGGCGGGGCATCAACGCCCATACGCAGGAGCAGCGGACGGATGCATGTTGACGCGCGGGAGGGGTATGGGACGCACAGGTGGTGATACTACGGTACGTCTGCGCGTCGACGTCTGTCTCGAAGATGTTATAGGTCGAACGAGACGACACTCGCTATACTCTGTATACATATGCGCCCGGGTTGGCGACGGGTAGGTGATATCGGCGATGTCGATCTCTCCGTCGTAGTCCCGCGCATACATGCTCCCAGTGTGGATCACACCGACCGACCGTCAGTACACGCCCATGGGGCGATGTTTGTACGCTAGGCATCGACGCTAGCGATGATAGGGAATTGGGCTGGACACAAGTGCATCCCGCCCAACTCCAGGCCCTCGCTCGCAGTGGTGTCTTCATAGCACCTCCTTGCCTCACGTTCTCGCGGACGGTTTCCATGAGGGCCGATAATCGATATCCTTATATGCTGTGAAACGGGTCACAGTCCCGTCTGATATATCCTTTGTTCGGGCTGAGCTGCGTGTTGGATGACTCGACGCTCGCGTCGAGTCCTCGAACTTTGTGTGAGTCGGGAAAGCGTACCTCGGCCTACGCTAACCTACCATGACATTGTAGATCTCTTCCGTGATACGGTCGCAGCGGGTTGAACTCAGTCGACAATGCGCATCTCCGTGAATCGACGCGTCCGACACGGTCGCCCCCGCTGCGAGCTTGCGCTCGTGCTCGAGCATGGGCGAGAGCTTGCCGCTCGCCTGTATCAGTATTCCACGGTGAGAAGTAAAGACTCGGAGGCCGCTCTTTCTCGCCTTCTCGCGTTGCAGGCCCGCAGCCCGAAGTTTGCGCACGACGCACAGGGCACCGCTAACCAACTCCGAGTCTGCGCGAGGGCTCCCGTCACCATTTTTGCTGACCTCGACGCGTCGGACCTGGCGGATGATACGATGATCTCTCGTTGACGCGACAGTCATCGTCCCTGACAAGCGCGCGTTCTGCGTCATGTCTACGGTCGCACAACTCATCGAAAGCAGCAGTGAAAGAGGAATCTGGAGCCGTTTCATCCAACCTCCTGCGCGGCGGTATCGATAGAAAAGACGTCCCAAGGTCTAAGTCACAGAGGAAGTGAACGTAACGTGCTACTACTCATGTCAGTGTACATGGTGGGTGTTATCGCTGTTGGCACCAAATCGCGTGTTCCCTGAGAAGCACCGAAGATGGACGCGCAGTGCAGGCCGCGCCAGTGAGCTACAGAATAGGTGCGCACACATATAGTCGGCGTACGTGCTGACACGCCCACTGAAGCCATATCCTGCGAGGAGGTCTCCGGAGATGACTGAAGCAAAGTAGTAGGGTCCTATCCAGGCCCTGTATATGGATGCCGTTGACGCGTACTACCTGCCCTTCATACCAGGGACGGGTTAAAGTCACAGCATCTAGCGGATCTTCTGGTCGCGGCGCCGGCTCTAGGTCGCTCGTAAGTGTCGTCGTATGTACTAGTCGATTCCTACGAGGTTTGATGTTCCTTCGTTTTGCAGTGCGTCTTTCATACGTCCGAAGGTGCACTGGCAGCCATGCGACTTGCTCGAAGTCTACATAGTTTTCACATCCCACGGCGCGGGGAATTACTCCGAGTCAGGCACAGACAGTAAGGTGCATGTATATGCCACAAATGTCCCGGATAATATCTGTATCTAATGCACCGCAAGCCGGTGGCGGCCCAGGGTACCCTTATGTATACCTTGCATACTCGACGTTGGTATCGGTACTGACCCGGTGAGCTACAAAACCGAGATGTAAGTAAGTGACTTGCGGTTTGATTGATCTGCAATCATGAGACAGGAGGTCGACGAAAAAGGATCTGTTCGCTCACTTCACTGACACAGAGGCCGTGCACCGTACATGCGATATGTGCGTGCTACTTAGGATCGATACAATCGCTATCGCCACATTCCGGGGCGCGCAGTCTGTGTGGACTGAGGCGGCCCGAGCAAAGCAGTACAGAACCTAATCCGCTTCTAGACCTCGCACGAGGCTAGTCTCCGTTGCAAACCATACAAGCCGGCGAGCGTCTTGTATGGCATGAGGCCTGCTCGAAGCCGTGTGGCCTGCACGGCGATGCATCGCATCCGATCATACCCATAAAGAAGGACCGCTACCCGTGAGTTCGAGAGCCACGTTCGCATCGCCTATCCTGATACTATCTCTACGCTCAACCACGGTATCCCTTTGCCCCCGATTTGCGACACTCATCATCCACGGCGCTCCCTCCAAGCGGTGTCTCTGTTGCGCTCACATCCAACGCAGCTCAAGCAGTGGTGCCTTGCTACGGTGAGGTCACAATCGCACGCTATTAGGGCAAGTCGTCTGATCTCCGCGCAATGTCAGTATAGTGTCTTGATGTCTGTCGCTGGTGATTGGCCACAGGTCGGAGAGTGTTTACGCATTGTGAGTGCTTCTTTAATAGTATGCAAGCTCGTATGATCAAATTGCATGACCGTTCGCGGCTAGTCTTTTGAGTCACTGGACCTTGAAGACGAACTGCGACAGCGAAGGATTAAATACAAGCCGCCCACATACTGCAGCGAAACCATCTCGCATCACAAGCCCGCCGCTTGCCGCAGCGGCAATGACATGTCAAGGAGGCACGTCACATTGCCCTCCTCCCCCGCCGTCAATATTGCTTTTACGCGGTTGACGCGCCCGCAGCGGGCAAAACTTAGTAAACGACAGGTCCGCCATCCAGGGGGTGGTCCACACATCACACGCGTCCCCGTCGCTGCACCAGATCGTGTAGAATTATCAGGCACACCCCCATCCAGGTTGGGTTCGCCACAGTACCCGAGGTGAGTACTCTTGTCTCTGGCACCGTGACAAGCACCAGTGTAGGCCGCGCATGACAATCATGCTAACTTCCTGTGTGTGCAGGGACAGCTATCCGCGTTTTCCGCACGAACTCATCGAGCGCATCGTCGACTTCCTTTGGGATGATCCCAGGGCATTTGCGAGGTGCTGCCTCATTTGCCACGCGTGGTATTGCGCTACACGCCCGCTCTTCCCTAGGCTTACCTACCGCGCATTTAAAGAGAAGAAGAGATTCATGGATTTCGTGAGGCTCCTCGCCCGGCCAAGATACTGGCCGTATTTCAAGGTTCGGCTCACATCGCTTGAACTTTATGGACAGTTCGCGCACTCCTGGGTGATGCACATTCCCGTGTGTTTGTTATGTCGAATATCGCGCCTCAGGTTCAGCAGTGTGGATTGGGCGACTACCAACCTCCACCCTCACTTTCTCCGTCTCTCGCACTGCAAAGATTCCGTGCAACACCTGTATCTATACCGATGCCGCTTTCGCAACGCGCTCGATCTTCGAAGGATGATCAATGCGCTACCCAACCTCTCACGTGTGGACCTTCATGAAATAACATTCCAGCACCGTTCCCCCCCCCCCCCCCATAACAGATCTGGCTACGCCCACCGTCAATATGTCCCGTCACAAACTCCGTAATATGAATATTTGCTACTCGGACGTCGACCTTGGCGCATCAGACGCCGACACATCTGGACATGCTCGCTTGCAGGATTTCCTGGATCTCTGCTCTGCATATCCCACCAACTTGTCATTATCCCTGCATTTACCATATGGCACGTACTGCCGAAGTCTGAAACCCACTGACACAGTGGCCCCCGGCGTGCACACAGTCCATCCACTTCGATACTCCTTATCGAGCTTCGAGGTTGCTAGCGTGTCCTCGAGATATGCACTACAGTTGCTAACACTGGTCAATCCGCGAACATGCCATCGACTGCGAAAATTGGGTATCCAGCTCGCGGACGGACCGTGTGCAGAACTTATGGCGGAAGTTACCAGCATACTGCAATTCTTCGGAGCTGCACTCGAGGATTTCCAATGGGTTCATAAGCAAGTTGAAGGTAATGTTCCACGGCGCTCACTGTAGCTGACTCACGATTGCTCACCGACGTATGTGTAGCTTTCGAAGCTGCCATACCGCGATTATCAGCGAACACATCACTGGAGCATCTGCGCATAGTCTTTACACTTCCACCGTCGCCGCAGACAATACAAATGATGTTCGCTGCCTTGCTGTCCGACATCACCAGCTCGCACCTGCGGCAAATCAATTTTCTCATTTATCTTGAACGACCCGGATATCACCGGGACGCAAATGTGGTCCCTGTCTCCCCAGCATACACGACAACTTCTATCCCCACATTCCACGCCATGCTTTCTCGCGGTATCTATGACAGGCTTCCAAAGAATGGCGTATCTATCCACTTCTGCCGGTCGGGAATCTTCATACCAATGCTGGAGGATGGGACCGTGATGTCTGGGATCAAATCCCACATGTCCGCTCTCTTTGCACCGTGGCTGAGTCGAGGAGTTCTGGATATCAAGTTCGAACACGACTTTAACTGGCCCTAGAATTCACTCTGAGGTGAGTTCCATTGCTTCGTTATCCAGACGCCTGGCTGCGACCTGCTCGGTGCGCTAATCAGCTCAACCCAGATCGCATCGCCGGATCAGGGACTCAGGAGGATCGAAGGAAACGAGAACGTAAGCTGGGGGTGTATATATGGATTGGGCGGAGGCAGAGGAAACGGCAGACGATGGACGAGCGAGTGCAGAACTTCCCGTGCGACGTTTGCATGCCTTCAATTCATTATCTATTCCAAAACGCTACTCTAGGAACACGGGTCTCGCAAAGACCAGTACGGGCTGAGCACTCACGTCTTGTCTTTGTGTCGCGTCGAATCCGGGGGTACCATATCAGTATCCTCGTCAGAAGTCTAAACAATCATGAGCCGCAGGGGACACACCACTAGACCCTTCCTACGCATCACTATCTGTCTCCAAAGGGAACAGTCTTATCGTGGCGACAAATCGACTCACAATAGCAGAGTCCCAAGTACTGGGATGTAGTCACATACAACACGGATCAATCTTTGTACATCATGGATAGTAGAGATATCGAACTCACCGCATACTTAGATCAGGCAGGCGGCCGCAGGCTAGTCAAAGTTGAGTGTACGTGCAAGGACACGATGCTGGCCGCGAGAGCTGGAAGCGATGCGATACCCCCTTGCAGGTCAGATATCCACCGACCATGTTCCCGGGACGCTTAAGGGCCATACGGAAGGTCGACTCCGAGTCGTCTCGGTGGGATGAGTGCGATAACTGGTGACTATTCTCATAGTCCGATCTTGTATACCTTCGACAGATCGCGAGCACCACTGCGAACGAAGTTGTCATATAATATGAATGTCGGTAACGCGGGTATGACGATCATGAAGATGCGACTGCCATTACGTACCGCACAATCACTGATTAGAGTACACGCCGTCCGTAGTAAGGCACGTAGCCAGCGCGGGCACACCGAGTGTCACAGCCTTGCGCGCCGATGTGTTAGACACAAATCATCCGGCCGCAGATCTCACCAATAGTCATAGCAAGCTCTGTAAGCGTAAGACCATTCAATTAATGCGTTCATATACATACAACTGCGAAGGGATCCTGGGTGACACATCTGCTGCCCCGCAACAGCCCGCGTAGTACTAGTGCGCTGTTTGAGCCGTTCAGACGTAAAATCTGTCCCCACACGTCGGCATCTAGACAGAGCAACGATATCAGTATCAATCACCGCAGCCAGCTTCAAGTGGAGAATCTGCTCACTCTGCGGCGCTTGAGGACGAGCTCAGACGCCCAGATACATCGTCAAGAATCCTTCGATGGCTACGTAGGTTGCTCCCGCGCCGCCCGTACGCGCCAGGTACGCCAAGGTCGGTGCTCGCTTGAGGATCCGGAATCCACTAACCGGATCCAGTTTGAGGCCGAGTGATCGTAGGAGGTCGAAGTGTCGAAAGACACGGACAATCTAAGCATGACGAGCTAGTATCAGCAGAACTCGACGTAGCCAACGAAGCAGACGCACTTAGATCACCTTCGGTGCGGGTATATGCGTGTCTCGAGGTGAAGTGATTCAGAGAGGCAAGAAGGCGGGCACTTGCCGCTGATACAGTAATGCAGACCGTGTCTTCTGTCAAGAGGAACAGTCAGAGTCGCCGCGCACGTTCCGGCCCCGGGTCGGTTGCGGAGGGCAGGGAAAGCTCACCACGTGTTTCAATTTCAAGACCACTCCCAACAGAGGCACAACTCCTCGTTCACTGTATCGCATAAGTAGATATCAGTACTGCGCCACACTGAGCTGCCCTCAGCAAGTTTCCAAGCTCGCCCTCGGACGGAGCTATCCTGAGAGCACGTCAGGGTTCGCAAAAGGCGACGTCTGATGAGCACATACCTTTGCATATGTGTTGTTCCCTGCTCGTCCTTCCGCCGTGCTCACGCCAGTAGCCGCAAAAGTTCAGGGTGAGTAGAAGTTCTGGTCAATGCGCGCACAGATCGCGCGTCGTACGGGCCACGGGCACTTCTGTTAAACTAGTCGATGTCGTCAGAACGTGACACGCGCGACACAGCAAGCTTCCGACAAAGGTTAGCCACAGAAACATAGAGTGAACTGCACGTCTGAAGAGGCGTCAACACGCAAGATCGCGCTTAGAATCGAGAGAATCCGCGCCGCTGTGGGGAAACCAGAGAGTACGTTCTTCTTCTGGTGTCCATATGAGTCCTGGTCAAGCGCTATTGTGGAAAGGCTAGGCCGCTGGAGGAACGCATACAGGTTGAGCGGAAGTGGAAAGCCGACGTCAGGTCTGGAACGAGGAGGCGACCGCGACCAGCACGTGCGGTCTGCGACACGAAAGTCATCGTGTTTGACAAGCGCTCTCTCTCCTTGTCGTGCTCCTCGACGGCCACCAGCAGCGGCGCGGCGCACCCGTGGCAGCATCTTTCCAACGACGACGAGGCTGACGTCAAATCATCGGCGGGGATAAGTACTTTCATTTTCTCGCTCGTTCCTGTCCTCCCTCACGACCTGCAACGATCACTCGACGCTATATAGACCCGCATCGCCATGGCCGTCCGACCAAGCTTGCAGACGTCTACCACACCTACTGTCATCGACAACCGCGGGTGCGGCCATGCACACGACCATCAAAACTCGCAGAACGGCTCCGAGCAGCGGTCGCAGTAACACATCCACACTCAAATGACACATACAGCGTCATCCGCTTCTACAACGAGCCACCTCCATCAACAACTATGCGAGGAAGTACGACCTGCCCACGCTGCCGACGACGAGGACGTGCAGAGGGACTCATACGCGAGGCGGACGATGGGCTGGCGGGAGGCGGAGGGGGCGGAAGGGGCGGAGCATCCGAGTCGGAGACGACGAGCGACGGGAACCGGTGGATACGCAGCTACAACAGCCGTGCAAGGCGAGGTGTGGCGGGCTCCCCAACGAGCAAGGGGAGGGCTGGGACGGAGAGCGCGTGTCGACGCCGGAGCGGGCTGCGACGATGGATCGAAGGAATGTGAGTCCCTGCAGGCGTCCACACACCGACTGCTGTTGACGACTGCATGCGCAGCCATGCACTCCGCCATGATACATCTGCGACCTCAACACGACGTTAACTACGACTATGTCGCGCCGCCGCTGCTGCCGAAGCCCGCCCTCTACTTCCCGCTGGCCTCTCGCCAGTCCGCCCTCGCCGCCTCGCTGCCTACTCTTCAACCAAGCACGACGCCCGGCTCGGCACCGCAGTCCCTTTCCGCAACGTCAAACACGCGTGTGTCACGCATCCTCGCAACGTGAACGCGACCTTGCCCTCTTCACTCCTCGCCTGCCGCTGCCTTCCCAGCACCCCGGGTTCCTTTCAGGCAAGGATTCTCGCACGCCCCGGCTCGTCGTCCACCCCTCAGTACCTCCCCGCCGCGCTTCCTACGCTTCCTCGACAAGTCTCTCTTCCGCACCATCGTGCAACCCCGATACCGCCCCACCCTCGGTCATGTTCCCAGCAACCCGGACGCGACCCTCGTATGCTATACACAACACCGGGGCTCTGTGCCGTCCTACAGGTATGTCCCTGCCCCCTCGAGTCTCTCCGGCTATCCCCGCTCCCCTACTCACCCACGCGTCTCCGACGTTGGCCACCCCGCCACGCAGGTTGCTCGTCGCACCCCGGTTGATACGCAACGACCCTGCACGTCGCGTGCTGCGCCCCCGCTACTACACTACCCCTGTCTCCGTGTATGCGGGGCGGAGCTGTGCGCGTCCATGCTGCCGGTCGTACGCGTAGCTTCCCAGTCCCGCTGGCGGTCTGCGGGTCCGGCTGGCAGCTCGTACGTGTCACGAGGCGGCCACGTCCGTCGCTCCGTGGCGAAGCAGAGATGGTCATATAGGGAGACACGGCAGGACGACGCATCTGCCTACGTAGCAGGTTGGCGCAACGCGACTACGCAACCACACGCAACCTCCGTGACAAGGTTTGTAGGGCGCGAAAGAAGACACATCACCCTCAACTCCTGTTTAGCGTACAGGTATCGTTTTGTAGGGCGCTGCGCGGTTCGTACCTTCTTCAGTTGCAAGCGACTGTCGCCCACCTCCCTCTGCACTGCTCAGCCGTACGCTCGCCGTGCGATATCTCGCCGCTCGCCTTCGTTCCTTCTCTGGGTGTCATGCGAGGATGAAGCTACACAAGCGCGTCGAGCAAATCCGTCAGTTCTGCAAGCCTAGGGGACGATTTGTGTGTAAGATAAAGGGTGATCGGTGCAGCTCACGTCGATCAAGCGACAATCACTCGGCGCCGACTCAGACTAGAGTGCTTGAGCGCGTACCCTTCTCTAACTTATATGCACATCTTGGCTGATCTGTGGCATAGACCAATGGCGTACAAGCCGCAGATGAAGTTTACGTAGTCAGCTCGCGCATACACTGCAATACTAGTTCGACCAGCAACCGAGTCCTGTGCCAGCATGGACGAGAGAGACGAGACTTGGGCGCCGACGAGCAGTGCGCTTTTTGTGCGTCCGTCCCGACGACGGTGTCGCATCTTTTCTAATCACTTTGCTGCCTCTAGCTCGTGGTCCGCTTCCTATGCGGGATGGCCTTTTCTGTACGGACCATACGCTGGGGTTACCGCTGGCAAGACTGCGACTGGCAGGTCGACCATGCCGCCGGCCTGTCTTCGGTGCATACTCGACCGCGCGTACGCTCCGCTCCTGTACCCGCGGACCGCGATCCTGTCCATCGAAGCGATTATGAATCCTCTGGTCACGGCTCGACCAAGTCGTCCGGCGGAATAACATGACGATGCAGTACGCTGCGCCGTTCTGAGCTCTAAGGTCCGCCTGCCACGACGCGTACGGCGTGATCAGCTAGTATGTGACTTAACTGTGCTGATGACGACTACTTCGTAGCATTTATGCGGTGCGTGCAACCGCACGATTGCGTGAATCATACCGGTCGCTCGCTTTGACGCTAAAATCTACGTGGTCGTTGTCAGGCTGAAGGGCACTACACGCGGTACGACGCCGTGACCGTAGTACGTCCCTCTTCATTTATCCGCCTCCTTCCTCACCCACCGCTCAGCTACATGTATGCGCGCAGGACGACTCGCCCTCATGCTCCCTTCGGTGTCCTCTGGTGTTGATTGCCTTCCGGGTCGTTGTCGGCCTGATGAACCTGCATGGGCACACCGAACGGGCTGGGGTCTTGCAATAGATGACATGACGTGTCCGTGGTCGGGGAGCGTTCGGGCAAGGAGAAGGGCGAGCTCCTCATTGTAACGTTATCCGGGTGAGAACTCCGGCCCATCAACTTGAGCTTGATATGAGCACGCCTCTCGGCTGATATGTAGCATACACAGGTCATCTACTCGTGCTGGCCTCGTGTATATAATGCATTGGGATCCGACGAGAACGGGGTCTTGGGCGGTGCCGTGAAAGGCTCTACTGTACGCTGGTTCCGATGACGGCGTCGCGTCTTTCAAGATCGCTTCGTTCACCTCCAGCTCGTGACCCGCCTCTCTCGGGCTTGGTTCAACGTTCGACACGCGCAATCGCTCTGGGATAGTTCCTCCTGTGGGTCGTCGCGCCAGACGACCCACGAAGTTGAAAACGGCGATGCATCAGTCATGGGTGAACAGTGGGAGGACCACCGTGGTTCGTACTCGCGCGAGTCACATAATAACAACGTACTAACTTTACGCTGAGATTCTGATTAGCAAGTGCGACTGCCTGTCTGATCTTGCCGCCGCCCGCTTGCCTCTGTACATGCCCAACTGTGCGACGCTACGTCCTCGCCGTCTTGCACGGTCGTGATCTTGTTCACTGGGGCGATGTCGGATCGCACGTGTACAGCTGGGTCGAACGAACACGACGACTCAAGTACTCACGCCGCGGCTTGATAATGACTTCTCCGCTATCGGCGTGTCCGTGTCTTTGTCGATCGTGAAGAGGCTCCGCGCCTGGAGTGCATGTGCAGGGGAAGAAACGAAGAACGTTGGGCTGGCTGGTAGAGTGAATCGTCGCATCGTCGCCGAATGACCGGGGCTCGACAAGGAGCTCTCTCAGGCTGTTCGTTTCCAGCATAAACCTACGTCACGTCATTGTCAAGCAGTGAACATCTCAGGCTGCCAGAGCTGCACGAATCACTATGTAGTACGTCGCTACAAATGCGCAAGGCCCTATCTATCCACGAAGAGTTTGTCGAGTTGCGCAGGATTCGCATGCTTCCGGAGAGGAGAGATTTCTGTCTCTGGATGAGGAACGATGCCAATCGAGCTATAGATCACGCACGAGGAGAGGGAAGAGACGCAGTCTCACTGTGCAAGCCCGGTGATTACAACGAGTGGTCGGCTGCGTGTCCTGCTGGAAGAGAGACGGCGACCGCAAGCATCAGCAAGTGAATGAGGGGACAACGATCCACCATACACAAGCCCGGGGGGCAGCCAGCTGTGGATGGAGGTCGTTCATGAGAGAAAAGAACCGGAGAGACGACTCGGAGCGTGAAAACTACATAACTGCGACGAGAGGGGACCCGAACTCGAGAGAATTAGGCACTGCACAGCCGTTTCGCCAAACGCGAGGTGGAGTCAGGGATGAGACATGGTCACGCGTGTGTTCGAGACTGGTACGGGCGGGAACTACCAGTAGACGACAAAACTAAAGACAGACGAACATGATCGACCGAGTGGAACGGTGTTTGTAGCGTGGACTCCGGTGCCTATCGTCCGAACAGAGCTCTGGGAGCGAAACCGACCGGAATGGGCGTAGGCTCGGAAACGAGAAATTGATGCCTGCGTTCGAATGTCGTCGATGCTCTAGGATCCCCTGCTTTTCCTCATTTATAGCTCGCAGGATCGACGCTATAAAGCCGAGCGTGCAGCGAGAGAGGTCGCCCAATACATCCTCCGACACATTCTATCTCATTCAGTGGGTTCTCCTGGGTCCTGGATACGCGATCCATCAGGCAGTTCCAACGTCATGACTCCACGAGCCAGCCAAGGACTAAAGAGGTGAATGAGGAAGGACTTGACGGTAGCCGACGACGTGTGTAGTGTTTCTGCAACGGAGTTCGAAGCGTGTTCTTGGTTCGAGCCGATGCTGACGCGGAAGGAGATGGTGACAGCCGCATAGGACAACCGTGCAAATACGTTACGGGAGAGAGCGGCATGAAACGCTGCAATGGCCTCCACCGTGATCGCGCATGCGGAATCGTCTATACCGTGGAAGGTTAGAAAGTAAACATGCACACTTTGCAGATGTGTACTTCCAATTTGTGCGAACAGGCTCAGGAGACTTCCATAGGCCCATATCATGTTCAGCGCCGAGGTGGAAATAAAGTCCATGGTCAGAACTCCCAGACTGGTGTTATCAGTCAGCGAAGGTGGAAGACGGTGTGGAACGTGCTGTACGAGAATGATCGAGTCAGTATGTGACGCGCCTGGTATGCACACAGCCACTCACATGCGGAAGGAAAGCACCAATCCAACCGGGGTGATTCCATTCAAACTGTCCCAATGCCGGCCCGGATACTCGTAGAATTTGGCTGATGGTCTGACTCATTGTGGATGAGGGCGGTTCCAGAAGATCGATGCGCAGCTCTTCAAGCTTGCAACACTGCTGTGCAAACAGCTCAAAGAAAACGAAAGCAAAGGCCGAGGATACTTGTGACAGGCGGACGAAGGCCCATGAATTACCAGCATTCACGCCTGTCGCCAGTGCGACCGTGTCGGCTGGGGTAGTCGGAGGCTCCAAGTCTTCCGGCAGCAGATCACCGTCTATATGCATGTTTCGAAGGGCCGGGAACGCATAGACGAATGACTGGAAGTCCGAAGCAGAGAGGAAACCAGTACACCGGAGGGAGATAGTGTCCACAGTTGAGTAGAACGGGAGAACGTCGAGCAGACTCGGAGAGAGGTGCTGCCCATCACACATTCCCAGGGGACATTCACAACCAGCGTAGTCCCGGAGTTGTATCTCACGAAGCTTCTGGTTGACAGCAATAGGGGAGCGAGGTGGTGATGTGCTATCCAGGGCTGCAGACTCGACGGCAATTGAGCGAAGACGGAGGACTTCCAGACCAGGTAGAGCACGGGTGATCATCCAGATCTCGTCGGCACGGCGTAATCGACATCGCCTGAGTGACAAGCAAGTGACGGACGAGAAATAGGAGAGATGAGTGAAGAAGGATAGGTGAGGCCGTGTGCTTGTCCAATCGAGCTGCGAGAATTTGAGGCTCTCCAACTGGGACAGTAGACGTCCAGGTACCCGCACTGGAAAGGTATGCGCAAATGGCTTGTCCGGATGGTCTTCGATGCGCAGGGAATCAAGCGCACATCCATAGCATTTATTGTGCTTGGACATTAGTATCTCTACGAGATCACCCAAATCCCTGCTACTTCGGATGGTATACCGGCGAAGGTGATGCCTCGCGCTGCAATACCAAGCTCGGCATACGAGGCAGCACCTGGCGAGCTGTACAGGTTCGTCCCACAGGAAATCGATGATAAGGTCTATGAGTTCTTGCGTGAGGATTGGAAATGCGTCGCTACTGACACAATCAGCGAACTAGATGAAGATAGCTACGAGAATACGGCACCTCGTATGGATGGGCGGTTTGTAGCGAATCTCACGCCAAAGAGATTTCACCATCATCTCATAGACAGCGTTCATATCCCCGCAATTCATACCCGAGTCACGACGCTCGTGTTTCGAGGTCCTAGACGCAGGCAAGAGTCAATCAACACAAACTCGTATATCGATGCTTCTGGAGCACCGTGTCCATACATACATTCGACCAATCGGTAGGGTCAGGAGTTCGAGAGAAGCTAGGTTGAAGCGGGACGAGCGACAGCGTCAGATGTCGATGTTGAGAATATGGGGACGAGAGAGCGAGAGCAACAGCTCCTTCCCTCCACGTGAGATACATAGAGCATCGCCGTAATGGGATGAGGGCGTGGTACCCTCGCACGAGTACACCGTGTAGTGGGCGCTACCACACGGGCTATCCCGTGTACTGCCACCCTTGATCTTTGCGTTAGCCAGATCTGTATCGGACGGGGACGCAGCTCGATGACCGTCGTATCAGTCACTACAGGAGTAGCAGATAGCAAATAGTTCAAAGCCAGAACGACGAGACTGGAATCGGCACTTGAGGATTCCTCGCAAATCTTGAGTCCGTCAGGCGCCATGATGTCAGCGATGCATTGAACTAAGAGTCTTAGGAGTCGTCAGCCTCTGAGATGGTACATCGAGTATGAACGTTACTGCGAGAAGTGGCTGGCTGCTCACGGCGAGATCGGGCTCAAGACGATGGTGATGATGCAGCGCATCTAGGCTCGCGCGCGAGTTGAATTCGTTGAGTAGACGTGCAGTATGGGCCGAGGCAGCCGCATTCCAGCTATTGAAGATTGCGACGCGTGAAGGAAACGGAGAATAGAGGTCTCAAATCTCAAACGTCAGCGCACTCACGCCACAGCAACTCCTACTAAGCAGTCGGCAGATGCAAAATAAAGAGCAGCACAGGACTCAGCAATAGCTCTGCACGATGCGAGTAGACAGCCGGACGTACATCAAGCCAGATCAAGCTGCTCTCCTCGAAGACCTATCCCGGTCATCCCCCAAACGTGCACAGGCTGGCCCCTCGAAAAAGTTTTCGGACCCGACAGGCTGGCAGTCTTCGACAGCTTCCACGACGTACCCTGAACTCATTAGTTGGGCGGTCTACATGTAAAGGAACGCCAACGAGCGAAGCGTTCAGTTGAACCCATGCTGACGCCAAGAATCAGATCATGTCGCATGGCGATAGCATTGACAGGAAGAGTAGTATCGTAGGTGAGGCTATGAAGCATCATGAGCGCTCACAGAGATCTCTCGTCCATTTGGCCGTACGGAGCGCAGCATTGGGTCTCGAGTCAACGGCTTGCGCATATCTGTCAACGTCAAATGAGCCCAGCGCCATACACGCACCAGCAAGGCCGAACACGCACCAAAGGCATCCTCCTCGTCCCTCAAGTTCCGCCCCAGCCCCAGACTCTCATAGTACTCCCGCACCCTCCGGTACACGCTGTACCCCAGCCCCTCGTACATGCCTATCGCGACGTCGTTCGTGCACCGGACGTAGAGATCCACGAAGAACCCGCGGTAGTTCTTGTCCGAGACGCGCTCGAGGTAGTCGATCATCTTGCGGGCGAGCGAGAGCCGGCGGTACTCGGGCGCGACGGTGAGGGCAGTGATGTGTCCGTGCCATTCTGTGTCCTGGCCTTCAGCCTTCCCCAGGACTAGCGTAGGGCATTGCATGTCAGGAACTCTATCGGAATGAACGAAGACGAACGTCCTGTAGCCCATCATACGCCCGTTTGGAGACTCTTCCACAGAGCACAAGTCCGGCCAACGCGACAGGTACTGAAGGTAGAAGTTGATGCCGTACTGAAAGAAAACCATTCAGTGGAGTTTCGTTCGGACAGCGAGTCGATTCACGGTCTCCGTCCACAAATCGAGGTTGCTGAAGATGGTCAATCTAGGACCTGCAATGGAGCGCGAACTCTCACATATGGTTGAATTTGAACATATCCGTTGCTTTGAACGGCCTTGCGACGCTCATGTTGAGAAAAGGCGCGGTGGCGTTACGGTTGGATTTGGTTAAGAGTGGTTCTGGTCGAAGCAGAGTCGAGGACGAGAACGAGGAGGCGCCCGATGAATCGATCATTGGCAGTCTCCGGAATACAGCGCCCGCTGTAGTTTGAGCCGACACCTCGCTGCGTTCGCATATCGCAAGACTCAGTGCAGGACACACCTAGCAGCCATCCCGCTCCTTCAACAACTTCTCTGGAACCGTCGTCACCACATCCGATCCGACTGCTAGACACAGATGTCGTTCATACTCATCCCAATATGGCAACTGATGTCACTGTACGTCGGTTCAATTTCCTTGCCGTTCTATAAATAGACTCCGACAGTTCTTCTGTAGCCTCAGTGGTACACACCTCTATTTTTTAAATCCTGATTAACATCATTTCCCATGGGCATACCACATATCCTGCGCAATGAGCGTGTCGGAGCCAACGCGCCTTCCACGTGACCGCGAGGACGTGCAAACTTGCGCGAATTCGAGCGTCCGCGTCGGGTGCCGACACTGCGGCACCGTGTTATTCTCGTCGCACTCCTCGATGGCCACCAGCAGCGGCGCGACGCCCCATGTCAACGACTTCCAAGAAGCCTAACATCGTAGGTGCGTGGCACCGGCACCTTGACAGCAACGACGAAGCTGACGTCAAGCGCCTCAGCGCACTCCACAGATGTGGTCCGCGGGTTATACTAACTTATAGGCGAGGAGGGGTCCTATAGGCCCCAATCCTCTCTCGATCGTTCTTGTCCCTGTTCAAACGTTCACGATCCATAACGACCAGTCTACGCTATACCCCGCACAAACCCCGCAACCCTCGCCATGGCCGACCGACCGAGCTCGCAGGCGTCCACCACACCTACTGCCGTCGACGACCGCGGGCACGGCCATGTACCCGACCACCAAGACTCGCAGAATGTCTCCGAGAAGCAGTCATCCGTTAGGAAGGAGCGACCTACTGTCGCAGTCACGCATCCAAACTCGAATGACACATACGAACCCATCCTCTTTTACGACGAACCACCTCCGCTCAACTATACCATCAAAACCGGCAGCCGAGAGCGTGTTATAATCATCTGGTTCACTCTTCTCTTCGTCGAGTCTGGCATCCTTCCCTCATTTTGTTCTACTCGCTCTCATGGGGCGCGCATCTAAGCACCACGAAGAACCTTGCGATCATCACGAGCCTCATCGGCACCGTGTCCGGATTCAAGTTCGCGCAGCGGATGTGGTTCCTATGGTTCATCCGTGACCACGTCAGTCGGAGACTGATCGGTGTTGGACGCTGGGGCGTTGACTTCTTCCAGTGCGTAGCGATCACATATTCGCACTACTAACCTGACCTCGACGCGCAGATACATCCTGAGCCTCGCCATGGCAGCGTTCTTCATCCCGCTCATTATCGGTTCTTCGGTGTACGTTCCCCCTTCCCTGCTCGATGCTGTTGTACTGATCTTGCCGTGCAGAAACCCGGGGAGTCCGCGAATTACGGCGATGGCTCTGCCATGCGTCATGCTCGTCCTGACGCTACCGCTCCTCATCACCGGCATCTTCCCCTACCGAGTTCGCGTACCGTGGCGTGTTTCTTCCTTCCCGCCGCGTCAGCCCCTCCCTCCCCTCGGCTATTGCTACGTCGAGGACATCGTCGCAGTCGACGGGGGTGGGTGCACGCAGTTCCGCCAGGTGAGTTGCTATGTACGTGCTGTCTGCGCTCACTAACCTCTTTTCAGGCCTGGCGTACCCGCTACGAAGAATCGCAGGTCATTCGACACATGGTCCGCCAGCTCTCCGTTCTCTGGGGAGTCTCGGGCCTGATCGTCGCCGCCGGCGTGCTCGCGGCGTGCTGGACCGCGAGCGTCGACACGGGCTACGGGATCGGCTACGGGAATCCGTGGCTCTGGGCGCTGCTCATGACTGCAGTGACCGTCGTGCGGGTGCACAACGAACTGGCACGCGAGAGGCGCGAATGGGTCGCACGTATGGAAGAGGCGCACCGCGCGCGGAGATTGCGCATCCGTGAGGGGAAGTACGACCCGCCCGCACTGCCGACGACGGTGGACGAGGGTCTGCGGCGGGACCTGGACGCGCGGCGCTCTGTGGACTGGCGAGACGCAGAAGGGGCGGAGCATCGGAGGACGGCGAGCGACGGGAGCTGGTGGGTGCGGAGTAGGAGCGGTCGGAGAGGCGTGCTGAGCTCGCCGACGAGGAGGATGAGTGGAGGGAGGGATGGTGAGGGTGTGGCAGTGCCGGAGCCGACGGTGACGAGGGATCTGCGGAGTGTGAGCCCGGGGATCACGTTGGGAGGGCAGACGAGCCCTGTGTAGGGCCAACCGTGGTTCTCCGCGTGTGGTAGGTGGTTGGTGAGTGCTGTATAGTATATGTCGACCACTTGGTGTTTATGATTATGTACGATTAATGGACCTGGGATGGAATGGATTAGATACACGGCTACATCGCTTTGCGTACTCGGCTTACGAGACGTTCCTCTCGTTCGTGCTTCAAGCTTCAAGTTCCCATTGCTCGTAGGCTCTGGCGAAGAAACTTGAACCTACCGAATCATCTTGCTAGCTTAAGACGCCCCGTTGTGTTTTGGGAAGACAAGCTTGGAGTAGCGAGTGCGGGCCTCGGTATCTGTGTCTGTGGGTCAGACTGTCGAGGTCAAGGCGTTGTAATGCCTCGCTGCTCTCGAGCCACGTCAGGAGGTTCAGGGAGTATATGGTAGTGTCTCGCGTGGGTGAGTGTTGTGCTTCGTGTTTTCCGACGTGTACAATGACCAACCTGTTCGCACAGCCGGTGGGCCTCGGCGTTTCTGCTCGTTGTTCCGTTCGACTTGGAGGTCGCGGGAGTGGTTCATGTTGAGGAAGGAGGTACGTTCCTCAGGGTCAGCACGACATCGCCTTATAGCCGGTGCCTGGACAGGACTCGGAGCATTCCTCCAACTCTTTGAGCAATCTGTGATGACGAGTTGCATCGCGGAATCGCGGTGCGCCTTGCAGAGTGTATTGGTGCGGGCCAGGGCTTTTAACTCGTGCTCGTGCGACTCTCCCGGGCCCTACCAAGTTAGCTGGTACGCAGTCAATCAGAGCAATTGTCGAAGCGAGCTCCGAGAGACCAGGGAACGGGGCGCAGAACGAGAGGTATGCGAAGACGCGGCGATGTTGTTGCAAACACCGTCAGCAAAGCAGCGGACGTGTCGGTCGCCGCAGGCCCATCTCCGTCATTGCCGGCGTCGGCTTGGTTGCGTACCAAGCGGTGCCTATCCTCGGCCTGGTATAACCAGGACCGCGCACATATATGCGCGAGCCACTCCCTGCAAGCTTAGACGGGTATGATATGCTGTACGTTGATGTATCAGATCAGCTACGTACGGTACGCATACGAGTCAGAAAAGAGGACGTACTCGAGTATGATTGACTGAACTGAGCAACACAAGCTGCGAAATCACTTTCTGTCGCGTAGAAAGACCCCGCCGACCCTCACAGATACATGGTCGACTCGTGCCAACACCGCGAAGACTGACCTGCCTGTTCGATGCATCCACACAGCTTCAGCCGTGTGATGAGCCCGGCAAGCCTCGCATAGTAACGGTGGTAGAACGGATACAATTACGACTCGGACCGACGAAATACTGGTACGCAACGCATACATATAGTGCGGCAGGGCGAAGAGGGATGAACGACATCGTGACACCGAAGACGCACCGCGTAATGCCCTCCAGCGGGACGATCATGCATCGTGTCGACGATATTGAGCATGTTGTATCTACGTAGCACGGCTAGTGTTATGCCGTGGTCATCGTTGTGAGTATTCATCGCGACTGAGGACAACGTGAGGTCGACGATCCTCGATGCTAATTATTGGAACAGGAACAAAGGATTCTTGAAGGGGCTGGCTGAAGTTCGCATCAAGTGGCACAGAGATATCGGCGACGAGTGCAGCAATGCGAGCTGCGCAGAGAACGTGCAGTACGAAAGAGCCGGACGTCGGGAGAGAGGGTGAACGACAAGAGCCTAAGAGAGAGGCGCCGGCGTGGACGTAGCGCGGACCTGCGCGTATGACGGTCGTTATCACGGAAAAATACTTACATTCAGGACTTAGTTATCGTGTAAGACTTACTACTTAGTTGACACGTGATCCGCACACCTTAGACATAGTTTCGCTTCGTTTCGTACACTTGGTCTCTACGATCTCCGATAACTCTGGCCATGTCAGCACTGTATATTGATTGCGGCGAGGCAAAGATCGGTGGTATGCACCATCCTAGAACACCTGATTTCGCTTCGGTGGCTGGTCAATTGCCCAATGCGGAATCATTAGCCATTTATGGCAACTCTGTCTTCGCCCGGTGCTGTTCATTGCACGGCATGGATAGCACGAATGCGGAAGCCTGCTTATGATTCTACAGAAGCGGATCGTGAAACTCCTCTCAAAAATCATTATCGACGAGATGTATGGCCTGAGATGCTTCAGTAGAAAATTCAGACTCCGGGGAGAGCCAATACTACTAGTCCCCGTGGTTCTCATGAATTCGAAAGACAAAAATATTGTAACTCATATGACAGAAGTGTATGAAATGAATGAAGGAACACTGTGCGTCACAGAGAATAACGGGGAAACCGTCTGGAGCAGTGGCCTCGGCAAGTGCGAAGTTCATCCCGATTTGGCAAGGCCGCCTCGGTCTCGCCTCGGGCACGTCGGCCGGGCGCCTATTCCACTAAGTCTAAGTCACGCGAAAGTAAGACTTGCCCGTAAGTATTTTTCCACGAAACCGTCACTCATAGTATTGGCTATATACTAACACACCGGCACAGTTTACCTTGGACAATGTCCCTTCGCTCTCATACAACACTGGGTTAGAACATCTCAGCGTGACCTTCGTTGCTGGCTCGTTACTGAGCACGTCGTCGGTTTACAATACACTCCTAACGTTGTTCTCCCAAATCAGGGCCCCGTGTCTGAAGTACCTATACATCCACGTCTACTTGCAAGACCCTGACGCCGGCGCCATTGCCGACCTCACCCGAGACATGGGTATGGCTGACTCAAACTCTGCGGCCGTTTTCCATGCTGCAATCTCTCGCGAGACCTTCGGCAACCTCCGCCCTCGAACCGTGACACTGTCGTTCAAACACCATGCCCGCTACTCGCCGGCGGAGACCCAGCATTTCCACGCAACACCGCTTGACTTATCCATGTCCGAGGCCGCATCAAATGCTGGGCGGTTCCCCTCTTCATTCCATGGCTATCGCGCGGAGCTATGGTGCTTGGGCTTCCGGATGGATCGTTCGTCGTGGATCCACCGCACCATAGCGAGGTCCCCGAAGATGATTTAGACAACCCCTCCGGTCCTGATGTTTCCTTTCTTGGGAAAGCAAATAGGTGACTGTCGACCAAAGGTGATGCGAGCCTGTTCTAAGTAGTCAATGGCATGCTCATTGTATTTACGTCAGCCGCGCCAGAATTCCTCGACAGCGTAGAATCGAACACGGACACATCTCGGCGACAGAGGTATATAAAAGCCTCACCCGGCGTAGTCGCGTCATTGTCGTAGCTCGACTATGAATATCTGATGGTGGGCCCTGTACACGCTTATCGTTAGCACTTATCGGTTGGTCTTGCTTGCGTTTGCGATTTCTTTGGCTTTCCGTAGGTAATTCGCGTTCGCGTCAATGTCCGTTCTTTGCTAGACCGTACGCGTGATGACCCCTTACGTCCCCCAATTCATTGGCTTCGCTCTACTGTAGGTCATTTGACAAACGGGTGTATGTACAGTATGTGATCATTTCGAGTTCAGTTCGTCTGTCGTTCCATTCAGTGAATCTCTTGCTGCTCGTCACAACATACCCCGATTGTCCCTAGCTTCATCTGTACTTTGATTACCCGTACCAAGCACGCACTGTCCTATATCATAAAACTACACGCAACTGCACATGTCCTCGGGCAAATCCAACGGAACATGCCCCCGAGGCACAGTTACGTGAGCACTACTCCCTCGTACTCGTTATTGGCTTCCTGCCACGGCTTCGGTTCGCGTATTCAAAACTGGCCTTCGCTATCCTGCCGCGACGTATGGCCTCGTAGTCACCGACGCTGGGGCGCGTTCCCGCTGCCTTCAAGCTGAATGCAGAACGCGCTAACACGGAGGGCTGCGAAACAAGGACAATGCCATTTCGTGCTGATCTGACCATCACACGCATTAGCATCACATTCGCTGACAGGATACAACCCACCTCCCCGCGGGAAGCCCTGACCTCAAACGATCGCAGGTTCGGATACGGAGAACCCGAACGTGATCAGTAAACGAACATCGCATCATGAGACTAACATGGGGAGGAGGAGCGTGAAACGCTGCAGCAAGACGTCCCGAGAACAGTACTCAGGAACGAGTAGGTCAGTCACCAGCACTAGAGAGCGCGCGTAGTGCTCACGTCGTCGATCCGTCCGCACGGGCTTCCCTACCCTCTAGAGCCAGTAGGTTTCGAAGCAGCGATACATGTGTCGTCCGCGAGACCGAGTCGATGACCTGGTTATCACTTGTGTGTGTACCATAGATGCTCGCCGCGTCCGTTGCGTACCATGTGATCTCTTGCGCTCTCGTATCTTCGGCTGGCCCATCTTGATAGGTCGTCGTCGGTGGCTGAGGTGTCCAAGTTCAAGTCGGGCCGGTGGGTTCTCCAGCGCGATACGTCAACGTGGTGTACGGCGCAGCCAGCATGTCCTGCGAACCGTTCTGGTAAGTACAACATATCACGGAGACGGCCCGCTGACGGGCACGTTCGACTCTCCTCGGACAACAAGCCCACGTCACAGTTCGACGACGAGCCTGCTGTCAAGACGGAGTGGTGAGGGCCCCGCCAGCGCACAAAACGTCGCCTGTGGTATGTCGTCCACGTATTTAGCATTCACCGACTAACGAGTTCATCGCGTACTTACCCGCAAATCCATTTTTCCAGGCGACGTCCTTAGAGATGCGACGGTTTGCGCCGCGTCCAATCAGGTCGATTGTTCTCAGCCGCAGTGACACAGCCGCAGACGACCTTTCCCCCGTCTGTTCCCTGCTGCCCCAGTTGTCGCTCCGTTGATGCACTGGACAGACGTTGACTTGCAGTAACCGCGTATCCGCCCACCTCGATATGGCTTCACGGTGGGTACTGACGATCTTTCGTGACCTGTCCCGTCGCTGCGACTGACGGTCTTGTTCCTCAAGCGGTGACACTGCGTGTACGACCGCCATCGTACCCTCGTATGACACCCGCGGCTTGCACCCCATGAAGGGGATGTCCCGAACTGGCCACTACGGCCCTTTGTCCACTGATTCGGGAGTTGATTGCCTGGTTTATGCGGCACGTCGCGTCCTATAGTCTCGCTCAAGACCCTCCACGCGGCTTCACGTGCGCGGTTTGTGTCGAACCTATCGCGTCCTGTGCCTTCCGGATCTGATTACGTCGGGCGGGTAGTCCCGCGCAGTAGAAGGAAGGTTCCGACGACGATGGTGGGCTGACCGACGTCGTGAACGCCCGAACATCTTCTCGCGCCGGACAGCTGTGCGCGGGAAGCGCGATGCTCAGAGCGACGTGGCGGATACCCGAGTCAACGTGCGACTTGGTTCGAGTGTCCCCAGCTCCGTACGACACCAGCCTGGCACGTAGGCAGACGCGACGGCCTGCCCTCGCACCGAGCCTCCCTACACATTTACCACTCGCGGTCAGCTCTGCGCCGGGACGACGGACGGGTCCTTGTCGTGGCACGCACGAACTGCCAGCCGGACACGCAGACCGCCAGGGATGCTGGGGAGCGACGCGTACGATCGGCAGCGCGAACGCGCACAGCTCCGCGCCGCATACACGTAGATCGTGGGTAGAGTAAGGGCGGGGATGTAGCATGCGGGGTGCAGGGTCCTCGCGTATCGATATGGTGTGACGAACGAATTGAGTGGCGGGGTGGCCAAGATCGGAGACCCGTGGGTGGTCGGGGGATCGGGGATAGCTGGAGACAGTCGAAGGGGTGGAGACTTACCTGGAAGATGGTGCGAGCCCGGTTTGGTACGTGGCAGACGCGAATCACGCCCAGATCGCCGGGAGTGGGACCCAGGGTGTGTTGTAGTCGGAGTCGCGCGCGACGGTAAAGGCGAGGCACCAGAATTTCCAGGGCACTAGCCGGAACGGGGCTTGTCGAGGAAGCCTGGGGCGTGCTGCTGTGTGGCGACCGAGTTTGTGCGCGGGTGGTGACATCGGGATGCCCGGGCAGCAGCGGCAGGTGGGCAGCGACGAGGCCCGGGTCGCGTTCGCGAGTATGCGTGGGACACGCGTGGTGTGACGTGGTAGGCAGGGTCGGCGGTGCTCAGCCTAGCGTCGTTCTTCGACTGGACTCGGCGAACAGCAAGGCCAGCGCGGAGGTCGTCGACCGTGCGCAGGCAGAGCGAGGCGGCGAGGGCGGACAGGCGCAAGAGGTCAGCGGCAAGCAGAGGCGGGGCGTCGGCAGCGCGATTTACACACAGCTGGGTCGCAGTGAGGTCGCAGATGCGCCATGGCGGACTACACAACGAGGAGGTCGTCGACCAGCGTACGCGCCTCGAAGCGCCTAAGTATCGAGACGCGACGCGCTCACGTGTCCATGCCCGCAGGCGACCGGGTCCAACGAGCCAGCTCCCGTCTCCCATTCGCTGCACTGAGGAGGTCGAGACATCCAGCTGTTCGATCGCATACCTTGTCCAAACTGCCTCGCTCTAGCGGCATTTAGAGACGTCGTACCTGCTCTGATCCACCCATTCATCTTCCCACTGGCCCGGGCACGACGAGGACTCGCGAGTCGTTGGCAGGCGTGATGGTCCTGTTGGACCTCGACACGCAGAACACCTGTGCTTATCCTTGCCATGGAAGGGTGCGATTTCTTCATCCCGCTCAACATTGTGTATCGCCTTCTTTCACTCTTCTTACGCCGGTATGCTGACGGTCGCGTCCAGGACACCCGAGGGTAACCCGCAATCTACCACAATGCGGCATGCTCTTCCTCAATTCAAGTGGCTCCTCTCGTCGCCGATCTTTTCTACTAAGACCGCACTCGCGTCCCCTGGTGTGTTTCCTTCTTCCGGCGGAACCAGCTTGCGATGGGCTACTACTGCGTCAAAGCTGAGTCGTCACATGGGATACCGGCTCTCCCCTCTAAACATTTTATTAGGGCTTATGCTGAACGCGTTCCGAATAGTCCTCAGTCATCTACTCGACATCTAGCTCGCCGGCCTCCATCCTCTGCAGGTTCTTCGGCCTCATCATTGGCGCCGGGGTGCTCGCAGCATACGGGACCACGAGTGTCGACACGGGCTACGGGACCGGACACGGGTTCCCGTGGCTCTGGGTGATCTTCATGACCGCGGTGACTCTATTTCGGGTGAACAACGAGCGAGCTCGCTCCGCGGATGAGTGGCCCTCGTTGAGCATGTCGATCTCGCGCGCAGATTCCGTATTCGCTGGGGAAAGTACGATCTGCCCGTGCTGCCGGGGCGCGTCAATGACAAAGCCGGCTTTGACGAGGGACCAGACGAGAATGAGCCCGGTGAGCACGCCGACGGTGGAGATCAATCCTGTGTGAAGCGAATCGCGGCCCTGCTCATGTTTTGAACGGTACGTGAATACGTCTCCCACCGGTGCTTACTATCATATGCACGCTTGATGATTCTCAAATGCATTACCTCAGATACACGGCTGCGTTAGTCATTCTGCGCACTCGACTTCCGAGACTGTTGTCTCTCTCGCGCTCTCCAGCCGCCATCGCATGCTCCTGGACTCGGACGCCCCGTCGCATTCTGGGAGGAGACATTTGGTGCGGTGAGTTCTTGCCGCTCGAGTTGTACAGATCAGTCTATATGCGATGAACTAATGCGCTCAAGGTCAAGATCAAATATTCGAGACAGCCTCGCTGCTCCGAGAAGCACGTCCGGCTCTCTATGGAAAAGGTAGAGCAGAGGACAATGTCTTTCTCCTTGTGCATGAGTAAGTGCTGTATTTCGTACTTTCCGACGCGTACAGTAACTCACCTATCCGTGTCACTCTTACACGACCGCCGACTCCGACCCAACAAGGTAGTATCTAGGCTCATCCTAGGGGCCGAGAGCCATAATTGAGCCGACAAACTCCACCGGCGCCTCTGCTCACTTTCCGTCGAGAACCACGGCGGCGAGAGCGTTCTCAATGTCCGGCCGCCAGTGCTCTATCCTCCGAGTCCTCGCTGGTACTTCTCACGTGCGTAGCCATGTCCTTCGTACGTTTTCTCCGTCTAAAATGCCTCTCGCACTCATTGGGCAGCTCACCTTCGCGCGCGCGATCCCAGGCGTACTTGCTAACTTGCTGTACCTAGCGATCACCGCGCCGCCGCCTGTGTCGATGACCGTCTTGTCAATTTTTCCACCTATACTCAGCGGCATCGACGGTTTGTATAGCACGGTTGTATGGCGAATCGTAGCGTTCTCACCGCCGATTATACCACGGTGCGTTGACAAGAAACTGGTACGAAATCCGGGAGTCTGTCGGTCGCGCGACGCTCTCGGGCCGATGAAAGTCTCCAGCCATACTGTCGCCGTGGACGCTGACGCAGTTTTAAATCAAGCTGGGCTCGCTTATAGTTGAGTTTCGTGTGACGAAGGTATGATGCTCGCTAGCTGGACTTCGTGTGCAAGGAGGCATTTTGGAGTAGACATACGCATACGTGCATCAATGATGCTACAAGTTAATGATGCTCAACTTTCCACTGCGCCCCGCCCCCCCTACTAAGTACATCACTATGGTGGTGGATCCATCAATCCTCATTGGTGTCAGAGCTGGCAGCCCGTGACGTATCATCGTGTGCCGTGGGGACCCCGTTGGACTTGGGTTCCAGCAATTCTGTAGCGATTGGCAATCAGCCACGGCGAAAAGTGACATACAATGCATCCGAGGAGACACTCGCCTTTGAATGTTTGAAGACGATCTTCATGACAAGGGATCACATTGTTGATAGGGACGAATGCCGGTCTGGCTGCGTCCAATGCATCCCTTGCGGCTATGTAGATCTCTCGACGCTCTTCGTCGGAAAGTAGGGAAGCTCCATGAGCTTGCGTGATCATGTCATAGGCAGTCGCTACGGCGACCATCGCCAGATGCATACGATTTGCTAATATATCCCAGTCCTCCCCGGAGCCATGCGTGCGAAGCTCGTCGAGGCAGGGCGCGATCAACCCGGATTTGACTTTTCTCAATTCATCGGTGCCCAGCGAGCGCGGGATGCTGCCTGCAACTATGAATTCGACTGCAGAGGCCGCTATAAGATGATGGCCCCCGATAAGTCGCATTTTCCCCGCCCGGGACCGATGCAAGAATTGGAGGCAGCAGCGAACTAGACAGATCACAGCTGTAGGAGAGGATTAGATGGGAGATGCGGCAGTAGACATGCACGCTGGACTCACTGTTCAATGGGGCAAGCACTTTGGTAGACAACGATGCCGTGTTGATGTATCCAATGATCTCCGCCGGGCGCTCAACAACCACTCGCAACAGCAGATCTGGACTGGTAGAGAATGCCTTGTCACATAAGGCCCGAAAACGACTGTTCATCTGGGACATCCAAGGTGAATAGTAGTTGACCTCTGGTCCATTGGCGACGATGAATGACAGCATCACTATGATTGCCGACACCATCGACTTCCTGTATATGTCCAAGTCAGTATGTGGGCTGGGTTGAGCTCCCATATACTCGGATAGTTCGGCAAACAGTATGTCCCAAATCATCATGTCACGCCTGCCTTCATACTAATTGTTAGTAGCGGCCAGTACCCGGTTACCGAAGGTACTCACTGGTCCGTTCCGATTCCTGTAACCACTCTTGGAACGAGGTGATTGCCGCCCTCGTGAATGCGTCAAGCGGCGTCGATATCATGCATGTACTCCGATAGATATTAAACATCATGTTCGAAATTGACAAGTCTGACTTCAGACCAGGCGTAAATTCCGAACGACTCTAATCCCCGTTAGCGCAGCGTCGACGGACTTGACGAAGACTACTTACGTCTGGCTCCTGATGAGGGTGCTCCGAATCACGAACTGTCAGTGTCGTCTTGAGTAAGCTCACGGCAACGCCGCTGATGGCCCGCATTGAATCTTCACTTGCTGCATCCGCAATAAATTCGTAAGTCGCGCAGGCTGCTGAACCCTCAGGGTCGTATCCGTCATGTTCCAGGGTGCTACCAAGGACCCGGACGGCGTTCGGTCTGCTGTCCAGGAAGGCCTCGAAAAGGTCTTGTTCTTGGTGTGCGTATATGCTAGAGGGGTCTGCGAGGAAAGGTCCCCACTGGTAAGCGACTGCCACATTTGGTCTCTGTCGGCCCAGCTCTTTGGACGGCGCGGATGCACCCATATGACAGTGCTCCATGTGGGAAGAAGTCGCCACAGCCAGATGACTGCTTGCTGGCATCTGCTGGCACATCTGCGAGGCCACGAGAGAACTTCCCGAGGCATGCTGGCCCAATGAGACCGCCAACCCTGGCACGGGCGAAAGGTTCAATCCAGTCAATCAGCAGCGCCGTGATACTGGAGACAGGCTGTCCTGAGTCAGGCATGACATGTGTTAGATAGGATGATGCTACAGATTTTGGGCGGCTTCGACATGTACCTTGGTCCGAACGCCTTGTTGATACACTGATACTTGCCACACAACATAAACAGTACTAGGTATACATCTAATCTGGACAACTGCCACGCGGGGGGAACATACAGAGCGACAAAGAGGAAAGAATGCGACATCACAGCCAAAGTCAACGATGGGAAGATGTCAGTCAGACCAGCGTGGAGACGTCCGAGCGTACATCCGCAGCAAACTTTGACAGCCGGCCCACCCACTGGGCGTAATCGATGGGATCCCCCGGCTGCAGACTCCTAGCATAGTCCACCATATCCAGCAGCTCCTCTTCGACCTCGCGTTTCGTGCGAAGGTCTCGAAGGCGGCTCGCCCTGGTAGCCAAGAAGGTGTCCCTGTCCTCGGAGGGAGGGTAATAGGCGTCGTAGCTATCTTCGTGCCACGGCGGGGCTGCCAGGAGTCGAAAGGCGATGAGCGAATATGCCAACGACTCGAAATCGTCGGCAGCACAGTACGCTAGGGGAAACGAAGCGGTCAGCGCCTAGGAAAGAACCCCTACGATGACACTTACGCTCATCTCGAACAGCTCTGTCAGATTGATAAGTCCATGTTGCCGCTTGTCTTTGGAGGGGAAGCAGCGGATGCCACCCTTGCATTCGCGCCCATTCGAAATCGATGAAAGTCGGGTATACCTCCTCGGTGTCTTGACACAGGGCGGACAGGAGTTCCTGCAGGTTGTGACACAGCGGAAACCCGATGTTCCCGGGATGAATGTCGCAATGTAATACTCTTGAGGCGTGCATGTACTTCATCGTCGTGATCTGGGGAAAGCTTTTAGTAGGCTGGTCCAGACGGGATAGTGCCTTACCAGTCGCACAGCTGCCCAGGCAGTCAGGGAAAAAGGGAGCTGCTGTTGCTTCACGGATGGTACTGGGGAAAGGAAGTTCAGACATGTGCTCGGCAGATATGCAAACGACCCACCTTTATCCGTGAATAACTCTTCAAATACACCGACATAACGCAGCACCAAGCCGTGTTCCGTAGAATCCGGTCCATAGTCCAATAGTCGTTCGCAGATCTCAGGGCTTCTGCCCAGCCGTTGCAAGCGGCTGTAAACAACCCACTCCCACTGGATGCTTTGCCAAGGTCCTCTTTTGAAGACCATCTGACCGTCTTCAGAAGGGGCGCGTGGTATGGCCATAAGCAGCGTTCAGCAAGATGTGCTGAACATGAGCTCACCGGCGATTGGCTCGATGACGTTGACGACGCATAGGGCGTCGTCGCAGTGGTTCTGGCTACCAATCCTGATGCTCCAGGGAGTGTCCTTAAAACGGACATCTAAGTAGGAGTCAACCCGTACGTTGCTCAACATGTCAAAGGACAGCGTAGTTCTTAGAGAACGAGTGCAGTTGGTGGGGGGCGGAGGCAGGATATGGTCAGCCTACGCAGGGGGCGGCGTTACATAACAAGCTGTCACCTGTGAGCGGTACAACTAGAGATAGGCTCGTGACCAGTGTTTCCTTTAGATCACGTGCGCAGTCTCGACTCTTCGTGTGAACTTCAGAAGTTAGAACACACACCGGGGACGACTTGTGGATGTCGGAGACCGAACAGGCTGAAAAAAAAATGGGTGTGATGATCACCTTTTTGAAGCATCTTCGCAGTCCGAACTTCATTGCCGTAAGCAATTTTTTTGCAAGACATGTTTTATGTAGTGTTAGTAGTCTCGAACCCGCCTACGGACACCCTAATAGGGAACCCGTGAGACGGGTTCGAATCCTATTAGGGTGTCCGTGAGAGGCGGGTTCGAGACTAGTCGCTGCAAGCTCATGACAGTGACCTGTTGTGGTCGCCGTGGAGGCTTTGGCCGCTGAAGTTCCCTCATCTTCAGATGGTATCTCGATGACTTCTGCGGAAAGCGAGGCAGGTGCCAGTGTGCGGAGCTTCTGCTTGGACCGCACTTGTCGTGGTTTGGAAAGATTGAATGGCCGTTCGTCGTCCGAGATGATGATGACAGTGTCATCGACGTTTGGTGCTGCGATGGGCATGTGGTGTCTGCGCAGGCGCCTTCGAGTAGCAGGCGTTTTTTGTGAGAGGAGGAGGGCTTGTTCAACAACGGGGCGAGGAGGGGAGCACGAGCACGGAGCACGAGGTAATTAACGCTCAGCGCTCAAATTTTCAAAGCTTCAAGATCGACTTCCCGGCTCGCCGGTCATGGTCCTGATCCTGATTAACGACGATACCATCATGATTCATGACCCTGTCTGTCGACCATGTCCTGCCTTCGAACAGCTCGGATAGCTGGGACTTGGCCGAAATCTTCTCGTACGCCGTCGCTTGCGGTATCTATCTCACTGCATCCACGATTGCGCTCGTCGCATTGCCATCATCTCGCAGGCCCTCATCTTCGCCACACATGCATGGGTTCTTCAAGGAGAGGCCGTCTGTTGCGCTGTTTGCGGCGTTCTGCGCTGCGCAGCTCGTGACGACGATCATCACTGCGTACGTCGACTGGGGCTTCACGCACCCACGGAATCTCTAGTAGTTGGGTCAACATCGCTTATGTCAGGGTATGTTTTTGATAACCTTATCATGGCCCTCGACACCTACTAAGCTATGCATCTGCAGGACAATGTCTGGTTCATCTCTGACGACTGGATCAAGTTCGCGATGAAGGCTACCATTATTCCATGATCGAGAGTCTTCGCAACCGCAGCGCCGCAATGCGTAGGCTGCCATCGCCCAGTCCGCACCCGGCCCAGTCCCGAGCCGCGACTGCCATCCACAAGACCCTTTACTAAATGGAATCCCCTCCTCCTCCTCCTCCTCCTCCTCCAACCGTGTGTCGCTCATCCGCGGCGTGGGACACGAGGAAGAGTCATTTGGCTACCACCTCATCTGACAATTGTCTGACGCGCAGGTACGTCGTTAACCGGAACCCTGGTAGATTTCCGCATTCATCCCGCTTAGAACTCATGTGTTCGGATTCCGCAAAGTCGTCCTCACTGCGCTTGGCCGGATCGGTTGGTTATTTAGGTGCGCCTTCAGTGATCATGCTCCCCAACAATGCGCTGATCGGTCGCCCAGCATTTCGTCGGTGTGCCATTCCGTAGGTAACCTTTCGTATATCAGGAGCCTTTCTTTAAAATTTTGAGACCTGTTGCAGACAACCTGCCTGAGATGTTGCCGTGGTGGCGGATGCGATCAAATACGCGCTCGGGGACTACTAAGTACTCTAGTAGACTCTGGCGGAGCTTCATCATTATGCAGCGCAAGTTTATCGAGAGCACGGGCAACGTCGTGTTCTGCAAGGACATGCGCGACGAGGTCGTGCGGGAGTACTCCTCTGCGTCGCCCGTCGTGCATACACCCGTCCCACCAAGGAAGTGGGTGCTGCTGATCGCATCATGAAGTTGGCAGCCAAGGCTGAATATGAATGCGGACCACAGCATTCACCTCCAGGGACTCGCTTCCCCGCGTCTGCCGGTGGTCGCCACGTGCGGCCAAAGACGTTGATATTACCTCGGTGAGCATCCAACATAGATTGCACTCCCTTCCCCTGCCACTCACTTCCTCGATCTAGGTCCCACACCCCCTCGCTTGTTTCGTGTGCTCTCCCCGCCGCTCAACGTCATGCATCTGTGGATTGCTGCCTCACGCGCCCCTGGTGAGTCTCGCCCCACTCCCTATCACACCCTCTCGTTCTGCCTCTAGGCATGGCGGCAGCGATGACAATGCCACCCTTCGCCTCCCCGTTGATTATGGCCTGCATCTTGAACATTATGTCGCGCTATTATAGCCCCGGTTGATCTGCGCCACCCGTTTTTCTCAGCCGCTTTTGGTGTAAGCATTACTCTTCGTTCTCGGGAGTGACGTACTGTCTAGTGACGTCGGTGGCACAGGTTTGTCCCGGGCTGTATGTCTCGGCAACCATCTTTTGCGACACTGCCGTTTCCGGTTCCAGACGCGCTGGGCAAAATTCGCCCACTCGGTGGTCATCCGCATATAGAGCCAGCACTATACAGGCTATCTCGATCAGCCCTACGCGAAGAACGCTTCGTTCCTCGCGTCTATGTAAACCAGGAGGACAGCGCTAGCGCTAGGCAAGATCACGCACACCCACGCGCGCGAATGCTCAGAGGGCCCTCGTTAAAACAAGCAACTCCTCAAGCTCAATACAACTTGTCCAAACATACGGAGATCTCGAGAGGACAGCAGGACGGTGGACTGAGGTGAGGCAACTGTATTTTCATTAGAACGCTCGAACGAGCCGGCGAATGTGCATCGGACGTGAGGGACTCGCTCTCGCCATAGATGATCGTTCCGCAGTTTCAAGCCAGTTGTATTCCACTTGCATATAGCGGCCTCAACAGGCCTCAGTCTCCCGTTTCAAGCTACGATAGTTTTTCTCTCCCTAGTCTCTCTCAGGCTCTCCCGCGCACTCCAGATCGTCAAGCTTGCCCGTCGCTGCATTGCTAGTCTGCCATTTCTCTCATCCTCCGTGACATGACCGTGGTCGCGATACATCATCAGCACTAGCCGTGTCTCGCGTCTGGATGCACCCTTCAAGCTTTAAAGCTTTAAAGCTTTACGCTCGAGTCACCGTACTACGTCTGCGCGGACCTTAAGGGGGGATTCCCAGTCTCGCGCAAGTCCGGGCCAGCGCTTCACGCTCTTCAATTTGTGTGCACTTTGCAGCTCGTTTCAACGCCGTACTTGCGGTGATTTCCTCCCTTGTCCGTTTATTAAGACCTGCTGCAACATCGGGATGATGGTTCTTGACACCACGATCGGGGCGTGAAGGTCATCAGGTGCGCGGTCTTCTACTTATGCATGAACGTTATCAGGATGCTCGCATACGCAAAGCAAATGCGATGTATCTGGGTCTGCAGCTGGTGCTGATGCTTCAACATCAATTTCAGGATGACCTTGGTCAACGATGCTGGGCGTGCCACTTGCAATGACATCGTCTGCGCTGTTCTGATGGCCACTACCCTCGCTGGTACTTGAACCACGATTGCTGCTGGTACGCAAACCGCGATTGCTGCTGGTGCCACGGCCTCCCCCCGTACGTCCCTCCTCCACGCCCACGGTTGCTTGGGCGGCCAGACATTGAGGAAGACAATCGGAAGATACAGAGGGACTTGGCGAAGTATGCTGTAACGCAGGACTGAGTTGGAGAGAATCAGACGAGCCTTGTTCTGGGACTTGGGCTGACGTGTCACAACGTCTGGCCGCGGATTCCCAGCCTCGGCTATTGTAATCACAGATCAAAATACTGCACTTCGTCTTTTACTCTCATAGCCTACGAAATCGTTCCGTCACGCCCTGTGTGTGCAGCAAACACTGCTCATCCACTTCATCGTCCACATTGGTGTTCCACCTGCTCACGATCATTCCCCACTAGACACGCTTTCTGCACACATGCGCGCAATCACAAAGTCCCGCAGGTTCGACTTGGGAACCCGAGGCTCTATTACCACCCACATATCGACGGTAAGTCAACTTGTGCTGTCACAGCAGCGGCATATGTATTGACTCGCTTGAAGGCCGACCTTGCAGCAGATTTGGTGAATCTCTAGTCCCCGGCTCGCCTCCACCACGCGAACCTCTCGATGGATTCATGCCTTTCGATGACCGCCCATCGTTTGAGTTCGCAGAACTGGTCTTCGGGAAGATGCTGTGCCCAACCACGCGAGCTCACGACGCCTTCGTGATCAGCTCCTGCATGATCTTCACTGCTCTCTTAAACTTTGTTTGCCTTGTCCTCCGCTGCACCGTGCTTGTCCCAGTCCCACATCCAGCGGGCCCGCCGTTCATCCACATAAGGTCGTCGCTCCCGAAAGCGATGCTCGTGTCCAGCCCGTAAATGACCTCGCTCCCCGGCGGCTGCTCCGTCGGGATCGATTTGAGGATATCGTACAGCTCGCCGACGAGCGTCGTCGCCCCTGTGCTGACAGCGTCTTGCGCTCCTCGTCGCCCAGGGAGGGTGTCCCGTCGGGACGCACGGCGGCGGTGATGTTCCAGCTGGGCTGCGAGGGTGTTCTGGTGATCGTGTAGATCGCGCTCGGGGTGGGAGGGGCGATGCCTCCGGTGATCCCTATAGGTAGCGTAGATGTGTGAGTCGATGTCTGCTCGTATGATCAAGACAAGCTGTGGCTGACCGTGTTGCAGGCGGAGCGAGAACTCGGTCGGGGCCATGGTGATTTCGTCGGGACACTGGGCGTGTAGGGACTACGAACGGAGGGTTGACTGTGGGTATGGGTGAAGGCGCGATTGGTACGGTGCGATCGTTATCCGCAGCTTATAATGCGCGTTGTGAGCCTCCGGATACGTGCCACTCGGCCAGACGCGCTCATGCGCGGTTGTGGCGGAAGCGCCACTGCGCTCCTGATTGGGCTTGTCACGTCATTACTAGGCACGCTAGCTCGAGGCCAAGTGCTCAAACCAGCGTAACTTACCAGTAACAGTAAGTACTCGACCATAATAAATTTGAAGGTGTATGTGGGGGATAGTACTGACCTTGAAGTTGTCGTATGTGGGTAGCCGTGTGAAGACTGGCTGGCCCGCCGTCACGGTGGCACTGACCTGCCAAGTATTGAAGCAAGGTACGTACTAGACCTAGTGAAGCATCTACTCAAGTTGTCAGGGAGCGGTCACAGCTAAAATTGCTGTACGACACCGTGTAAATTGACTCCTCTCACGTCTGTAGAGCTCTTCGGTAACCCTCGATTAAGGCGCTCGTCACGTCTGTATTTTGAGCCAACGAAAACCAAACTCAATGACCGGTATGTCTGAGGATTGGGCCAGGGTCGCCAGAAGAGCTAAGAGGTGAGTCGGTATGCGGCTTCTGCTTTAGTATTGCCATGATTACGGTCACCTACCCCCTACGACACAGTAGAGCGGCGGTACAATGAGACTACCGCATTTGGTCTACCGCCGACTTACGTCGGCGCAACCTGACCTCACTGCAGACGAGTGCGAGATGGGGTCGCACGAAAGCTGTGTACATTACTTCGCCCTTCTCGAACACGTACTAGGAGCTACAATTACACAGTCAAATTTGAACGTCGCCCCAACACCAGATACAAGACCTTCAGCAGCTCGTGTCGGCCCACTTGTCGAAGAAAGCCAAGTAACGCCTCCAGCGGCCTCCGTCAAAGCTCTCAATGCGCTTCCAATCCTCACTTCCCAGCATGATGCGCAACCAGATCAACACCCCAGCGACATACGTGTCGGCATGGGTGACCTTGCCGTCGTCGCCGCCAGGGCCCCCGCCGCTCAGCAACAGCCTTCCATCGCCAGCCGCGACAAACCACGACGCAACGACGCTGAACGCCTTCTCCGCGACCACCCACTGCTCCGCGCGCTTCTCGGACCCGGGCGGGCTGAGCTCCAGCTTGCACCCCAGCGACTTCTCGCGCGTCTCGAAGAAGTACTCCGCGCTCCGCGGGCTCAGCACCGTCGCGATGGCGTGCAGCATCAGCGGCATGAGCTTCTGGTGCAGCTCCGTGGCGAACGCCTGCACGAAGCCCGCCTGGAGGGCGCGCGTGTCCGCGGGGAGGAGCGCGGGCGTGGCGGGGTAGGTCTCGTCGAGGTAGCGCGCGATCCTGGCGGACTCCGTGACCGCGGTGCGCGTGCGCGGGTCGTAGATCACGGGGAGCGTGTACGGCCACGGCGCGACGGACGGCGGGTTCGGCTCGACTCCGAGGGCGGTGAGGACGGACGCGATGTCCGGGTACTCGACGAATTGCGTGCGGTACGGGAGGCCCTTGTAGTTGAGGGCGAACCTGGGTTGTGGAGGTCTAAGTGAGTAAACGCAGTTAAACGGGAAGATGCGCACCTCGTCTTCCAGCTGTTGGGCGACCAGGCGGTGCCGGGCACGGTCCCGGGGATGTCGTAAAAGATGATACGGTCGGTGTCGGGAAGCGTCATTGCGTTGGGTTGCAACGAGTTATGCGACGGTGGATGCGACGGTGTATTTACAGACACTGCTGAAGCACTGGAATGCCGGCAGCTGCTGTTGGCGCGAGACCTTAAATGAGTGCGCCAGGACCAGCCCAGTCGCTCTGGCTCACTCAGCGCTGTCTGCAAAACGCTCTGTCAGCGAATGTTCTTCAACAGACCCCGTAGCACATCATGGACAGATGAGTCACTGTCCATGCTTCGTGCTCAGAACGATCGTGCTACATTGAAAGCAGGATGCCAGTACCAGGGAGCTGCGACATTTAGTGTCAATGAGTTGCACAGTTGTTCTGAGGGATACGGACCTTTCTTTTAAAGCCCGAACTCAAGAACCAGAGTGTCAGGCAAGGATACGGGGGCAAAAGGATGGATTTCTGGTGCGCTATGTGCGGTTGTCCGATGCAAAGTCCAACTGGGGCTGGGCGTTTCGCGCGACGCGCTTGCGTCAGGTGATGGCGTTGAATCACCAGCGTTCGACTATCCTGACTGACTGACTGACGCAATACTCGCGATACGCGCTTGGTAACAACCGCTGGGGTGACTAAATGGAATACCCTCCTCCTCCTCCTCCTCCTCTATAGACTATTCATGCCAATATTAGCAAGACGGAAGGAAGAAAGAGGTTTTCGAGCGTGAGGGAACTGGCCAGCGCGGAGAGGGGATAAGCGCCCTCCCGTATATCATGTATGTACGATGTCTCGACGGCTGAGGAAAGAGTATAGCTCCCTCCTCCGAGATCAGTCACGGCGGAGGAAATTGCAGTGAAGTGAGCTGTCTCCAAGCTGTCCCTGAACTTAAGGCTCAGAAGTCCTCGCCCGAAATGTGTACTGCAAGTTTGGTACACTCATCTGTGGACCTGAACAGAGCCGCTCCTAGGTTCCTCGCACCTTCTACCCCACACCAGTGTTCGCAAACAGGTCCAAGACTCTGCTGTCATTCCGTGTCTTCGGTGGCCTGATCCTGCGCACGAGCAATGACAGTGTATGAACAGTCTCACATGCACCATCAGCACAGAGATCGCGATGCAAGGCCGGGACGCAATCGTGCGCACTGTCTTACGTCGTGAGACGGGCATCCCAGGTAGTCAGCAGATCATGCAGTCCTCTTTAAAACTGAGGTTGTACATGGCTTTATCAACCGTCTTCTCCATCTTTTGCCAGTCCGCCCGTCGCTGAATGAACTCGTATACGTCCTATGTCATGAATGTGAGTCACTAACAACTAACAAACCGATCTCGAGTGAAATCTACGTACCTCCGGTTTGTACGCGCCCCCGTAGCGCGTCACATCGCGGACAATCTGGGCCAAGTCTTTCGCATCCTCGACCACGTAGACGTGCCCGAGCATCTTGAGGTACGAAACCTCAGCTGCGATGCTGCTGACCTACACCGGGATCAGTACAGACTACGTGCCTATCTCTTTACATCATACCTTCAATGACGAGATGAATGTATGATACGCATTCAAGTCAGCGATGACCTGGAATCCACCGTTGAGCGATATGATCTGCCGCTTCAAATGCTTCTGGAGGATGCTGCAACCATGCGGGCCCGGATTAGAACTCTGCCTCGATCGGGTGGCAGAGCAACGACTCACGCAATCAAGCGAATACCGATCTCCTGGTAGAAGACCTCGAGCACTTCCTTGCTCGTGCTCCCCTTAAGCAGCTGGCAATGCATCTTCAGGCACTGGATCGCCTCGACGCAGCCCTTCGACGGTCCCAGCTCGAGTGGAGAACCCTCTTGCGGGTAGTATGCGCGGGGGCCGGTGAGCTTCATGATAATGTGCTCCACCTACGCGAACCGTCGATGAGTCAAATGCCGCAAGAGTCATCCCGGTAGACAACATCATACTTGGTTCATTAGTGCATCAGTGCCAGCGTTGAGCCCGGCAGCGACGCAATCATCGAGCACATCTTCAAAGCGCTTCTTCTCACGTACCACGGCGTTCAGGAAGTCGGTACGGTCAATGTGGGGTGCCTATACCGTGTGCTCAGCCCCGACAATGCTCGAAATGTGAACACGACGAACTCACCAATTCCTTGTCGAAGTACACCTGGACCATACTCTGGATGGTGTCGCCCACATGCACCAGCTCGAAGAACTGGAGTAGGGGCGCGACACTCCTCGTCTCTTCGTGCTCCGCCGGCTGGTATGTCCTCATCTGCTGCGTCGCTCTGTTCAGACGAGTCAGCATCTCGCACATTTCTCCATCACGCGTCGACGAGGTACACACGTATCAAACCCGGGCTTGACGTGCCGCTCGCCGATCGCCTGGAGGAGGAGTACGAAAATCTCCTCGATCGTGTCCCGTACTCGGTGGCCGTACTGCCCCGGGTATCCCGAGAACGTCTCCGCTCGCTTGAGAGACTCGCGATCGGCGTGGATGAGCTCGAGGGCGATGTCGAGCGAGAGCAAAAGATCAAATTTGTCGAAGGCGGCGCGGGTAGCGGAGTGGACGTACGCGTAGAAGTCGAGGTTGAGGAAGACGTCGTCTTGGAGAGGATGGACGGTGTAAGCTGGGAGTGGGCGGTCGTACTCGACGACACGGACCCTAGTGTATATGTCAATACCCAAGCAAGCACTTACAGGCGTACACTCACATCTATCTGTCTTCTCATTCTCGATCTCCATATCCTTCTCATTTGCGAACTCATCTCCGTCCTCACCCCCCGCATCCCCGTCCGCATCCTCGTCCACATCCCCGATCTCGAACAACGTGCTCCCGTCTTTGCCCTTCTCGAAGTCTTGTGTATACCAGTTCTTCTTATAGTCCACACTCCCTCCCCGAGACTGCCGCCAAGAGCCGAGCTTCGAGAACCTCTTCCCAATCCCTCCTACACCACTGCCTCCCCCAACACTGTCCGCGTCACCCGCCGCGCTCGCAAGCCACTTCTGCGGGTTCAGCATCGAGATGCCCTGGACAGCCGCGGAGCCGCCCGCCGCGACGGCCTTGCCGACGGTAGCCGCTGTGCGCGGGACAATCGTCACGGGCAGGAGGAGTACATCCGTGAAGGACGCGAGCACGTTGCGCTTCACCTGCGCAGGGTTTGACGACCCGATGAATCGCACCTGCGTGTGTTCTGCAGTCGTCTGCTGCCCGGGGATGGCTGGCCCGGATGGCTGGAGGAACTGAGAGCGGGATAAGAGCCAAGGCAGGGTAATGTATAAGAGAGCGTACCTGCACTTCCCAGGCCCGACACGTTCGCTCGAAGCATGCTTTGACGAATTCAATCTCCTCGTCGAGATACTCGTCCATGTTCGGCTCGAACATCCGATACCTGCGTCCGAATATTAGACCTGCGCCGCGGAGGGAAAGCTGCGAACATGTACTAACGCGACGTCCTCCGCTTGGGCTTTCGTGACCAGCGAGTCGCTCCGCTCGGACGCGACCTCGAAAACGGCGTCGGTCATCCGCCACGCCTCCCTGAACGACGCGGCACATGCCTTGAAAACGTCTCATTGCTGAGCTCGCGCGCGGGTCAAGAGCGGCGCGACGTACTCGCCTACCTAACACCACCACTTCAATACAGAGACGTTAGGAATCGTCACTGTAGACTCACCACGTCCCCCGCTAGCCGATCGCAAACGCGAGTAGCACGCCTGTCGCGGCGGGAATACGCGAACCGCTCTCGCACCGTGCTCCCGGAGCGCCGCGAGGATCTCGCCCATGAACGCGTCCATCGCGTCAAAATCGAGTTGCCCGTCCTCCGCGAAGTTGTCCAGCGGGTGCCACTTCGCCTGCTCATAGAAAATCTCCCGCTTCTCGATCCACACCGTGCCCAGCTCCCAGCGCACCTCACTGCTCCCTCTGTCTGTCTCCCCAAAGCCAACGCTCCTCCCCTCGCCACCACTTCGATCCAACACTTCCCAGCTCGCCTCGGCCGCCTCGCGCATCCCGGCTTCGTCTGCTCGTCCATCCGCGACGTCGAATGCAGTAAGCAGGGCGTCTTCAAACCGGTCCGTCGCGGCTCGTAGCGCAGCCGAAAGCGCTGACCACGAACGCAGTGGTTTTACGCGTGGAGAAAGGAATAGCGCTAGAAGGCGTAGCGTATGTGCCTGTTGCAGCGGTGTCTGGAACGGCGAAGGCGAGGGTGCGGAGGTTGGAGGAAACAGGGTGGAGAGGACAGTATGTGGGGGTGCGTAGAGCGCGGGGACGAGTGGTTTGAGGAGGGTGTGTACGCGGATGTACTGCGCGCGATAGGTCGGTTTCGGCGGCGGCCCTGGTGACGTTGGTGTCGCGAATGTAGGGAAGGCAGAGCCCGGACGAGGCGTACCAACGGTTGAGAATGCACCTAGAAAAGACTGAGGGATATGTCCCCGACAGGAGAATGCACTACTCACTGACGAAGTCACCCATCTCATCCGCAGGCGCATTCAACACCGCCGAGCCCTCTCCGCCGGACGCGAAGTCGCCAAAGTCGTCGTCGCCGATGTCGACCGTCAGCGTGGGGGCGCGCCGCCCTTGCTCACCCCGTTGCGCTCTCTCTCCCGCTCCTCCAGCACGCCCAGCACCTCGTGTAGGTGACCCTTCCCTTTCCTGCCTGTGTCCGTGCTCGCGCGCCCACCTGCACCCGCACGCTTCCCGTAACCCTGCACGTCGTCCCCCAGCCCGTCGTCCAGCCCGAACAGCCGCCATCTCGCCTCCCACACACGCTCGTCGCGCACGAGCGCGCCGGTCGCTCGGCATGCCTGCGCGTACGCGGGCAGGTCGGGCACGGCGAGGTGCGTGAGCACGACGATGTGCAGGTCGGCGGGAAGCCGGCCGATCCGTTCGAACGGCGCGGGCCCTCGCTGGCGGGCGTGCGCATTGGCGAAAGGCGAGCTGGAGGGTGCTGCAGGGCGCGGTGTTAGAGGCGAAAAGCGCGAAAGGCGGTTCTTGGACGAAGCCGATGGAGGCGAGGCAGCAGGAGAGTTGTAGAGTCGGACGGGCTCGAGGGTCGTGAATTTGTCCCTGCTGATGTCTTGTATACGCGCATGATGGTTGTCTTATGGCCGGACAAGATGGCAGATATAAGGAGCAGAGTTATCGAGCAAGTCAGACGAGAAGAAGGAGGAGGAGGAGGAGGAGGAGTAATTGACGGACGCGGGCTCGCGACCGAACGCGCTTCTACTGCGCGATGCTGTTATATTCCGGCTACCTTCGGATACATATGCATGTATGTACTTAAGTACTGCGCATGTACCGCAGAAACCTTACCATGTACTTTCGCAGAATGGTAGGCGATCAGGTGCGACGGTGAACGTACTCAAGACTGTGATGATGGTAAGTATTTTACCACGAAAACGTCACTCATACGACATGCTCATCGCATCTCTCCTCGATGCAACTCATGACCACGACCCACAGACTGCCAACGTCGGTGACTCGTTCGCAGTACCACAGCCGCGGCATCGAGCCTTCTGTGTGAGAGTTCATGTCTCCCCTTAATGTACGTGTACATGAATCCAACTCTGACGTCGTCATGTTTTGTTCCGTGCTCCGCGACTACCTTTAATACCGCCCGTTCAGCATGTCGGCCCATGTGTTGCTTCCAAGCTGCTTGTATTATCAACGCTGTCCTAACGCTCGTTCGAATTGGCCTTTTGCCGTATCAGAAGCCCCACTGCTCGTCCGAGCCTCGAATTGTCTGTTGCAGGTCAGGTCGGAAGTCCAACGAAGTGCTGCATACTGTATAGCAGCACTTTGGGCGCGGGCGGGTGGATAGTTTCACTCGGTCGTAGTCATCACAATGGATGCGACAGTTGACTAACAATCTCACCCCTTCGACCAATCCGCACCGCTTCAACTGCCCGTTCAATCACAAAGAAGGGCCTTGGAATCGGACGCGGTACGATCCAACTTGCGGTGCACAACCACATGATCCTCAGCACGATGACGATACTTCTTCTATGCTTTTGTCACAGTCCGGCGCGGCGAGTCGAGTAGGATCCGACTTCTGGCCTCGTGTAGGACACGTCGTTTGGCCCCTTCGGCGTTTGTGATTGATGATGACGGACTCCAGACCCCAGCGAATAGCGAAGGCCTCTTATCATGGCGACTCGCAGCGCGGAGAGCATGATGTTCGGCGCTCCGAACGAAGGACAGTGGTCGATCAGAGTGAACGGGCGTGCCGGCGTATTTGGGCGCGTTCCAGCAGAGGTGTGTCGCCAGACATCCCGGTGGCCCATCTGTCTCATCTCCTTCCGTCTATGCGCAGGCCGACGAGTGAGACGTCATCCGCCGCCATTCAGGTCTGTGTCGTGCTTCGATGAGTTCTATCTGGCGGAACGCTCGCCGGGCCGACGAATCATCGACCCAGTTGTGGAAGGTGCGATGCCCTATGTATTTCTCTGTACTGACAACATAACAAACCCGTTGCCCCCGGACTGCGAGTGATGAAGACACGGTTGCGGTTGCGACCCATTCGGCAAAATGAGGCTGTTCGAAGACGGCGTGTACGCGGGGGCATTGTGCGGAGACGCCGTTCTCCTTGGGTCGTGCAAGTCCTCATCTCCCGTCTCCTGTGTCCTGCGCCCTGCGATCCCCAGCGACTACCGCGACATTGCCTGCCTTCGCCCTCTCTCGCGCTGGTTGTCAGGACCGCTGCTGGTGTTGTTATCGACCTACCGAAGTACGTGAGAAGCAGTGTTGTTGAGACATTGTAGATTGACGTATATCCGCGTTCAGGGACTGTCCGTAGAGATCCATAGCTAACTCGCTGCACACCGTTGGACGGTCTTCACCCGATCGCGGTAGCCAGGAGGTGCGCTTTATTCCTTGATATGTCTTAGCTCTGCGATTTGACTTGATACCAGTAAATATCCTTCGACTTGCGCGAATAATGTTTGATGAACCCGAAGAGATCGAGATTCACTTCACGCCCGCTGTCTATACAAGGTACGGTCCTGTTCGCGTCAATCATTGCATTGCTCATGCCCTCCCAGTAATGCATCTCCCACTATGCCGCACGAGATCATCAGCGTTCGTGAAAACGCCGAAGAGCCGTATGCACACATTTCCTCTACGTGTGTCCGGATGCCTTCTCTCGGCGGTCGAGCACCTCTTTATCTCACAGCTAGACTGGATTACGCCGGTCGCGGAGACGCAGCAGTTGTATGCGGCTAGTGGGATACAACGCACCGTCAGCGGCACCGTCAGCGCGTCCTTGAGTGGGACACAGTGATACTCACAGCTCAGTATGTAGATGAGGGTCGTGTCGGTGTCCAAGATACCCGCCTCGTTGGGACAAAAAGAGCATCTCGGGGCCGTACGAGATGGTCTGGGTGATGCCGACGTAGTGTCCGGCCGGCTCCATCGACGGTGGGTGCACTCAGGAGGTGCACAGCGAAACAGGGCGCGCCGGCCTATCGCAGACTACTGGCTGCGAGTGCACCATAGGGTACGCAGTCGAGGGTAGTGGGTACTACGACTCACCTGTGGTTTGGACGAAAGGGCGCACCGGCCGAGAAATAGCGAAGCAGTCAGGCGTGGCAGGGTGAACGCGAACGTGTGCGGAAGACGACAGTGGTAGATGAAGCTTTGAAAGGCAGGTTCAGATCTTCAGACGGGGTTGCGGAGCACAGTGGCGCAGTGGCGCCGAAATAAGCGCCTGTCAGTAGTCCTCCCTCCGAAACTCAAGTCATTTATCCTCGTTGAGTTGTCACGCCCACCAGCAGGACCACTTCAGGGAGGGATATACTGGTAAAATTGTACCTCACAAAACTCTCAAATTAGCAGAGGTCGCCCAATTGCCCGAGAAAATCCATTGGCCAGGGCCAACATCGCCCTCGGCCGCGGCGTGTTCACCTCGACTCAGGCTCTACGATTGTCTACTCCTACTGCTACAACCTTGTCTATTTATCTACTAACTCTACCCATCCGACCGAACTTGCCTGCCATCTCCGCGAGATGATGCGCTTCCGCGTCCCTCGAGGCGTCGGACACAGCCCTGCGATCGCATACACTCGCGGGCGGCCACGTCGACTCTGCTGACAGGCTCCACAGACATGCGCCACCCACGGACTCAGCGAGCTCGCGAGGTGAGACCGGGACATGGGCAGACGGGTGTGATCATCTTGGTGGGTCCCAACTGGGTAAGACACTAGGAGGTCGAGGATACGACGGGCGCCATGAGGACACAGACCCTCTGCGTCGAGAACCTGCGGCGGCTGAGGGATGGCGAGGAGGTCTGGAATCGGGTTGACATCAAGAGGGGATATTAAATGCAAGATGTGTTGTGCATGTCGCATGCTTTCACGGCAAGAGGTAGAGATGACATAGATCTAGAACAAGCATGCTGGGATAGAATCCCGCTCTGTATGGCAGAAACTTGAGGTACTTACCTTGCGACATCACTAGGCATGCGACAAACCATGTTGACTTCACACCAAAGTACGCGAAGCACCAAAGGAATCGCTATCCCAGAAGTCAGGTCGTTAAGAAATGTAAAGTACGGCTATGCGCGGCTATGGATACAAGTGAACTGCAATGATGTTAGAGCTACACCAGAGCGTCAAGTCAAACAAATGCCCGCATCGTCGTGCAACGACGGGGTTGACTGAAAATGTGTTGTCCGGTTCGTGAGTTGAGCGTCAAGCTCTTCATTGGACCGTGAAGCTAGTGGCGCACCTGGTCAGCGCGTGCTGCCCGACATAGGATCGCGAAGGACTCACTAGACCATGTCATCGAGCGAACCGTGCTGTGCGACCGCTACGAGCACCGCCTGGTGGTTCGCCGCGGCGTTGATGCTCGCCATCCTGTACGTGCCCTTCCAAAGGCCGCCGCTCACCGTCGTCGACAGCTGCCCGTTCTCCGCGACCGCGTTCAGGCCCGAGAAGAACGCGAACTTGGTCGGATCCGTCGGGTCCGTCTGGTTCATGCTCGTGATCGCCTCATGGATAAGGCCCGTGCTGGGGTTCACCTGCTGCGACGCGGCGAAGTAGTTCGTGTTGGGGTTCACGGACCAGCCCGTCTCGAGGTTGCGGATGGCGAGGACGACGGTGAAGTTCGTGTTCGCGAGGACAGACCCGAGGTTGGGCGGGTAGACGAACTTGGCGGAGGGCATCGCGGTCGTGGCGGCGATGGCACCCATCGGCGCGGCGTTGCACGAGCCCGCCTTGACCTGGGTTCCGTTCGTGAGCGGGAGGTTGACGGTGGAGCAGTAGTTGATGAAGTTATTGGAGGAGGTGATGGAGGCGATTTCGCCGGACTCGGAGCTGAACCTGGGGCGTCGCAATTAGGGAGGGCACACTGTCGCTCAAAAAGCGCAGTTAGTCGTTCGTGCCGTCATCCTCGAACCCGGTGTTGATCAGCGAGTCGAGGAGCGTGAGCGAGGACTGGGTGGCGGTGTCATTTCCGCTGCCCGTAGCAGTGCTACTCGGCGCAGCCAACACGGACACGCTGGTCGCAGCACCTCCGGTAGCACTCGCTGCGACAGAGGACGTCGCAGAAGACGTCGAGTTCGAAGATGACGAGGCCCCGGTAGCAGCAATGCGTTGTTGAAGATCATTCTGTGTCGTGCAGGTGATGCTCGTGCCCTGCGAGTTGACGAGCGGGAGCGCGGCGCAGCTACACGGGTTGGTCAATATCCCTGACTGCAGCGAAGATAGAGATAGAACACAACGTACATCAATCCGGTTCCGCACGACTGGAGCACGTACATTTGCCGGCAAGGCATTGCGTGAAGGAGTTGTTGACGCATGCCATGTCAGTGCCAGTTGTGCAGGATGAGTCAGCCGTCAGGCTCGCAAACTGCGCGCTGAAAGGGGGCCACATTGTCAGGCCTCGTATGCAGGATGACGCATGTGATCGTCACACACTTTTGAGCCATCGCTTGCTGGCCATTCTGCAACGCGAAACCGCTGTCTCGGGACAGTATGTGGCGAGGCAGCGCCATGGTGGCGGTGGCCAGAGACAAAGCCAGAGCAGCAGAGAACTTCATTTTTCAGTCTAGTGATTCGGGAGTTGCGAGCGAAGTCCTGTGTCCGGTGCGTGCTGAGTGGGCAGATGCACGTCAGGCCGCGTGACCAGTGGAGGGTTGCTGTGCGGAGCATGGGCGCGGAGAGCCAGAGGGCGGAGGTGAGATGCGCGGGATGTGGACGTGTAGGAGAGGGAGGCATAGTCATAGTGCATGCACGAGGAGAGAAGAGTGGAGAGGGCTGAGACACTGGCGGTGTTCTCGGCTCGTACTTCCTCGCGAATCTTCCTGTTCGGTGGCCTCTCCTCCCCCTCGAGACGAGTCCCGGTCCTGCACTTGTCCGCATGGCTCATCTGTCTATCTCGCTGTCGCCCTGCGTCAGCGAGGGGACTTGCTTGTCTTGAGGGCTGTCCGTGTGTGGTACGGTAGAGGTCGGGTCGCCAGGGTGCGAGAAAGGTGACACGCGCCGGCCTGCCTGCCTACTGACGGAGGTTGAGAACCACGGGTCGAAGCTGTCGTAGCGTACAGGTTCCTCTGCGAAGGCGGCCGAGAACACTGGTCCGCCGGTATAACTGCTCGGCGACAACCGATGGAACCGTCGTGCAGCGCCGCAAGGCGAGAACGCGCGTGTTCTCTGTTTGAGAGGGCCCGCAGACGCGGCACGCTTGGGGAGAGATCCGTGCCATCCCGGAAGCTATGCGGGGTCGTAGGCGGGGTCAGGTAGGGACCGGGATTTGGGACGTATGTCGTCGCAGAATTGAGGATTTCGCCGTCGCTCCTGCTGCGTAGTAGGGAGCGTTTGCCCGGGCCGCTGCTCGTCTCGACGTTCATGTCCTTACCGAGCCAGAGACGCCATTTGATTCGAGTGCGTTGCCAACGGCGCGTTTGCACCGACCAATCTCACGTGGTGGTAAGCCTGCGAGCTTTGCCCACGCACGATTAGAATAATACAAACGGGGAGACTTTGCGCAGCCCCGAGCTCTTGCAGGTCACCGCGGGAGAGGGCTCGAATGGTTTGGTAGCGACACAAGAGTGGTGGTCGAGGTAGCCTCAGAGGACCTCGATGCACGCAAGGTCCAGGGTGCGTCGAACGAGGACGGGCGCGTAGCTGCAGAGCACGGACGTGAAGGAACAAAGGCGGATGTGAAGGCGCGTCGAGGAAGGATGCGCGGAACGCGGGCGTGGAGGAGAGGGAGGTCGAGGGCGAGTGACTTCGTACTCACCGAAGTCGTTCCGATTCTCCCGTCTGCGCCGGTCCATCCGCGCGCCAGTCAGTGCATCCTCCAGGTGCTTGGCTGAGTGCACAGGCGTGCTCAGAGGCATGACCAAGCCCCGCTATGCTTGAAGGATCGAAGACCGGACTGGAGCTTCGAGACGGCGTTGCCGAACTGTCCTCGAGTCCACGCATTTGGATTGCGGTCTGGGCCATAGTGTGCTGCGCCTCGAGGCAGAACTCGGGCGCCGTCTCGAGCTGTGTCGACAGGGATGGTGGCGGTCGGAGGCGGCGGGGTGGCAACAATCACTGGTGCGGGAGGTGGCGACGGCGATAGTGAGCGCGATCTCTCTGAGGCGTTCCTTTGACGATCACGCTGTTCTTGCTCCTCCTCAACCATACCCGTCGGCTCTGGCGTCCCTGGTCGACCGAGTTCGTCTCCGTCGCCTCCGCTCTACGTCGTCTTCCGCAGCCAGCTGCTCCTCATCTTCCTCGTCCACCCTCTCCAGCTCGTGTGGGACGATCGTGTTGATGCTTCGAGCGTCATCATATCGGAGATGTAGTGTTCTTCGGACGATTGCTCATGGCGGCGTACCAAGGGTAGCGAGTCTGTGCTTATGTGCTTATCGCGGACTACGGGTTGCGAGTGCGACTCACCGTCAACCGTCTCCCGCTAATGGTGGCACAAGTCGTGCACCGTGTTCAGGTGCGACGCACGTACAAATCGCAGACACGATGGAGCCGTGGAGGAGGAAGGGGCAGAACGCGCGGCGGAGTGAACACGAACGCGAGGGGAAGACGAAGAGGAACGCAGTACAAGGATGGCTCAAATCACGATCCTGGTGATCGTGCAAGCTTGACCGATTTAAGCGCCTGTCAATACTGCCTCACACCGATACTCAACTCATTTATCCTCGTTGAATCATCACGCCCACCAGCGACAAAACTTCAGGATGTGATATGTTGGTAACATTGTACCTTAGAAAACTTTCAGGTTAGCAGATGTCGCCCAACTGACCGAGAAAATCCAATGGCCAGGGCCGACATCGCTCGCACCTCGGCCGCGGCGTGTTCTCCTTGACTCTGCCCGGACTATTGCTGGCGCTCTGCTTAGTCTAACACACCTCCGCCTCGACTCGATTACGGTCCATTTTGCGCCTCAAGCTTTCAAGCTCTCAATAGTATGGGGCAGAATTTCCTGCTCTCTGCGAAGCGGAAGCTCCGATCGCTGCTTCGGATGTGTCAGCAGTGACTACGCCTCAGGCCTCAGGCCTCAGGGGCCGCTCACATCGAGTCGCTTCACCGGAGCGTGCTCAATGTTCTGGCTGCATACATGAACGTCAACAAGCTGTCGCTAGACACGACCCAATTCTTTCCATTCTCACATCTCTTGCGGTTCCTCTGTGCCTTCCCCGATCTTCAAACAATTCACTGTGTGGAAATACCAGAATGGGAGCTTCCGTCTGACGAAGCCATAGTATTGACCACAGTAGTCAAAGACGTGAAGGCATTCACCGACGTCTCTCTTGAGAACATACCTTCAGCATTTGCTGCACTATTCTTCAAGCTGTTTGCGAACAAGTGCCGCGATCTGCGGCATCTTCACATCCAGCTTGTGGATTCAGGCCGACTCGGCCCGTACTGACGTGGTTTGTGCATGCGCTTCCGTACGTCGCTGATCCCCTCGCAGTCTGCAGAGTGGCCCCTCGAGACGATCTTGCAGTAGAGCGTTGCGCTGGTAGCGCGGTATGTACTCTGGAGCGGGCTGGGTCGCTAAGCGGTATGCATCCGCCATAGAGGTGGCGAGATTGGGATGGCGAGAGGAATGAGCGACCAAAAGGAGGCAGAGAGAACGTTGGGTGACATGCGGATGCATACGATCAGAGAGCGTCGTGCGTGAGCAATTGAGACACTTACTCAGCAAATACGGTGCCACGCGTGTGCTTACGTCCACCGTCCGCGCGCGTCCGTCCTCGCGCTTCTGGCCTGCCGGTACGTAGAGCACGTCCGAGTGGTCGTCTGCTGGCCCAGTCGACGCTGCGCATCCCGCCTGGTCAAGCGTCTGAATCTTCTCGGCATGAGTAGCGAGCGATGATCGAGTCTCGCAGAACTGGCTCTGCAACTCGTTCAGGGCTTGTGTCGTGCATTTATTGGTACAACGCTCTGGGGCTGAGGCGGCATGATGGGGAAGAACTGAGGGAGGCGGATCGTGAGGCTGAGCAGCACGTCTTGTTTAGCCGTCGGCCTCGGAGCTAGTCCCAGAGTGAACGCACCAGTGTTTTACGCTAATTTTTCCAGCTCGAATTCGAGGCTCATAAATGCGCAGAGAACGCGCGCTGCATACTATGTCGATACTGGATTCCTAACGTGAAGCATGTCTGTTTCAACGCGAGCGACGTTGGCGGGTGAGGAGCGTACGTACGGATATGCCTTCGGACTGACACTCAAGCTCTTCAGGACTCGGCCGCTCGCTGTTGATAGACGTTCCATTAGAGCTCTTGCGCTTGACGTCCTTAATGCGGAACTACACTACACATGGCCGGGTGTGGTGCAACTGGTGAGATTTTCCCGTCCCCGCCCGCCCTGCGACGTACCTTTGCACCCTCCTCCCAGACTTGAGGAACGGCTGCCTCTGTTGCTCAGCGGGTGAAGATAGAGACAGGGAGGCGGGCTGGAGAAGGGAGGAGGCAAGACGACATTCGCAGCCACCAGTAAGTTATTGAAGGAGGAGCAATACTTAGCGCTAATAGTGGCTGATCACCGAGCGATCGAGTTGCGCGCGTGACTTGGACGAGCGCCTGTGAGTACTTGCTCCTACTCGCTCTCGCTGGTCCGAAGTTGTTTATCCTCCTTGAGCCCTCACTCGCACCGACGTCAAGCTTTGACATACTGGTGCGTCAGCTGTTTCCCATCTGAGGAAACTTTCAGAATAGAGAAAGTCGGCCAACTGACCGCGCCCCGCAGCCTCATCTGGCTATTCCGTATATGGCAGTAAGTTACATAAGCATGCACTCTCCCGAACGAAATTCAATTATCCTCCTTGTATGCCCCAGCCTCCTCTCGTGAACACATCATGTACTGACTGTAATGCGTATGATATATATGTAGAAACCTTTATAAGAGACGAAGTGTGCGAGGACAACGCATAGTAGCCATAAGCTTCACTGCATGAGTCGGCACACTGTAGCACGTGATCCAAGATTTTGGCTGAGCGTGTGCGAGTGCATCTCCCGTCTCCGCGTCTAGTCTACCGTCCTTCTCATCTTCTTTGCCGCCACTCCTCTCATGTCGAATTTTTCACCATCTGCAACCTATGAACCCAAGTCAAGAAGATCGCGTGTACCTCGATCGTGTGTACCTCGTCTGTATGTGAGTAAGCCGCAAGCCCGATCATGCCGCTGCCAACACTCTCATGCACATGTTTCAGTATCCCGGCGTTATCGACAACAGCAGCCTCCCTCCCGCACTACAACTCCATCTCAGTGACGATGAGGAACAAGCCGCGTCCCGCCCCTTCGCTCTCGAGACGCTCTTTCAGGCCGGCCTGCGTACGTCCGACCTGTCTTGGGTCTTCTCTGGTTCTCACACTATTCGCAGCCCTATTCCTTGATCCACCCGCTGATCGGATCCCCTTGTCTCCGTTGTTGAACGTGAGTTCCTCTTCGTACTCTTTGTCACAATCTTGGTCTGATCTTCCTCGCTCATCTTGCCCGCCCCCATACCGACTACTTTGTTACGCTGCTGGATGTACTCTCGGGACAATATATATTTGCGTTGTCTGGATGTTTCTCGGTGTCACGCCAGCAGATACTGGGCGAATGCGACAGTCCGGATGGCCGTGCGTGCAACACTGCTAGTGCGACGCCGCACGGTTCGATCTCGATGGTGGCACACCCATCCTTCGCCTCGTTGGTCGAGTGCAATGCAGCAGAAGCGAACTCGTCCGCCGCCCGCCTGGATCTCTGGCGCTTCGCGGATGCGAATCTGCCTCCGCGAGTCGGTCCACCAATACTTAACAAGCAGCGGCGTCTTCCTCTTCTACCGCCTCTGGCGCCTCCGCACCTTTTGAGTCTCTACGGTGCCCATCCTTACCCGGCGGAGTCCTTGCTCCGCCAGCCCCCTACCTGTCATCTTCCGCCTTCCATCTCATTCACTGCCCTCTTTCTGGCTGGGCGACTCGGGCTATGCAGGTAGTACGTCTCCGTTGTCAACCAGTCCTTCCTGATCCCTTTCGCTTCCTTAGTCTCCGAGTTCGTCATGCCTTCGTCCGCGCCGTGCTCACCCACTGTGCATGCGCAAGCTCAAGCTCAAGCCTTGCACACCACCGACCTGAGCTCGCTGCTATCTTATCATGTTAGTTTTCGAGAACCCACCTGCCAATTCTCTGTTTCTCTGTCTCAACCTCGCGCGTCCGGCGGGATTCGAGCTTCAAGTGCATGGCTTTCCAGGGTGAGACCTGAGACCTCACGGGATATTGTCTGGGCGGCATGATCTGATACTGATATACTCATTCTGACGTCGTAGCAACATCGCTCAGCTCAACCCCGCAAGCCTAACGTCGATTCAGATACGTGGTGCTCGGATACGTAATGCTCCTTTCCCGATAGGCCGTGTCGACGATCTCACTTGCTGAGACCACAAACAAGGAACTACGAGATGGTGAACTTAGTCAATGCCGCAGGCGAACGTTTCCCGAGAGACAAGCTACTCCTCTGCGATGGCCACCTGACTTCAGGCCTGCGCCAAGACACTAAACACATCGCATTTCGGAATGCTTTCCCTTACGACCAACGCTGGACGAGGCCACGCGCTCATCGTCCAATCCTTGCGCGTCCTTAGCGCTCCTTATCTGCAAGAAATGCAGCTCTCAAGGAACTCGCAGATGCGGTTGATCAACTCCTGTGGAAGCGTCGGGCACACGTCGCTATGCCCCACGTTATGTAATCGGCGACTAGTGGGATTGAAGCAAAGGCAAAACATACCTCGAATGCATGGGCGACTTGGAAAGTATTCCACTATTTGTGGTCCATGGTAAGCGGCCTGTGTTGTGGTAGAGGTGGAACGGCTGGATTGGGATAATTCTTGGGCAGTGCTTACCACTCTCGATCGCGCGGGGCTTGGCAGACTGAGGTGGAATCCGCTCCGCCACAGCGTCTCTTGATCGACTCTCAGCCTCGAATGACGGACGTCCCCGTCGACCCGCCGCCGCACAGAGGCGCTTGAGTCGAGCGCGTACTCTGTGACGCGAGAATAGGGTCGGTCGACAAGGCAGCGGACGCTTATGGCGATACCGGGCGCGAGAAGAGCAGAGAGTTAGTCAAATCTGAAGCTTCGAAGGCGAGGCGCGATTCCGGACAACCTACCAGATGTGTATGTCTGGGCTTGAACTAGCTTTGCTGGCGCGTACACCTGTCGTCATGTCCTGGCTCAAGCTATGGTCTGTTTCACGTTAGAGACGCGCGGTACTCGCCCGTATTCGCTCCTGGTAGACAGTGCGTCCCGTTCAAGTTATTCAGTCCGTGCGAGAAAAGCGTCCACGACTGGAAAGCTTGTCAGACTCGAACCTAAACAGGGCTCGGAAGAAATCCGTGCGGACGAAACGAACTCTTCCTCGCGCGATTTAAAGGATGCACACACGAGGCCCATCCTGGGCCCATCAGAGCAGACAGCGCGGGCGGTATAGTGCTTGCAAGTTGAAGAAGTGATCGTCGCTAACGCGCTTGTTTCTACGCCAAAAGAGCTGCCAAAAGTCGTATTTGCGCAAAACCCGTGGGAAACGCGCCGCCGCCAACTATTTCGCAAACAGCTAGATTGTAGAAACCGGGCAAGAAAGGGTCTTTAGACGGCCTTCCGGCGCAGGAGGTCGCCACCCTTCCGTCAGCTCGTCTTCCGCGCCGATGGCAACCTGGGCAGCTGCCACAGATACAGCCCAAATCTGCTCCCAGACGCGCTGTGGGTTGGCGCCAGGGGCAGGCAATCTGAGTGTCTGTCGCCACTAAATTATTGCTCTTCGGCGCACTTACCTGTCCGTCTGGTTATTGCCGTGAACGAAATCCTAGCGTTAGGTTCGGAGCAAGCCCCATCTCCGGGCCCTTACCCCGCGAACGGTATGCATACAACCCACGAGAATAAAGAGCAAGGCCACCACTAGACTTTGCCAGTCACTAGTCAACATGGCCGGTGCATCGGATGCACACACCGTAGGGACTACGTAGACACGAGGCCTGAGGTGATTTGTAAGAACCATGCACGTGTCCATACGCAAGCCTTCTGTTGATGCGTACGGATTTGGACCTTCTTGTGTGCGCGCGAGGAAACGAATCTCGACGTGTGAGGCCTGAGGCCTGATGCCTCAGACCCCGCAGGCACAACCCTACCTCAACAACCCTTCCCCGCGCAACGTTCCGCGGCGCTTTCACATTCGCGTCCCTCCCGCGCCCAAAACCGGCCAAGGCAAGCAAAAGGCCTCCGCATCCACCTCGAAGGGCACCCGCCGCCGCCAAAGTCGGACGATCCTGGTATCGTCCGGCCAACCAGCAACCAGTAGAGCGCCGACCGCGCCGGACGTGGTGGAGACGAGAGGAAGGCCAGAGTCGGCAAGAAGCGTGGCACGTTCATGACTTAACTCACTGGTGCTATAAGAGTTGTCCGTTCTTCCGTCTTCGCGAACTCGAACTACTCATCTGCGCGCGCATCGCCAGATGGGAAGGACCGCAAGCAAGCTAGTATCATTGAAAATGCGGGAGCTGCGAGAATGATCGCAGCGCGCGTTCTCTGCGTATTCAACGACCAAGATGCACAAGCCGCCGTACGGGCAGAGGCACAACAGAACCCGCCCCAGCGACGGCACTGTCGCGGGTAGGCACCCGCCGGAAGCGGCTTCAACTTTGCGGGCCAGCAGCAGCCCTCTGCGAACGGCGTACCAGGACAGCAGCGCCACCCTTCCATGCCGGTGCGTCCTCTCTGGGACCACTTTTGAGGACGACGACTGAAGTAGCCATGATCAGCCACCCAATCTCCCCGTCATGCCTGCTGAAGGGTCGAGGATCTTACGACAAGCAAATGATCGACCTCGGGCCCGTCGCCGCGGAGGACGCATGAGGTTCTTCGTACACTCGAGCTCTTCAGAACAGGGTCCACGCGGTGGAGGACGACAAAGCCTTTGGGCAGGTTCGTCGTCTCTTAGACTTAATCTTTGCACAGTCTCATATAGTCTTCAGTCCTTGTCATTCATGTCCAACCCCGTAACGTGGGTCATGTCGAACGGCGAGTACCAGCTGCCACATTGGGCAGCATCCTTCGGTATCATCGACCTTCTGCTCATGAACTCCGGTCTCGGTTTCTACGAAGCGCCTATCGCTCAAGATCGGTGACATCGTTCGCGCCGAGTGCCGCCTGACCGAGTGCATCGATGTGTCGATCGACAAGGCCTTCGGGCAAGAACAATGGCGATCAATGCTTATCGTACGCTCATTCTTGTCCTCGCCTTGATTGGGACACTGATAGTATACGCGCAGTGGCTCTCGAACGCGTTTTTCAGTGGTACCGCGTCGCTCATCGTTCAGGATGGCCGCACCCCGGTCACTTGCACAAGATCCTCGCGCAGTTCAGCAGTCTCTACTTGATCTCCATTGGTATTCTACTGCCAAGATCTTCCCCTTGTACGCCGCCTTCCGCTAGACGACCCTGGCGCCCTCGACGACATCTTGGTGCCCCTGATCGATGGTATTCCCGTTGCCGTGCGCACCGTCTTGTGTGTCGCTCTCGCCGCCGGAACCCAGCGGTTCGCCGAGTACAAGGCTATCGTCCCTCGTACTACTCTGGCCCCGACAAGACTGGTACGCTCACGATCAACGCTCACAATCGACCGCGAGACGATCAGAGCCTACGGCCGCTTCTGCACTGATGATGCCATCCTCTTCGCTGCCTACCCTTCGCGCACCGAGAACCAGGATGCTATCAACTCTGGCGTCGTCGGATCTCTCACTGACACCGCTCGTGCGCTTTCTGGTGCCAAGTGACTCGAATTGAAGCCTCGTTGGCAAGCGCGGAGATCACTTACCGCGAGGAATCAAATAGCGGGCTCAAGCGCGTTACCAGGGGTATGACCGGTATTGTCGTCAAGCTTTACACGCGCAACAAGACCAAGCCGCAGGCGAGAAAAAACTCGAAGCTGGCAGGGAGGAGCTCGCAGCGCGCGGTCTACGCGCGCTCGCCGCCGCTTACGAGAAGGTCGATGGCGGTGGGTGCGAGGGGGAGGTTGTAACACTATGGCTCTCGTCGGTATCCTTCCCATCTTCGACCCACCTCGAAACCACACCAAGCAGACGATCGACGCCATGGCCCTCGGCGTCGCCGTCAAAAATGGTCACCGGTGACGAGCTCGCCATCGCGAAGGAGGCGAAGGAGACTGGCCGTCGTCTCCAGCCTCGGCGACAGCATGCTGCCAGCTAAACGAGTGCGTCGCGTTGGGCGTACGCGATCGCGTTCAATGTCGACCGCCATAATTAGCTACTCGCGCGTCGTCAGTGTCGGGCGCTCGCTCCCTGAATCCACAGGTCGTTCTTTGTGGGCTGTGTCCGACGCCCTCGAGCGCGACTGGTGGAGAGATGGCAGGCGATCTCGGACGGGTAGAGTTAGTAGATAGACCAGTAGTAGTAGACAGAAAATAGCACAGGCGGGAGTCAAGGAGAACACGCACCTCGCGAGCGATGTTGGCCCTGGCCAATGCATTTTCTCGGTCAGTTGGGCGACTTCTGCTAAACTGAAAGTTTTTACAGGTACAGTATCACCAGTACATCATACCCTCAAGCTTTGCTGCTGGTGGGCGTGCGCGTGGAGCACCTAATCACCCCACATAACCGCCCTAACTATAGGCATGATACGGGTGCATGTGACCCCTTCACTTAGGCCCAGTTCCACGCGTTACTGTGACTTCCCGGTAGTTCCCTTGGGAAACTCCGAAATACTGACTTCTTCCCCAGCCCCCTCCAGCCCCTCGGTCCGTTGCCGCTTTCGGTGCCCCGTCGGTGGGTCCCCATGTATCAGGTACCCATTTGACTGCCTTCCGCTTTAGGACAACTACGCCTGGGCGCTCATATTTCCCTTTTAGATGACGTCCTGGCACTACCGCCCGGCGCTCCACTCAGCCGAGCGAAGTCACGAGCAAGAGACAAGTGGGTGTCGGACTGGACACGGACCACACCCACTGGTCGATTCGCAAGCGCGAACCGCCTGCAACCACAGACGAAGCCGCGCAAGCACTTCCTCAAGCTACGGAGGGAGGTGTTCGGCCGCGTCTTTCAGTGCCGAACGGGACATGGGTTCACGGGGGAGTACTACCGTTCCTTTGTACCCTCCGAACCGAACGACTGCCCCTGCGGCGAGCCCTACCAGACAAGACGCCACATCTTGCAGGACTGCCCCCAATACGAAACGTACCGACTCATCCTACGGGACGTCAGCCCCACCATTGATCTTCCAACGATCCTCGGAACGACGGAAGGGATAGCAGCACTCGCATCGTTCCTCGATGCGAGCAGGGCGATGACAAAAACGGGAGCTCCACGACAGTCGCGCGAGGTCGAATGGGGCGCAGAAGATGAACCAGAGGCAGAAGAGGACGAAGATGCCGAAGAAGCAAATGACGAGGAGGAAGACGGTCCGGACCCACGGCAAGACTAACGGACGGCGGCGCCGTCCTTCCCTTCCCTCCCTAACCACTACCGACAATCCCGTGCCCCGAGGATGCAATGCCGACTTGCGACTTCGGGAGAATACACCAACAGGATCACACCCCACACCGCTTTCTCCTCTCTTTTCCTTTTCTCCCTCATATGCTCTAAGTTATTGAACATGCCTCATGCCCATGGATACGCAGAATCGGTCGATTAACGCGCGACGCGCACACCCAGTTACATACAAACCCCCTACCGCATCGAATGCGCCCCAAACCCGCTATCTACTACATACAAACGATACCCATAGACCCACGAATACACACACCCGACAGGACTACCGGTTCGTAAGTGGCGCATTGTAATGCCCACTATTGTACGCACCGGCAGTCGCCGCGTCTTAGCACGTTTTGCTTGCTTGTGGCGGTTAATAAATGCAGAATTCATCATCATCATACCGCCCGGCGCTCTCCACTGCGGCTCCCATCACCGCCCCTGCGCCACAAGCCCTCCCGCCCGCTGGCGCTCCCCGCTCGCTGGCGCTTCTCGCCCGCTGGCGCCTCCCGCCCTCGTCCCGGTGCTGTGACTAAATGGAATACCCTCCTCCTCCTCCTCCTCCTCCGCTGCCATTTCGGTCACCACCCCTGCGCCACCCCCTCCCTCTTGGCGCTGCCTGTTGCCCGTCGTCGCCTTTTCTTCCCGCCCGGCACTCCGCTTCTCTGCGCCACCGAGCCTCCCCGGCTCCTTCCCTTTTAGTCACTACCTCCACGCCACCACCTCCCTTCCTGCATTCCTTCCGTTTTGGTCAGTACTTCCTCCGCACCACTACCTCCTTCATGGCGCTACCGGCTGCCCCTCGCTTCCTGCCCGGCGCTCTCTAGTCACGCCACCGTCCTTGCCTCCTGTTCGGCACTCCGCTGCCATTCCTGTCACTGCCCCCGCGCCGCCACTATCTCCCTTCGCTTCCTGCCGGGCGCTCTCCGGAGTTATTCCTGTACGCCACCGCGCCTCTCTGCGGCACTCCTTCCGTTTTAGTCACTTCCTCCGTGCGCCTCCCGCCCGCCACAGTCCTCAACTCGTCCGACCTTAGTGTATTGGTTGTGTATCGTAGCTTAAATGAATGGCTAATGTCTTTCACAAACCCCCATTTAATACACCTCACTACCCTTCGCTGGGAAGCACCGCAAACGCGTGAAGACATGAGTGATATTGGCTGACTACGGGCAACGACATCGACAACCATCGACAACGATACAAGACGAGACAGAGCTTTGGGAGCCGCGACACGACGCCGCTTGCGCGCGGCAGGTGACCTCGCAGCCCGGCCCGACCTACATTTCTCGTACGCGTCTCGGATCTGCCGACTATGATGAAGTTCTGTGGGCGCACTCAAATCTTTTTTGTTACCGTGACATATGTCTCCGATGTTGCATGTTTTCAGCCCACGACGAAGCTTCCCATTTCTCGCAAACCCTCTTGCTCTTTGCCAGCCTCTATGCCTAAGTATTGCTATGTGATATGCTGTCAAGGAGAAGACGCCCAGCGGCTCCCTACGGCAGTGAGTCAAACCGAATAGCATCTTCCTTCTACTAGGCAGTCAGCATGCGCGCGCGGTGGCGTCGGGCGCATCACCAGCCTCATGAAATTGCGCACAGGCTTTGATAAATTGCTCGCATTCCAAGGTTTCGTCGTTCCCTTTTGCTATCAGACGGCATTACAGCGCTTGTCTGCTCTTGCCTGCTTGGATGGCCGGCCGTCGCACCAAATGACGTCGAGGAGGAGGAGGAGGAGGGGATTCCATTTAGTCCTCACGTCTGCGTGCCATAAGGCTCGCCACGTGTGACAACGCTCTCTATTTACAATAGAGTTTGACAGCAGACAGGAAACAAATCGATTGACAGGTTATATTATGGCAGCAATATGACAGCGAAGAGGGCCGACGCCGTGAGACGGGTGAGAGTACGCAAAAAAAAGAATTACTGGCAATCTGTCTATAGTAGGGTACAACACCATCATCCATTATCATCCATTCGTCCACAGCACAAAAACAGTATACGAACCATCAGCATACAGGAGTGTCTGCGTCGATCATACTTCATACATCCGGTCGTTCACCTCACCAAACTGCCGTGACATCGTTACGTGGCATTATACTGCGCAACTAAGTTATGCCATGCGTCGGGCTGCATCAGTTCCGCCCCGTCGACGTGCGCGTAGACCGAGGAGTAAGCGTCCGCTACTGAGTTGTACGGCGCATCATGGTATTGGTGATGAGAATTAACGAGCGATATGCCCGCATTCATGGACGGCGGGCCCATAGGCTGGTGCGTGGTGGAGCCCGTGTCGGTCTGCATCATGCTGGGAGACTGCCAGTAGTGGGGCACGTCATTATATGACTGGTACGAGGGATATGTATAGTTGTGGGTGGGCGCGTAACCGTCGTGGTGGTCGTGCTTGCGGTGCTCGTAGCTCTCCTGGGGATGAGCCTGCCAGGAAGTGGTGTCTTGCATGTTCGTAGACATGGACGAGTCAAAGTTGGGCATGGGAGGTGCATATGCGACTGTCAAGGACTGGCCGGGCTTGTCCCATGGGCTTGACCCGCTCTGCGACCCGCCGTCACTCGGTGTTGAGCCCGCGGGAGACTTCCGCGAAATGAGGCGCGTCTTGCCCTGCAAAGCACCGAGTTCGTCGTCATCCTTTGGGCTAAGGCCACTAGGGATATTCCGGGGCGCTGATGATAGAGTATGGTAGTCGACCATCGATGTCTCCGCCCGCGCTTTCAGCTTGGACAGAACGGGCTACACGCCACGAAGATTCAGCGGGCAACAGAGACAGGACACCACCAGAGTACTTACCAGGACCTTCGCCGCGCGTGGGTCATGTTGCACAGCGTCGAACAGCCCGAGGGCAGTATCAAGCTTGGCCTGCGCGCTCCGTGCCAATTTCATACCCGGGCTTTTAGACGGTATAGCGCCGAGGACGATCTAAATATGATATGAGTACCTGACAGGGCTTCCCGCGAACGAGGCCCCACTCACCCCACAAGAGAAAACATGCGTCAAATAAAACCACATGCGCTCGACTAGTTTTGGGTATTGCGAGTACATGCTTTTAATGAGCCCGACGTACGAGCATGCGCTCTTGTACGCGGCCAGGACGGAGGATGCGTACTTGTGGCCCAGCGGGTCGTCCGGTGCCTGTTGCAGGGCGGTCGCGAAGAATCCCCGATGCATGTAAAAGATCGCTGTGCAGAGGCCGGAGCAATTGGGTTACCGCCACACCTGTATATAAGAGCGACCGAGACGTACTGATCTCCGTAATGGCGCAGGCACAGTAGCCCTGTAGGTCTTGCTCGTAGGTCGGCGGAGTCGCCGGCTCGTACGACTCGTACATCAGGCCGCCGAAGCCACGGACGCGGAGAGAGGGCGGCAGGTAGAAGTTCCGGATTTTCTCATCGAGTTCCATGAGCTGGCGATGGCTGGGGAGGCGTGCGCCGAACACCTGCTCATTCACGACGCTCTGGCACTGTGCGGCGAACCGGTGCTTCCACGCCGCAACTGGCGGCAAGGTTCGAATGGGGGTGAGAGATGTTGGCATCCTGGAGGGACTGTGAAGTCACTCACAGCTCATCTCGGGCTCGCCGCCATCTGACTTGGACATGGCGCCCTGCGGTAGCTGGCAATCGATGAACGTCATCGACAGCGAAGGTGGTCGACCGAATGTGATGCTCTAGCATGGCGAGAGAAGGTGAGTTTGAGAAGCCGGAAGCAACAGGCGTGGAAGCAAGGCGCACCTGCCACGAATCGTAGGTGAGCAACTCATAAAACAACGATCTCCGCCTGAAGGCCTCGTCGGGATTCAGATTCCACTTGTTTCCGTCACGGTCTTCGTGCTACGGTGTCAGTATGTTTCATCCGTTCGCAAGTGTATTTGGTCTTACGCAGCCCAAGCTGCAGGGAGATCGTTTATTGACAGTGGATATGCCAAGTAATTAGATCACTAACAGCCAGTGCCAATTTCGTCGCCAGACCCATCACAACCCAACGGGGACCATCGATATTGGAGAGGAACATAAAGTGGCACATGAGGATCTAAATACACACACCATGAGCAAGCCTCCGTGGACATCGGGGCGGGGACTCACCAGGGCCTGGATAGCCGAGATCGTCTGGTGCTCCAAAATTGAATCGAGGGACAATGCCGCACGGCCTAGCTGATAATATTTTGTTGCTTCGACCGAATGCGATGCTTTGTCCAGGTCTAGGAGGCTTCCCATGGCAAAAATCATAAACAGGATCGCCATCTTGTGCGAAGAATCCGAGTCTTGGTCAACCCAGCCCGCAATCTCGCCGTAGAAGCGCGAAAGCACCGTGCTGTGAAATTCGGGCTCGGGGATAGGCGTGTACCTGCCCAGCAGCGGGTCAATCGTGAGATTCTATTCTTCTGATTCTTATCACATACATCCAAGCGGCATGCTTGAAATAAAGGCTCGCTAGTCGGCGGGCTTCAGTGATGTCTGGGAGAAGCCCAACCAGAGATGCTCGAACGTCTGGAAATGTCTGGTGGACACTGTCACCGAGGGGGACGGCGTAGTTAAACCAGGGAAGACTAGTAGGAAGGATCGACTGAGGGTTTTCGATGGCGTCTTCGTCCCCTTCTTCATTCTAGATGATAGACCTCATTCACAACCCCCGAGGGAGATCGCAAGACTCGCGCTTACCTGCAGGAGGTACTAATTAGATGGTGTCAGCGTTGAATACACATATGTCACATGGCAACATACCCAGGCGTTGGCGGGGGTGCCGTAAAACCTGGTGAGCCCTGAGTCGGTGATGGAACTGACGCGCCCTGCATCTAGACACCGAATGTCGCAGAAATATATCAAGTGCACTCACAGAGATCCTACGGCCGCGTCGATCACTTCCGCCGCCTCGGTGTCCGCTGATTGAGGCTGCTCCCCCTGGCTTTCCCGTTCTAATGGCCTCTTGATTTGTTTGAGTTCCTCCGTAAGCAGGGGGTGCGGTTCCAAAGACGACATGCCGTGGGCTTGCTTCAAGGCATCTTCTAGTTGCCGGACGCGGGACGAGAGCTGAGTTATCTTGTCGTGCAAGGCTCCCGTGTTTGCCAAAACATATCTGCACGTCTTTGTGGGGAACTCTTGCGCTGGCGTGGTTCGCGCGACTCACCGATTTCCCTTGCCCGTCGTGAGGTGGCCTGGCCACCGCGACTGTCAATGCTATTCCAAACGGATTGCATGAGGAAAAACGCACCATCCGGACAAATAGCAGCGCAACCCTTCTTGACGCAGCTGGCACAGGGGAAGACTCTCGAACACCTTGAGACCCGAGACCGCCCGTGAATACAGGGGACAAATGTGCTACGATAACCACGAACCGAGATTTCAACCTGCAGCATACCGGCGTCAATCAGAGTGTCTGCGCTTTACCAGGGTCGTCGTACCGCCTGCATTCCGCACATGAGAGTGACGTGTTGCGGTTTTTTGACCGTGTGATGGGCGATGGTTTCGAGGCCATCGTTTCAGGGCGTGCGCGTGAGGACGATGAGAGTTCACTTTGACTATCTCCACCGTCTCACATACAAACGTATGTACTTGCACCCTTTCGTAATGGGCCGGTGCCCACGGAGGCGAGAACGGCAATTGGGTGAAGGTAGACTACAGTGTGTATCTGGGCCTCAAGACGGGGTGGACGTTCGGCGCGTCCATCTTCAGGTCCATCCTTGGCTTCGCGATCCCCAAAGCGCTCCCGGAACGTTTTGGTGGAGAGTACTTTGTTCCCAAGGAGAACGTCTGCTGCCGCAGTGCAGCGACGGTATGTGCCCGATGCTACATTGAACATCTGAAGGCTCAAGCGCTTAACGCCGCTCTCGCGCCACGCAATGTCACCGGCCGTATGCTTCTCTCGGTGTCATCCGCGCTTTCCCTCCACGCGGGACACCTGTCATCGCTTTGATGCGGTGACAGCACGTGTGCGCAGAGACAACACTGCGCGTCACAGCAAGCGAAATTTTCTGACAGGATAGTATGTGCGGGAAAGGCAAGATTTTCTGCGCTTTCCCGCCGCATTTCCTCGGAGGATATGCGGCAAAAGGGCGCAGGTAAAGCAAGATTTCCGAATGATTTCCGGGCACTTTCCCTGCCCAATCCGCCAGGTGTCCTCGCTAGGATCTCTAGCTGTCATACGAAAGCGCTGTCCCCGCGGCGTCTCAGGCTCGCTCACTTCGGCACAATGAACAACATTCTTGTCCGTCTGTGTGTACCGTACATCTTAAATGCGTCGATCTAGCCAAGTCGACAACGCGTGAGCGAGAAAATATGGGGCAAATGAGCCCCAGTAGCCGAGCCTGTGCGAAGGACTGTCAATTACAGGACCCAGGTACCGCATGTAGCTTGATGCCGCGATTGCTTACCATGACAGCTCCGACGTCCTGGAATCATAACCTTCGCAATATCTTTTTTTTTTTGGAGGGCCATTACGGACGTCTGCAGGTGACAATTGGTCATCCCAGACGCCCAGCCTGCGTATGGGTTTCCCCATATGCGCCAGTCCAGGGTGAAAAATGCTATTTACGCACGACTCAACAGCCAGTGTGGGGCTCATCAGTCCGGTTCGAGGTCGACTCGTAAGACCGGAGTCCTACCCACTAAGAAACCCGTATATCTTGTCCAGTCCTCCGGGAGGGCGGCTTCATCCCATATCACCTTATTCCACGTAGCTCGGACGAGGTCCCGCAATAGGGCAGAGCCTCCATATATTTTTCACCGCTTCAACGTCGAGCGCCGCATCAGCAAATTGGGCAATTTCTGAGCATCTGAGAGGCTGACAGAGACCCCTCAGAGCGACTCAGAGCCCCAGATAACTCAGAATCCTTAGGGCAGTTCAGACTCGTCAGATACTCCAATGACCGAACAAGGGTTGTAGGACTGTCCCATTCAAGACACTGTCTATCCAATTCTGATCATCACAGTAGTCACAATGTCATTGCTTGTATATCGACGGCTCGAGAACGTTGTACATAGAGAGCACATAGTGGGTACCTACACTAAAGCAGACAGTTGATGTCGACATGGGCTCATCAATCGCACCGCTCGTTCTCACTCTCGCACCGTCTGCTGTCACGCCTGCGCTGTCTGCTGTCTCACCGCGCTGTCTCGCCCGCCCCGTCTGCCGTCTCGTCTGCCCCATCTACCATCTTGCCACTCTCTCGCGCCGTCCGCCGACTCGTCTGCCATCCCGCTTTGCCTCGTCTGCTACCCTACTTGCACGGGCCGGCGGGACCACAGATCGTCCTTCGTCGGCTACCGTCTTCGCCCTGGCCGCGGACGTTCACTGGACGAGCGTGCGGGCCGGCGCGTTTGTGAGTTGGCAGCATACACCGTGCAGGTGTGCGTAGACGTTTGCTGGCGATGGGGCGCGCGAGGGACTGGCGGGTAGGTGTAGTTGGACTCATCCAGCGACGGGAGGTCGAAGGACACAAGGTGGGCTGTGCTGTATGCGAGCCGATTGCCAGGCCATTCGCGGTGCTCGTCGAGATGTGGTGGGCAGCATCGTGGTTAACCGTGAGATGTTGCGCGGCGGGAGGTAGTGTATGGGCATGCACGCGCAGTCGTCGGTAGAGCCTGTGAGACGAAGGCTTGTGAGTAGCGTAAGAAGGTTGTTGCTACTCGTACGCACCTTCGTTCAAAGCGTCCTATCGAGCGTCGAGCACAGGAAGTCATTTTGGGAGCGATGTGCTGCAGGTATGGGCGTCAAGACGTAAGCCAATGAATATCGAACGGTATTGATGAACGAACCTCGGGCTGCGTGCATCAGACTGGCACATGGCAACTCGCAGAGTGCGGACATGCTATCAGTAGTCTGTCTTAGCGGGACTGCAGTGTCATGGGGGTCAGTATACGCCTATTCCGAATCAGATCAAGGCCGAGCACAGGTATACTCATGCGTATCCTGAGCTCGACACGTACCCACTGACAATGGCCACTGTGACCCGCCCGACTCACCTGAGAGGGTATGGGTTTCGTGCGGATGAAGGCGGTGTTATGGGTCCACGGGTAAGCGGGCGAGCGGGAGGCGTGGACAACAGGAGGCGGAAGCCGGAAAAGTGGGCGCACGGATGGGCAGGCCAGCGGGCGTATGTGATAGTGGGAGCTAGAAAGAACGTGCGGGCGAAACACAGCGTGGGTGAAAGGCAGCGCTGGCGGGTGGGAAGTCGAGCGGGCGGGCGGGTGAACTGGCGAACAAGCTGGTACGATGGTAAGTGGGCGGGTGGGCATGACGTCGATATCGAGGACAACGTTGGTCGCGCAGGGCAAGACAACGGACAGTCGGCGAGAGGAGGCAACTCACGACAAGTGCTAAGCGCCTCAGCCACGACACGTCACGCGCGCTCGCCGCATCTCCTCTCCTCCTCCTCCCTGTCTCTGTCACGACTCACCTCCCTTCGCCCTCGCTTACCCGCCGTCACACGTCGACCTCCAGTAGACATAAGCATGCCTGCCCGCAAGACACGGCGCGTGCTTTGGACCACTGCACGGCCGAAGATCGCGTTGTACGCGACCGTGACGAGTCCCCGCGATGCGCCAAGAGCATCGCTGGAGGCTCGCGAAGGGATACATGCTAAGGGAAGATGCGGCCAGCAGGGCCAGCGAGTCAGGTAAGTGCGCCGCCTCCTTCTGAGTCCGTTTACCACCATCAAGTCTGCCTTCGCAGGCTCAGTGCTCGCAGGTCCATATAGTCTCACCCTCCCCATCTTTCCCATCCCCCTCTCTAACCGTCCTCTCCGCCCTCGCCCTCGCCTCGCCTCCGCCTCCGCCTCCGCCTCCTCTCCATATCCCGGTCGCGGTCGCGGTCCCGCACATACATCCGCCGGAGCGGCCGCCCCGTCCACCGCCGCGCGAGGTAACACGCATGCAGCGCCGCCCCCGACACGCTCGCCACCCTCAGCGTCCTCATCTGCGGCAAGGGCTCTGGGTCCAGCGTCCCCACTACCCCGTTCACGCTTCTCGGATTCCCGGGACGCCCGCTGTGCACCGCTGCGACGCGCGGCCCGTCATACGGCAGCGTGTACATGTACACGCGCCCGGCATTGTAGACGGTGACAGCGGGAAAGGCGGGGCCGCGCTCCCGAAGATGTCATCGCCCATGCCACAGTGGAGCGCGAGCGCGCGCACACGCGGCGCGGTGCGCAGGAGCGTGTGCCAGCTCGCAAGCGACGCGACAGTGAAGTCCTCGAGCTGCGGGAACACCGGGCGCTCCCTCGCTTTCCCTGGGCCTGCGCCGCCTGGGCCCGCGGCGGGCGGCTCGTAGAGCGTGGCGGGGTCGAGTACGGCGGGGCACGCGGTGGGGTCGGGCGTGGCGACGAGCATGTCGATGCAGGGCGTGTAGTCCTACGGGCTGTCCATGAAGCCGGGCTCGAGGTGGAACTTGCGGACGGCGGGGGCGACGAGGGTGTGGAGGAGGGTGCATGTGTAGCTGACGTTGTGGTCGGCGAGCTTGAGGTCGTGGAGCCTGGGGAGGTGGACGGGGCCGTCGGGGAGGTGCTAGGGGCGGCGGGGGCCGGAATAGTGGAGGCTGAGGTGCTCGAGAGTGGGGGATCGGGCGAGGACGCGAGCCAGCGGTCAGCCCGAGAAGGAGCCAGGCCCCTGAGTACGAACACAACGAGCGGGAGCGAACCCGCCACGTGCAAGCCCGACATAGGTGCGGGCTCACTGGGCAGTAGCTCGCACATGCATACGGCATACAAGGATTTGCGAGTGGTGTTTTGTATAGTAGTAGCAGCCAATAGAACCCAATATATGAACCCAATATACCTGAATTAAATCAGTTTCGTATGTACTGGCTGATCTGGCTGATGAGCTGGGCTGTCTGATGGCACGACTCCTCCGTCCAGTCCGCCTTCTCAGCGGTCGATGTCGGCCCTCCATCGTTTCGCTGGACTCCGGCCGGTCACGATGGTTGGAAAGGCCGGCGTGCCAATCTCCAGGCATTCGTGCATGTGATGAGTGCATGGCCAGAATGTCCGGAGTCCCTGCTTGCCCAGACGAGGGAATTGGTGGATTGCGACCAGGAGGAGACATTCAACAACGTAGAGGCAAGCGCCATAAAATTCTATGTTGGTATGTTCGCAAAACACTATCACCGACTCCCGATACCGCCTGCACGATGTATGTCCGCATGAATCTGTGAATTACCGTCATTGTACTTGTATATATGGTCCAGAAATCGCATCATCCCCTTTGCACGCTGAGCACACCTGTGGGTGGGTTGCGTGAACGTGTGGCGCGCTTTGGTCAACGCTTTGACAATCCGGATCTTGCTAAGTGGCCTCATTATTCATACGTTTCTTTTGCCACTAATTTCCCGATTTGCTTAGGCTGGACCGCGGCCCTGTGGCCCGCGGTATAAAAGGGTTCACGTTTGAACCGTGCGTCTTCGCCACTCAACCTTCGCCACACCCCTCTGACTCTCATTCCAACTCTCACCCCCACTCTTGCCATGTCCCAGAGCGACCCCGTCCCGCAGATGTGTTATCCATCCTCCCGACAATGTTAACCAACACACATGGTTAGTCAACACCGCCCTCACCTCCTGGAAGAACGCCGGCCCGAGAGAGAGTTTCAAAAAGGTCGCGTCGACAGTGGCGACTGCGTTCGAACAGGAGTTCGATATCAACGTTCGTGGGCTTGTGCGCGAAAAGGGCAAGCTGCGTGTGGAGACGGAAGCAGAGTACGCGAAACGAACCAAAGAGCGACACAAGGTACGTTCCGTTGGTCGGAATGCTAGGCATAAATTGACGTCGTCTCGTGCAGAGTATCCTCAAATGGATAGAGAACAATAAGCCGTGGTTCGACAAGCACAAGTTGGGTCCTCTCGACCTACTCCCGGTGCCACTGCCCGAAGAAACGGAGCCCGAGGAAACCCGCGACCGCGCCAAGAGTGCCCGCGGGCTCTTCATTCACGACCATCCGCATATCGGCGCGCGAGCCAAAGCCGAAGCTGCCAAAGCCGGCCTCGCCTCAGGTCCCCAGACAACTGAGTGGAACCTGGCGTTTTCGCGAGAGATTGACCGCGTCAAAGCTGAGGAGCCGGCCAAGTGGCAGCAATACGAAGAATTGGCCGCTCAATCGAAGGAGGATGCTCGCGCGGCCAATGCAGCGCAGGACGCCCGTTCAGAAAGGGAGGATGTGGCTCAGCAACACGCGTCGGCCAACAGCGGCAACAATGAAGAAGCTAAGGCTCTCGCGCAACTTGAGGAGTAAGTGACCATGTCGTTCTCTTTGAGGTGACCTTCACTCATCCAAACGTTCACGGCCACAGACAGCGCAGCCGTCTGCGTTTAACAGCGCGTGTATCCGTGGACAAATGGGCTGCAGAGACGCAGACACACATTTTTACCTACATTGGATGGATTGATGCCACCGGGAATGCACGCAGAACTTTGTAAGTCCTCTCTTATAACTCAGAAGCCTGGGCTAATTGTAACAAGGGTGAGCGCTGGGGACGGCTCCAGAGACACTTTGGTCAACCATCTCAAGACTGTGCAGAACGGGGAGCTCGTCACTGCACTCAACGACTTCATCCTGCAAACCCGAGGATCGCGTGTGAAGCCGGCGACCCCAGGTACCTCCACAAGTCTTGCCGCGCCTCCAGATGCCACAGACCTCGCGGCCAACGAGCGTTCAGACGCACCGACGGAGACTGCCGAGGCCGCGCAAGGATCTCCTCAAACGGATGGAGAAGTGGCGCCCGCACCTTTGGGAACGGGAGAAGCTGACATGAACGCGCCTCACCGTCTGCCTGACAACTCGGCGAACTCGTCGAACTCCAACAGCGTAGATGTCAACCCGCGCCCGGATGACGGCCACGCAGAGCACAACAACGCGGCCACGCAGGAGAGCCCCCATACTCATCGAAGCGCATGCCACCGCCGAAGTTCCGCAGGAGGGCAACAATAGGGTGCTAACGTTGCACTCATCTATCAACACATGCCGCATAACACGCGTAGTCAAGTCCCATTGTATACGTTTTAGTTCAAACTGTTGATACACTTCGTTTCTTCTGCACGTATCGCCTGTCACTGATCGGACCTGCCGCACACTGGCGCCCCTTCTATTGACTCCCTGTAGGCCCATACTTCACACCGCCGCCAAACGCGCTTGCGCGGTCCTCTCCCGTGCGGTGGTCACCACCCTCCCGTGGGGGGATCCACTATCCGGCGTTGCACATCAGTGTCTCTTGAACGTATTCCCTCAAGATTCAACGCACCTGGTCGTTCGCGCCGCCTACCTACGGAAACTTGCTCCATGCCGCTCGTGGTCGGGAAGCCCTCGACGCCGGATTCGTTCACACCAGACTTCAACGAAGTGCTGGTCGCGCCGCCGGCTATGCGCGCGAGGGACCTCGTAAGCACGATGCGTTTGATGTGGATGATGTGCGAGAGTACACACGGTGGAAGCGGGCACCGTGCTGGTAATGGCTCTTCTCCTCGAGCGAGGCGGCCTGCTCGTTGATGCTGCGACCCCGCCGAGTTCCTCATCACGCGCGCGATATGCTCAGAGTGAACTTACATTTGCTCGTTGCTCTTTCCTGCGTATGCGGCGTCGGTCATGTTGTCGAGATTTAGGAAAGACGGAGGTGTTCAAGGAGTCGGTTCGCTGAACAAATTTGAGAGGGAATATTGGACTCAGGGTACGACGCGGCGGATGGTTGCGACATATCTGCTCCAACGCCACTCGAGGGTGGCGCGCCGTCGGGATTCTCCTTTCGCGGCAGGTTGTCGTACTGTTCGAGGGCGGAGGTGAGTAGATTCTGCGTTTATGATGCTTTACATAGTTGAGTATTATATAGTGAGAAACTCGCAGTCGGAGTTGTTTGACAGTGCACGGGAGTCACGTCGCACAGTTTGCATGTAGGAGTAGGTGCTCAGCGCTGTACACTGGGGTATGACGCGGCGGGGCGTTGGGATGCAAGATGAAGGGAGGACGGTAGTATGGATGGGGTCTTCCGCGCTGCCAATGAGGTCGAATGCGAATGGGCGGGTAGGTGCGGATGGGATGAGTGATTGAAGGCAAGGACGGAGATGTAAGAGTGAGGCGGGAAGCGAAAGGACGTGCAGATGACCGGTATTCGATTGAGGCGACGATGTGATGCGGGATGCGAGACGAGACGAACAAAGGAACGTATGTGCGACGGGGTGCGGTATATGAGTTGGACTGGCTAGTAGGATACTCTCTAGAGGTAATTTCTAGCTGCGCCACCAATCCCCGTCGTCACCACATGGTCGTCAGCACCGTCGTCACGTCAACTTCCCCTCACACTTCGACCCGCGAAGCTACGCACGTTACTGGGTTTCTTCTTCCTCCTTGATTTTCTTCACGCTCTCCTCCGAGTTTTGGTACGGGGCACCGTGCGCGCTCAGAGCGCCTCCGACTTGTAATCTCTGTAGTCGACGGGGCTGCCCACGTCTGTCTCCGAGCCAGCAGACTCCAGGTCAAGAGCCTTCGGACGCAGGTTATCCGGCTCCTCCTCCACTGTGAACGTCTGCATCTGCACAGATGTCAGCGCACCTCCCGGTTAGCATGCGTCGACAACGACGCACCTGGACGTGCACCCCAGCGCTGATGTCCCTCGTATGCCCCGACCTTGGCCTGGTCGACGCGCCGTGGGTGCTCTGCACTTGGTTGGTGATACTCCGGAAGCCGACCACACCGGAGTGGCTGCTCGCAGTGCTGACACAGTGGTCTCAGCTCGAAGTACTACGAGAAGGTAAACAAGACGCACTAGATCTCCGGGCCGTTGTTGGCGAAGTTCGACAGGCGGCGGACGGCGCGGCACGCGACGATGGTGGACGCGATGGCCGCGGGGACGTTGAAGATGATCGCCATGATAGCGTTCAGGTTCAGCACCATGAACGACGTCGCGATCGCGTTTGCGATGAACCTGCGCCCGTCTTCGTGTCAGACATATTTGAGCAGCAGGCGGACGGCTTGGACTCACGCCACGAGGAAGTAGATCATGCCGTCCTGGAAGAGGATCGAGACGAGCCGCGAGCGCTGTTTGCATCCGTAGAGCTTGATCATGCTCAGGGTCATGACGAGCGCGTCGAAGCACATCGAGTAGATGAACGTCGCCGCGAGCGTGGTGTTGTTCGTCTTGGTGATTGCGCAGCCTTGGCCAGGGATCCACTCGGCCGTGAGCAGAACGCCTGTGCAGGGTGCGGGTTGTCAGTCCGCATGGTACGTACTTGTTCGGATGGACAGCGCACCTTGGAGGATGAGAGACCAGTGTCCGAGAATGACGAAGACGAGTGGGATGACAACCCAGAGGTTCTGTGACCATACCGCCATCCTGCGAAATACGGTCAGGTTACTCCGCATGCACGAAGTCTGTGACGTACGTCCGGATCGACAGGTTGATCGAGGCGAAGCCCACCGCAGCATCACCTGCGAGCTGGTCGAAGGTGTACAGAGCCTGACAGTTAACCTCCCTGTACGAAGGCAATGATGTGAGACATGTGCAGTGTTCCGTACCACGCAGACGTACGTTCTAGCGTCAAGGGCGATCAAGCTTCACAATGTGATAAGTGTCTGCCTTCACAACTGCGGACGATCGAATACTTACATGCCGATCAGGGCAAGGAACAAACAGTATCGACCCATCATGTAGAAGATCTGAGGAAGCGTCAGTATAAGGCAGCAGGCTGATGCGCTGTCCGACCCACTAAAGGCCATTGGAACTTCTTCTTGCCAGAGATGAAAGCCCAGTCGAAGTCCAAGGATGTGAAGAATTCCCAGCTGTCAGGTGAAGGTGTGTTAGTCTGTCGTTTCGAATTCCAGCTGATTCCACATTGCTAGGCCCCGTCCCGAGAACGCGTGCACAGGCAGAGGTCGTCGCGACCTGACTGACCTTCGCGTCGAGGGATCCGCACCCTCTGCCAACTGACCTCAGCAACAAACCTCGGTACGCTACAGGTGTTCCACATCCCGTTCACGACGATGCACGTCAACCCTGATGTTGACATTCGTCGATATGGTTAGAATCCTGATGGGAACACCTACAGATACCAAGACCGACACGCTCCGCCGGTGCGCACATTTACGATCGGGGTCTAGCGATATAGAAATAGCTCTTAGACATAGCCACACTCACAAGTACACGCCAGCAAGGCAGTGCATCAACTTGATGAACGCATCTGGCAGTCCACTGTAGTGAGCCACCAGGAAACGATCGACGCGGCCATGGCACGCGGCTTACCTTCATCTTTTGCGAGTTCCTCAGCAGTAGACCACTTTGCCGCAGGCATGACAAGGAACGAGGAAGTCAGCCAGGGTTGGGTGGGCGCGCTGATCACAGAGGAGAAGTGGCGGTCGCTGGCCCTACCAATGGAGGACAACAGGGTACATATGTACTCTGGCGCCATGGCAAGAGGAGGTCCGAAATCGGGCTAGACAGAGAAGACCGTCATTTGGCGTTTGCCGTTACGGCAGAGCCCCTAATGCACGCGGGGGTTGTCAGCAGCATCCGAGCGAAGGCTGGACAGGGAGCTTTAAGCTTACGTCCACAGAAATCAGAATAATCCGAGGCATCCGATAGTGAATGGGAGCCGGTGCAGGGTGGGAGGTTTGCTGTTTTCGCGGTGCCAAACGGCGTCAATCACTGGCATACGGCAGCCTGCCAGGGATGGCAGCACGCTTGTCTACGCCGCACATCTCGGTGGCCTCGCCCTCGAATACGAGCAGTTCATGGCCCTAAAGCCAGTGTGCAATTTCACGGGGCTGGTGATGCGTCCGACGTCACCGTGAACGCATGCCATTGAGTGCCAAGAAGGAAAGTGCGCCTATTCGGTTCGACTCACCGCGGTAGGGAGCCGAAAGACGTCTTCGCCTCGACGGCGTATAACATAACAATAAGCATAGAAGACGATAAAGACTGTCAAGAGCAAGGCGGTCTGCTGGGCGGTTGGTAATAACGATAGCATGTCGATAGAGGGTACTCTGAGACCTGCAGAGGCAGTCAGTAGCTCAGTAACAACCGTTCGAGTTGCGGCGATGTCAAGGTACGCGGGCTATGGATCCCTTGCCGCGCATTGCTGAATATAAAGTGCCAGCTCATGCAGGAAATGGGACGCTTTGTTGTGGGCTAAACATCATGCGACTAACACCGAAGGTTTCCATCCCTCCGAGCGCTCTTACCCAATTTATCGGTAGGCGACCGTCAGACTTCGAGAACGTGTCAAGGCGTAAGTAAAAAAGATATGCGTGTGGAGATTAGTCGGCAGATCCGTACGGACGACGAGAAATGTCAGTCAGGTCAGGCTGCAAGGCACGTTGCGCCTGGGCCTGGCTCATCGCACGGTTAGGCCAAGGGAGATATTGGGCCGAGTGTGCTGTGGATTCAAGTTAGCGAACGACGGTCTCGGGGCGCGATGGATTTGCTGGTGACCTTGTAGCAACCTTGGAGCGAGCTAATGGAGAATCTCCCAAGGTTGCGTAAAGACAGAATGAAAGATGCACGCTGGCACGGCTTCTGCCGCCGCTCGATCTATCAATTTCACTGAGTTGGGAGAGAGCTTGTCCGCAGGTAGTCACCGCGGGAAGCAAACGTGGGCCTAGCGCAGAGCCTCTCCGAGACTGAAGGTAACCATGGCCGAAATCGCGCGTTTGTTTTCTTCCCAGCCTCGCCCAGCGCCGCACGAAGTGGGCGGCGCTGTGCGGTCCCGTATTCAAGATCAAGCTTCAAGGCCGCACTCCTTCACCCTGATATGGTGCGTGCGCCAGATGTTCTCGATCGTGTCAGATCTGACAGGGAATCGAACCTACTACATAAACCCGGAAAATCTGGTATGACCCTACATATCTTGTAAAGGTATAACAGAATTACAAGCACCCGATAATGGCCTTACCGGGGAATAGAACTCATGGATGGATCTCACAATGCCTTACACGGGCCCCACAAACTGATGTAGGTTGGGAGCCGTTCCCCAGGCTTGCATGAAACCGACATTCCCTTGCAGACTAGATGTCAATCTGCGTCTGTCCTTACTGCTGGGACCCGCACAAATGGTCATTCGTGCAAAATTAACATATACAGTAACTACGACTGACTCACAGTTCGAACCCTCGTCATTTGCGTCTCGCGAACGCTCTGTGAGTCGTTCGCCTGTGCGGCCCACATTCGGTGCACTGACACGCCGCAGCGAACCATCACATCATCGCCGTCAACGACATCTGTCGCAACGTATCCGTCCACGCCGCTCATGGACGCGTTTACACCGCCCGTCCCTCCTATCCCGCCAAAAGCACTGGCAGAACTTCGTCTCCCCGCGCACGGATCCGTCAGACGTGTTCAGCGATTCGTCGAGCGTCAACAAAAGTCTGCCGTCGGCGCCCTCAGACGCGGACGATGTCTCGCTCGTGATGGTGGAGCGGTCGCCTTCGCCTTCGCCGACAACGACGCTCCGGCAGCGGCCGACCTCGGCCTCACAGCACACCCGGACAGCGAGCCGCGGGCACAAGCGGCGGAGCATGAGCGTAAGTGATACTAACGTTCAGTTCTCTCGTACCCATCCCGGGTGCGGTGGTGGGGTGCGACCGTCAACGCCCGCGCGCATCGGGCGAAGGTCGCCGGCCGGAGGCGAACAACTCACGGTCCTGGCGCAGCTACCGTTCCCAAGTACTTGGAGCGGGCTGGCAGGCGGACACACAAGCGGGCGACGACATGCACGGCGACCGCGAGTGTGCAGGGTGAATGCCGAGCCCACAACATGACCGACGAACGGACCGCACGCCTGAGGACGCGACACACACGGCAACGGCGAGCACGCAGACCGTGGGCTCAGGCGCGAGAGCGGGCGGGCGAGCCGGTGGGCCGGCAGGCGGCCGGACAGGCAACCGGAATGGTGAGCAAGCAGATGGACAGGGCAAGCCCGGGGCGGGCACAGGGTGCGGACCAGCACCACACGCACGGCGACCGCGAGCACGCAGGCGAGTGCCCAGCGCGCAAGCACGGCCGACGAAACTGAGGCGGGCGCGTGAGCAAACACGGTGACTGCGACGGTGGGCAGGGCCGGGGCGCACGCAACATACGTCAATCGCGAGCAACTACGCGATCCACGCGCCCACCTGCGGACCCGCCTACTTACCTGTGGACCCGCGGACCCGCCTGCACCCGTGCAAAACCCGTACCCGTTGTCACGGGTCGGTACCCGGGGCGGGTACGGGTACAGGTACACCTCGGGACACCCGCGGGTGTACCCGTGCTCTGCACTAACGTCGTCGTCGTCGTCGTCGTCGCCCATACAGCCAGAAGCCGCACGGACGAAGTCCAACGGGCTCGGACAGTGGCATCGATTATCACCCTAGAAGGGAGTCCGGCGGCTTCATCCCTCCCTAGAACAGAGGTTCCTCGGAGAGGTGCTCAACGAGCGTCATAGTTCCCGCCAGTAAATGAAGGGGCACCGAGGACGCCGTTCATCCAACGCTTCATATCGGCACGGATCGTTTCATATAACGCTAATTACACACCCCTTCATACACTCAAATATCGGAGTACGGCCTTTCATAGAGAACACCACGTCTTGTACCCGGTTTGTGCACCCGTTTGAGCGTGTGGAGACTGAGAAGTCGCTTAGAACAGCCTGCGGGCTTCGTCCTTCCCGCGTGTGCCGTGGTAGCATCGCGCATCGGGCGACGCAGCAATCGAGCTAGAGCCCCGCACCGCGTCCGACGGGCAGCTGTCGGTGAGCCCGCTCCTAGGATTAGTACGAACTCTAACTCAGAGTGTGAGATCCGCGCGGGGCGCGTGGCGTAGTTACAAACGAAGCGCGCCAGCAGGCGGCTCGGAGTACTAGTGCCTAGAACGATTCGCGAAGGCTCGAGGGAGAAAACACCCAGTGGCTGCAGCCTAGCGCGTCATTCAGCTCGTGATCAAGCTCAAGGCCGACCGATTCAGCGAAGGCGTGCAAGCGGTTCAGGCGGGATGGGCCGGTTGTTGCTGTAGGGTCGTTTGATACGCCATTGCGGCTGTAATCACTGCAGATCAGGAAGAGATAAGTTCCTTCCTTCAAGGGGACGGCGCCAGAACTTGTCACTAAGGTTCACTTTGGAGCAGGGAAGCTGGAAAGTGGTGCCTTTCGCCTGATAGCATGGTGTTCACCGTATCAACGCTGAGGCTTGGGATCCAGTGGGCCAAATGGGGATCGGGATGGCGCCTTGCGCGCTGTCCAGCGTCGGGAGGTATACCGCCCTCGCATCTGTCTACATTCAGGGGTCTAGCAACGGGTAACACGGTGAGCTCGGTAATCGACGATAGGTACTGTGTGTAGTGGTGGGCGAAAGGCGGCCCACTGGTATGCTTCCTTAACGTACCGGCCACTGCAACTTCAACGGCAATCAACGATGTTATTACCTCGCACGATTTATTACTATGGGACCCTTACTTACCGTAAGCAGCATTCAGTCAAGCTCCAGCTTCGTCAAAACTTCCTCTCGATCCTCCTCCTGCCTCCTGATGGGACCCTACCAAGGTCCAAGCGCGGCAGGCAGACTGCCTTCGCAATTGCAGTGAGCTCTATCGGCGGTCACGGCGCATGCGACTTCGCGGGGCATCGTGTGCACGTTCGCGCCCGCATCACTGGGTCCCGACAACACCGGAAACGCCATTTACGTGCCTCCGGGAGCGGGATGGACCCGCACGCGCAGCCTCGCCACGCGCGTTCTCGACCTCCCTTCTGACCGCGTACCTCACGCGCGCACGGCTCAAGCCGGACGATCCAAATTTGACAGGAAGGCGAGGCACACACTGGCAGCGGGAGCCGACCGCATCCAGGGATGATTCCCGCCTCGAGGAAGCCCCGAGTCGGTCCACCCAGAACTCAGTGCACATCGTATCAGGCTACGGTCGTCCAAGCCTGCAACCGGTGGCGAATGGGCGGCCCCGCAAGTGCGCCGGCAATCGCGATCAATTATGCGCGAAACTGCTATCAGTCAAGTTCATGTGCGGAGCTGCGATCGAGCTTGCGGTGAGAGCGAGCGGACGCACACACGGTGGGCCGACCTCGGCGTGAGCTTGCAGTGATACGAGGGCGTCAGCGTTTTGAGTTGGCTTCGAATGGTCCGAAGGCCGGGACTGGGCCGGGATGCGGGCGAACAGGCGAGTGCTGTGCAGCGATCGGCGCTGATGCGGAAGATTCCATCATGACGTTGTGCGTGGCCCAAGCGTGGCCTGCACCGATCTTCGAGCCAGGATGATTCGATGAACGAGGGCGAACTTGTCAGTGGCCAGCGTCGCATATTCGAGGGAGGTCGGCGGACGACTCGGATTGGCACAGTCGGTGCCACCGTGTATCTGCCACGTCGACGTCGCTGTCACCGGCAAAGCTCGAGGCGAGAGACAGTCGCATGATCCGAGTCGTCCTCCTCCCCATACGGGGTAAATCAGTTCGTAATCGGTGATGCCGAATTACGGGAGATGCCTTGTATGGGCACACACGCGCCTACAGCCTGCGGAAGTCGCCCTCCCTTCTGGGACGCGCCTTGACGGCGCACGAGCTTAGGCAGGGCTCGGATCATAAAATTTCGCACTGCAGGGCTTGCCAGTGTCGCCAGACGGATTTCTCGAAAGCTTGAGTACGCGTGTTGCATTGAGGCGTGGCCTGGGCTGTCGAGGTTCCTCGTCGCCTCGGAGATGCGTGCAGCATCATGCCGGCATTATCCCATACCGTGCATATCCCAATTTAGCAGGAGGATGGTCTTCCTGCGTCGGGATGGAGAAGTCAAAAGACGAAGCGACGTTACTTGAGGCTCAAGTACACGTCACGACTTCCCACCGAAAGTCTCAACTGACGACAAGAGCGTCGAGGATCGATATCAAGTTGTTGTCGCCACACCAAGTACCGCATTAGGTCTTCCGTTTGAACTCGAACCTTGGCGGGCGCGTCACGTCGAGCGATGGGGGAGTGTTTACATATGGACCAGACTGCGCTTTCCCACTCGCCTGCACGCGAGCCACGGAGGGCAGCACGGACGCGAAATCAGAGAGGTTGACGGTAACTGGCGTGATCTATGTCCGGAATCTGGCGGCGGGCGCGTCTGGCATCTGATGGTGAGACGCGGAGACACAGGAAGGTCGCGAGGGCATGCGATGGTGCATTCGTGAGGGTAGAACGTTAACTGTGCGCGCGAGAGGAGAAGGATGGGTGTGGCCTGGTCAATGTTAGTGTGAGACTGGCGAACACGATGGGACCCGGTGGATGGTAGCCTCGTTGCTACCGGACTGAAGTGTTCACCCGACGAGGAGGCTCACGCACAGAGCGCCAACTGGCCGCGGGCAATAGCTAGGGCCAGCAGGAGCCAGCGCACCCCGCAGCGACGTCGAAGAGCGCCTCTGAGTAGACGAGACTTGCATTCGTCGGGAGCAGGCACGCTTAAGGTCCCGATATCTAACCATACGCTCGAGTGAGCAAAGACGGAAGCCATCAATCCCCGAGAAGGGGGAAGCTCACGGACGTTCTTGGACTCCAAAGGACTAGAGTTCTTACGTGACGTACTGCTTCGTCCCGGGGGTCACGCATAGCCATTTCTGGCCAATATGAAGGAACTCGGGCTGCCCGCCGTGGAAGGTTTCCTTTGCGGGCACCCTCAAATTCAAAGAGGAATTCTATACGGATTTGTGGGCGGCTGCTTAGCTGACCCTTGGGAGCTTTCTGTCGCAGACAGGCCGTCCGAGTAGTGTCCAGTAGTGCACTAGGGTGGTTAGCCAAGATACAACAAGCTGTCAGAAAGGCGAATACGAGGGCAAGCATATGGACAAGGGCGCAGAGCCGGAGAGGAAAGGAGAAGGAGAGAGTGGAGGGTGACATGTGTGACATGTGACAGGAGGAGGGCGTGGTGGATCTTCGCAGGGTCGAGACAGAAGGACGCCCGGAGATGTTCGCAGCGAAGGCCGCCTCGATCCCCACGCCCGCCCAGTCTTCTCCGCACAACATGCCCAGCTGCCTAGCCTATATAGCCCGCGTCTCCCTTCCGCCGCTCGAGTCATCCCGCCCTCTTTCGGCGCGCTTGCTCCCTCGATCATCCAGCCGAGCCCGTCGGTCCCGTAGCACGAACCCACCATGGTCAATTGGCAATCTGAAACCGAGATCGAGGCCGACTCAGGTTGGGCTTCCCTTTCTGACCACTGTGATTTTGTTGGACTTGGTGGGAGGGCAGAGGCTCGCGCTGGGCCGCTGGCAGAAGCAAAATGCGTGATCCCCTGCCCTGTCCCCAGATCAAATTCAAAATCGAATTTCGCGTAGACCGTGCGCTGACACCCGTGCGTACCAGTCGCCTTCAGCAGGTTCATGCATGCGCTCCTCGGCCTGTATTGGTACGTGAAGACTGTATACTACCGTGGATGGACTATTAAGGGAATCTCGTACCAGTTGGGAGTTCTTCAGCTCCCTCCTATTCGATTGGGATTACATATCAGGCAAGCGCAAGTTCAGATGGCCAATGGTTAGTGTTCAATCCTATACTTCGGTCAGAAAAAATGGACCTTTGGCCATTTCTTTCGGCATATCTCGGGGTCTGGATGAGACCTTGATATATCTGTACAGCTTCATGGAGCACCGCGCGCTGTCAGTTTGTATTCCGACTCATGCCGTGGCTCCGTGCTGCCAGTGTCCGGGTATGTCAAGCTGCAAACTGGGAATACTGTAGACATCGTTCCGATGTTTTCAGGCCGGAGCCGCCACTTGTCATGACGGTGTCAGGACTCTGATCCGCATGGCGGACCATGTCCTCAGTTGCATCTCCTTCCTCCACAGATTGAAGTCGCATGCTGACACTGTATAGATATTCTATTTCGCCGGCAGATATTTCCTGCTGTTCGCGCTCGTTGGCATGTAAGTCCGTCCGCGGTGTACGTCAAGTCTAGTCGCTCACGAATGTTCCGTTGTAGCGCGATCGCGCTTGACGTTACCAAGTATGTAATTTGCCTCACCCGTGATCACCTCTGACACCCTTGCAGGGAGGTTAACTGCCAGGCCTTGTACACCTACAACCAGGTGCGCATATATGAGCTCCCTCGGCGATCCGGTGTGATCTAATGGGGTTTCGATTGCTCAGGTCTTTGGTAACTCGGCGATCGGTCTCGCGAGCATCAACCTTTCTATTCGCACGTACGTGTCTCTTCGCTATGGTTTATTTCATCACATGCTGTCAAGTCACCGTTGCATATACTCACATATACCCTTGTAGTATGGCTGTGTGGTCGCAGGCGTTGTACATAGTCATACCCCTCATCGCGGTCATCCTCGGGCACTGGTCGCTCCTTTTGCACGGTGAGTCGTCAGCCACTCCGCTCGATAACATTCTCAACTATGTCGATAGGTATCTATATCAAGGCAGCATGGATCTCCGGCCAAGGCTGCGCAATCACGAACACGAACAACAAGCTTCTCGCTGCCACGTTCATCTACTCCATGGCCTTCGACTTTGCCGTGCTCATGCTGACCGGGTGGAAGCTCGCGTTCCCGGGCAACAGCCGCCGGAAGCAGAGCAAGATCATGCAGCTGGTCTTTGGTGACGGTTTGATTTACTTCTTCGTTGCGTGAGTGGTCTCCAAGTGTAGACGCGCTGCGATCGCTGACTACGGCAGTGTGCAGTTTCCTGGCGAATCTGCTAGCGACGGTAGGTGCAGCTGTTAACCCGGCCTGATACAGCACTGAAGGCCGTTTCTAAGATATTCATGCTGTTGAACTTGAATGCCGTCATGTCGATCATCGCCAACGTTCCCGCGGCAATCGCGTCCACCGTGCGTTACCTTTTCTGCGTCTTCCATACAACTGACCGATCGCGCCGATGGCGAAGATCGTGGCATGTCGTGTCGTGCGCCGGCTCGCGACGTACACGTCCTCTAGTGTCGAAATTTACGGGTGTGTCACTTCCGTCGTTTTCTCACTGTCCTACTCACGCGTATACGGGATAGTTCCGGCGTAAACTCGACGATCGCGTTCAGCAGCGGGAACCGCAGCCGGACGGTCAACGCGACGGAGAGCGTGCCGTCCGACCCGAGCTTCGTGCAGTACGACGCGACGGGGCGGGTCATGAAGGGCGACGTGGAGAGCTACATCGTGGACAGCCCGATGATCGCGGGCGACGACGAGTACAAGCGGCCGGAGTATTGAGTGCTCCGCGCTGGCCATCCATCCCTTTGCTTCAGTTCCTCGCTTCGCATTCCCACTGCTTTCGTCATCCCCTCCCACCTCGCATCCGCTTTCCTCGCACCCGCATCGCATCGTCGTTCTTGGTTTCGCATCGTCGCCATGCTCCCACTCCCACTCCCGCCACCGGCAATCATCCGCATCCCCACCTGCATTCCATCCATCCATCGCGTAACTCTCGCGCTCACTTTCTTCATGGTCGCGGGCCGCACTCCCGCTGTACTAGTAGCCCATCCATCTTGATGCCTGGGGATCCGTCGCCGCGAAAAAGGTGCTGGCGGGGCGGGTGGTCTCGTCCTTGCTTATCGCCAAAGCGCTCAGGCCAGGACGGTGCCTACGTGTAGACCGGCTTCCGTAGTCAGAGTTCTGCGGTTCGATGCTGGGATTAGTAAAAATTCTGAATGTAACTCGATAGTCATACCCCGCAACAATCGCTTGGACGTTGCTGCCCTTGTCATTACGTGACGTGTGGTTAAGGAATACTTATGCCGGTGTACTAACTGGTGTGGAAGCGGGCTTTGAGGGGACGGTGGACTGTCAGACGCTCGCTCGTTGCCGTGTGCGACTCTCGGATGACGATGTGCGCGTGAACGTGCGGTCGTGGTCAAGGCTGATGCGGATGTTTCGAACGACACAGCAGTGGGCCTTCAATCATACCAAGATTTACAACTCAGAATTGATGTTCAGTAGGTGGTTGTCGACGGAGCGGTTTGCAATTCATTCCTGGGGCCTGATGCAGGGTTGATGCCCATTGCACACACGCACGCATTGTGCGGACTTTAGAAGGAAACACATTGTGCGCGATGGTCGTAGTCAAGCGTACCACGAACCACGGCAATCGAGTCATATGCACCGCGACCACATGAATGACGATATATGAGGCTCGGAATAGTCTGCAAGGACCATAGAGGATTTACGTGCCTCTGGATCCAGTCGGAGACAAGCTTTGAACTGATGCGTACGGATTTGGGCTTTCTTTTGTACGCGCGAGAATACGAACCTCGACGTGTGCATGTGAGGCGTCATGCCAATCATCAGGCATGCACGATGCATCGCGTAATCCCTGCGTCGAAACGATCGGTCAGATTCGTTCACAAGGAGATCCATTCGGAGTAAGTTCTCTGAGGCCTCACTAGTAGTAGTAGGCCTCACTGCTCAGTGATCGACGTCTAAGTTCGCCGAGATCGTGTCCCGATATAGTAGTATTTGTCCGTGCTTGTCGACTACTGTGGCTGGCGTTACAGCTCGGTGCGTGGCTGGACTTTGTAATTCAATGTACATAGACAGCCATGTCCAACTTCACGAATGAAACAGAAGGCCCATCAATGCTGCCGCCCGCAACTCCTAGGAAGACTCGACCGAGACCCATCCTCTTATCGACGCCGTCCAACTTCAAGGCGTCCGCCAGCTTCGCTTCGTCCCAAGGCGCAAGCACTACGGGGTTGAGGTAGGGCACAAGTCGCGCAGCACATATGCCCGGACTGACGGTGGACGCCGCATGTCCAGGTTGCAAGACGTGTCCCCCGGCATCGAACATGACCTCGAAACGCACCAACAGTGCACCCTGAAGAGCATGCAGACGTTCTTACTCAAATCGGTCTTGCCGGGCGAGCAGGACCTCGACGGAAAGCTTGCAAGATGCATGGAGGAGGCCCAGAAGATGAGTACGAGTCCCGAAATAGTCGAACGGGTGGAAAACCTGTGAGTAACGAGTGGAAGTCATATGGATACACGTGATCTAATACATACCACAGCCGGGATAAGTTGAGTTTTGGCGGACGTGAAAGCTCGATGTACAAGCCGTACATCGAGCTGATGAACGAGGTCCTCGCGCAATGCCGCACAGAGCTGCAGGAGTTAGGCCAACCGTCGGACCTGGACATCATATGTGTCTGCAACGATCCGAACGTAATCATCGGCAACCACGACGAACAGACCACGTATCGCAAGCCAGACCTAGTGTACATCAACTGGCGTGGCATTTTGCGGCATGGCAACCGAGCTTCAAGCTGGGAAGACGCGCGGAAATGGGTCACGGCCTCGTTCAGCGAGTTCAGCGACATTTCAATTAAACTGGGCTGGAGCCAGGTGCTAATGGCGGACGAGCTGAAGAAGACCAAGGTCAACACGGTACAGATACAGGACATTCGACTGTATACTCCGTCGAAGGGCAAGGTCGTCCCATACGCGGATCCGTCCAAATTCGTCACTGGCATGACCCTCGAGGTTCCGGCGCTGGTCTCATTGAAGGCCGACCCGTCTATTAATGGTACAATGTTTTTTTTAAATTTGACGTCTATACGAATCTGACCGTCCGTGCTCTGCAGACGCGAAGGTATTGACCGGTTCGAAGCGCAAAAATTCGTCGCAGTCAGCTGTTGCGAGTAGTTCGAAACGGCAGAAGACGAATAACGCAAATACCAGACCAACGGGGCTGACCAAAGAGAGCGATGTTGACATGAAGAAAGCGCAAGCGAAAGGGAGAGCGAAAGCGAAAGAGAACGATCCAAACCGCCCGCCCCCGATGGTGCAGATGGCCATTTATGCCTCCGAAATGCTTTCTGTGGAGGGGATGATCAGAGATCATGGACTGGGCATGCTGACCCAAGGTTTGTGTTCGTTTGCTGCTGTCTTGTTCGGGCTGACCACAACGCATACAGACGATTGGACGTGGATATGGTATTTCGACAGCGCGGGGGCGATCCAAGCGCAGGGCTTCAACATACTCGCACACACCGCAGACTTCGTGCTCGTCTTGATGTTGCTCCAGCGCTTCAAGCTCCCGCAGTGGGGGTTCCCGCCGGGGACGAACTCTGAGGCGAGACTCAACGTGGTCCGGGGTCTGGCTTTACCGCGAGATGTACCGCGAGATGAGATCCCGGCGGGACCGGCTGGTAGCACAAGAACGATGCCCGCTCAACCGGCGGCCATGACTTTCGAAGTCGTTGGAACGAGCAGGAATGGCGTGCCCAAGACCATGGTGGTGGATCCACAGTGTGTCCTCCACAAGCCCTCGCCTATACTGAAAGGGCGTCGAACAACGGTGCTTGAGGCGCAGGACCCAGACATGCCTACAATGTCTTATGTCGCGAAATGGTCATATCCCCAGACGACACGCCACAATGAGGCCGAGACGGTATGGATAGCTCGCGAAATCGTCGAGGAGATGGGCAAAGAGGTGCTGGGAACGTTGACAGACGTGGCTGCATTCAAAGACTTCGCGCATCTGTCTACAGACGACGTCCGAGGCCATCTCCGTCTGTTCAGTGACTCCACACGGTCGCTCATCGACGCTGAGCACCATGGGGAGCGCATCCTGCGGTGCATCTTCGAGGAGAAGCTCAAGCCATTGACGTATCTGGCTGGCCTCGAGTTCGTGCGGGGCATGATCGATTGCATATACTGTAAGTGTCTGCGCGTGATCTATTCGCGCGATGCACTCAACGCCTTGATAGGTCACATGCTCCTGTGGATTGGTAACGACAGGTACCGAATCGAACACACCGACATCAGCTTTTGGAACTTGGGCGTTGACCTATATTCGCTGTGCATCAGAGTGCGCGATTTCGACCTTGCTCGCGTGGTGGTAGTTGGCCAGCCAAGCATACCTCAAGGCTCGGAGAGGACGGGCACCATTCCCTTCATGGCTCTTGACCTCTTGACGGACGCCTATTGGAAGGGTCATATCGAGCGACTCTATCGTCACGATCTAGAGGCATTCGTGTGGGTCGCGCTGTACTACGCTTGGGCCTTCGACGACGAGGGACTTGAAGACATGGACTCCCCAGTTCGGGACTGGCTGACGGCCGACTACGTTGAATGCTACGACAAGAAGTCCAATTTCCTTATGTCCCGGACGGGACAGCTCCCAGATTGGAGAACTAGGACGAGCGCAGACACCCCGCTGGGATACGCCCTGTCCTTTGCCAGGCTGATTTCTCAGTGGCTATTGGGAGAGCACACACAGCGCCGGAGGGCTGCAGACCCACAGGTCGACGCTCTCGACCCATTCGCCAGGAAGAACCACCCTTCCCGAAGCCATGACGATGAACTTGAGCAGGCAAGGCGTGATTTCGATAACTTCTGGGTCGATATCGGGGCCATTCGCATCGCAGTCAAGGGCGTGGAGGCGACGCCTGAGCGGGTCGAATATTTCAAGTTGCGAGAGAAGAAGGTCGAGGAGTTGATGGTTCAGCGCAAGACGGAGGAGGACAGATTGAACAGAGAAGCGGAGGCGGAGGAAAGGGAACGGAAGAAGGTTAAGAAGGAGGCGGAGCAAGAGGCACGCGATGAGCGCGACCGGCTTCTGAAGCTGCAGCGCAAGGTAAATTCTGCATTGTAACGTTTGATCTGTAGTCTCCATTGCTATTGTACGACCGGACTTGGATGCATACCTATGGACAGTTTCCTGTATTGAAGGTGCTACGTAGATTATTTGTTGCTCATCTCGTTCACGGGCGGTGCAGGCCACCGAACCACTCATGTATAGACGGCTATGTATATAATATATCTACGGACTTACTCGGTTCTGACGAATTCTTCGTGGCGCACGCCAGGACGTGTATCACCAGTATGAGTAACAGCCATTCCGCGCGACAAGGGCCAAAACACAGCTGGTCAATGTCATTGTTGAGAAGATGTAACATGCATTATACACTTCGACGAGGACATGCAGTGCGCCGAACGAACGCTACCCACACAGGCCTACAACTGCACTGAGTACAGCGACGAAGAGACATCTAACCTGCCCACTCGTCTTTCCCGCGCTCGCCGACAGCAAATCCGGAGCTGAACGCGGCCGTCCGTCACCACAAGCAAGGTCTGAAAGAAACTGAAGTCAGCACAAACTGAAAGCTTTGCAACGAACGAAGATAAAAGGGTTCAGAGATAGCGGACACGCCTGCGAAAGCAGACAGCCCAAAGGTAGCTGAGATAGTTTTCTGCAATGCAAGGTAGCCCTTGCTAAAGCCAAATGCCTCAAACATCATGACGAGGACGCCAGCCGTCCAAAAGGTGAAAGAAGTACTCACCGACTGCGGGAAGCCGGACGTATCCCCCTTGTTGCGAGAGCGATCTACCTCGAGGTTCTGTACACGACAGATGCACACGGACGATGCTATTGACATGGCCCGCGTGGGCGTTAGGTGCTAGTGGCTTGTTCAGCCACCCCAGACTGAGTATCCTCAGGCTCAACCGAAGACTCGATGGTCTCCGCAGACTTGATCTTCCTCTTCTTGTACGGACCTCGTTTGCCTAGCAAAGTCAGTCCGTCAGACGCTGAGCAGTATACGCAGAGAACGACGCTTACGTTTCGGCGGTGGAAGGGGCTTGTATGCTAGACCAAGAAAGCTCAGCTCGTAAGGCTCCACAGTGGACATGGTGCACAGCTACGACAAACGTCAGGTTGGGCAACAGAGATAATCACGATGCTCACACCTGTCCGCTTCGCCGCACCGTCAGGCCGATCGAACGCCAGCACCATCAGCGTCTCCTCAAGCACGGGCGGAGTCCGGTCATTCTCTGGCATCCTGAAAACGAAGTTGTCGCGCGAGCGGCTGACCCAGGATCGCACGAGCGCCGTGCCAGTCGCAGGCACTGCGCCGTCTCGGCGGACGTCGTGTCCGACAACTATGGATCCAAAAGCGCGCCGGAGCCGAGTGCGCGCACAAGCCTGCCGTATCGTTCCGCTTCCGCGCCGGGTAAGGTCTTGCAGTAGAGCGTTGCGCTGGTAGCGCGGTATGTACTCTGGAGCGGGCTGGGTCGCTAAGCGGTATGCATCCGCGTCCCGCGTGCAGCGTTCACTGGCGGCGGAGTTAGGGCTGCCCGGCGGCGCATAGAGATAGAGGTGGCGAGATTGGGATGGCGAGAGGAATGAGCGACCAAAAGGAGGCAGAGAGAACGTTGGGTGACATGCGAAGTGAGAGTCACGACGGGATGCATACGATCAGAGAGCGTCGTGCGTGAGCAATCGAGACACTTACTCAGCAAATACGGTGCCTCCGTCCTCGCGCTTCTGGCCTGCCGGTACGTAGAGCACGTCCGAGTGGTCGTCTGCTGACCCAGTCGACGCTGCGCATCCCGCCTGGTCAAACGTCTGAATCTTCTCGGCATGAGTAGCGAGCGATGATGATCGAGTCTCGCAGAACTGGCTCTGCAACTCGTTCAGGGCTTGTGGGCTCTGGGGCTGAGGCGGCATGATGGGGAAGAACTGAGGGAGGCGGATCGTAAGGCTGAGCAGCACGTCTTGTTTAGCCGTCGGCCTCGGAGCTAGTCCCAGAGTGAACGCACCAGTGTTCTATGCTATTTTCCAGCTCAAACGCGAGGCTCATGAATGCGCAGAGAACGCGCGCTGCAACTTTCGGGTGGATGGCGGTCTTGCTATCGTCGCAGACTATGTCGATACCGGATTCCTAACGTGAAGCATGTCTGTTTCAACGCGAGCGACGTTGGCGGGTGAGGAGGGACTCACACTCAAGCTCTTCAGGACTCGGCCGCTCGCCATTGATGGACGTTCCATTAGAGCTCCTGCACTTGACGTCCTTAATGCGGAACTACACTACACATGGCCGGGTGTGGTGCAATTGGTGAGATTTTCCCGTCACCGCCCGCCCTGCGACGTACCTTTGCACCCTCCTCCCAGACTCGAGTAACGGCTGCTTCCGTTGTTCAGCGGGTGAAGATAGAGACAGGGGGCGGGCTGGAGAAGGGAGGAGGCAAGGCGACATGAGTCGCAGCGTTAGCCACCAGTAAGGAGGAGCATTGAATACTTAGCGCTAGTGGCTGAGCGCTGATCACCGAACGATCGAGTTGCGCGCGTGACTTGGACGAGCGCCTGTAAGTACTCGCTCTTGCTGGGACGAAGTTGTTTATCCTCCTTGAGCCCTCACTCACACCGACGTCAAAACTTGACATACTGGTGCGTCAGCTGTTTCCCATCTGAGGAAACTTTCAGAATAGAGAAAGTCGGCCAACTGACCGCGCCCCGCAGCCTCATCTGGCTATTCCGTATATGGCAGTAAGTTACATAAGCATGTACTCTCCCGAACGAAATTCAATTATCCTCCTTGTATGCCCCAGCCTCCTCTCATGAACACATCATGTACTGACTGCAATGGGTATGATATATATGTAGAAACCTGTAAAAGAGACGAATTGTGCGAGGACAACGCATAGTAGCCTTACGCTTCACTGCATGAGTCCGCACACTGTAGCACGTGATCTAAGACTCTGGCTGAGCGTGTGCGAGTGCGTCTCCCGGCTCCGCGTCTAGTCTTGTAGTATCCTCCTCGTCTTCTTTGCCCCCACACTCCTCTCATGTCGAATTCTTCACCATCTGCAACCTATGAACCCAAGTCAAGAAGATCGCGTGTACCTCGTCTGTATGTGAGTAAGCCGCAAGCCCGATCATGCCGCTGCCTCATGTTTCAGTATCCCGGCGTTATCGACGTGACGCCAGTGCTTGCCTTTTAAAGCTCATGAGCGTCACAAGACGGTATAGCTGCCAAGCGGTGTGGGACCGAGACTCCGTCCTTGTTCCAACCATGAGCTCTGACGGCTATTTTGACGACGAGCTCGACTCAGATTTCCTCAATGAAGTTGACGCAATAGAGGCTGCTCATGCATCTTCCCCGAAGCCAGCCAAACTCACAGCGCACTCAGGGTCTTCGCAGAGACCTCCGTCTCCCACACGCTCTGCAATTGAGGACTCCGAGTCAGATCTGTTTGACCGCTTTGATTACGACGTTGCCGACCTTCAAGACATCCAGGAAGGTAGGGCTGCGGCATGTCAGTACCGCGGGCCACCAATGGCAGGGCCAAGTAGAGCGGCAATGCAATGGCCATCTTCCAAGGGCACCGCCCAGACCATGTTGTTGCGCGAAGTCGCGTCTTCCAAACCCAGATCTACGCCAATGCACGGCACTCACAGCGCTCAGGCTACTCTTGCCGAGAGGAAGACCAAGCAATGGGACCACGCCCGCTTCGCCAACTTGGGTGGGCGGCAGTCGGCGGAACAGAAACCTAGGAAGAAAGGCATGGGGAAAACATATTACGACGACATGGAGGAGGAACCTGTAGAAGTGAAACGATCACCCTTTGTGCCCGTTGGGTAAGTGTACTGCACATAGCTCCCGCGCTTGTCAAAGGCTCATGTATGCTTGTACTCCGGATGTAGCCCGGTAAGAGCATGTTTTCTATGTGACTGTCAAGAAATCAAATATTCAGTCGCTGTAGCCCCAACCGATCAAACTGAAGCCCGATCTTCTGGCCGCTAAGCACTGGATCTATCCGCTTAACCACCCGAAGCGCGACTACCAGTTCAATATCGTAAAGCATTGTTTCTTCGAGAACACACTTGTGGCATTACCAACCGGACTAGGGAAGACGTTCATCGCCGGCGTTGTCATGTTGAACTGTGCGTATCTTCGCTTCTTCCCCATACTGATTGTGACACTGAAACCATTCGGAGGAGCAGTTTTTCACTGGTTCCCAGATGGTAAAGTTATCTTTCTTGCGCCAACGAAGCCCCTGGTCGCGCAACAAATAGATGCCAGCCACAAGTCATGTGGCATACCAGGTAGTCACGCTGCCGAGCTCACAGGCGAGACGTCTCGAGCGAAGCGACTAAATGCTGTGGGTGATTCCTTTTTCAGCCGTGAACGCATGTTTAACAGAGTCGTTAGTATACGAGCAAGCGAGTGTTCTACATGACGCCGCAAACACTGCTGAGCGATCTGATCTCCGAGACTTGCAACCCGCTAGATATCATCCTGATTGTAATCGGTCTGTACGCGAGTAGATGTGTTTCGCGAGAATTTGACCTGACTGCATATGCAGACGAGGCACATAAAGGTTCGGGCGAGCACGCCTACACTCAAGTCATCCGATGCATGATGGCGAAGAACCCACACTTCCGTGTCCTTGCATTGACGGCCACGCCTGGCGGCACACCCGAGGCCACGCAGGGAATCGTGGATTGCTTGCATATCAGCCACATCGAGGCTCGAGACGAGGAGAGCCTTGACATCCGCAACTACGTCCACAAGAAGGAAATTACCAAGCACCTCATCCCGATGAGTGGTGATATCCTCAAGCTGCGCGATCTCCTCATCAAGATCATGCAGGTGCGGCTGTGCAACCCCATATTAAAATGGCAAACTTACATTGCCATTCAAGCCACTCATCAAGACTATTCAGGGTCGCGGCGCAATGCATGGCTCCCCCGATCCAGTTATGCTGCACTCCTTCAGAAGTCAGGCTGCTTTAAACGAGCTTCGTGCACAACACGCCCCCATCTGGATCTTAGCTGCTGCCAGCAAATTGCAGCCGCTAGCGCGAGCGATGGGCTATCTGGTATGCATCGAGGATTCAAAATACTCCATATGCTTCGCTCACGATGTTTTGTAGTACGAAGCTAGCACGAACATGTGCTGCGGCACCTTGAACAGCTTGCTGTCCGGGGTAGACAATGAAGCGGTCAACAAGCAAGTAAGCAAGAGCCAGCAAGACTTGCAGAAAGACCGCAACTTTCAGGCTCTCATCAAGGAGATTGAGGACCAGAAGAACCGCGGCTTTTCCTTGCACCCCAAGATGGAGAAGCTGCGCACACTGCTCATACAGCATTTCGCGAACCGCATGATCGACCAGGAAGACGTCGAGGATAACGATCGAGGTCCAAGCGGCGCGGAAGATTCACGCGTTATGGTTTTCGCCTCCTACAGAGATTGTGTAGATGAACTTGTGGAGATGCTCAGCAAGGAGTCTCCTCTGGTCCGGGCGACGCGCTTCATTGGTCAAGCGACTGACAAGCAGGGTAGATCAGGCCTCGCGCAGCGGGAACAAGTAGAGGTAAGCCGGCGCGATGATTTGAGCTACCTCATGATGTTCATACGAAGGCTTCATATAGGTCATCAAGCGATTCAAAGCGGGGGAATTCAACGTCCTCGTAGCGACGTCTATCGGAGAAGAAGGTCTCGACATCGGCGAAGTCGATATGGTAGTTTGTTATGATGCCCAGAAGGCACCGATTCGCATGGTATGTAGCACGGCTCAATTGCAGAAGGAGATGCTGACGCGAGCTTTTACAGTTGCAACGCGCCGGTCGGACTGGCCGTAAGCGCTGTGGCGTTGTGCACGTCTTACTCGCCGAAGGCCGTGAAGACGGCAATTGGGAAAAGGCGAAGGAGAAATACAAGTTTTCCCAGGACTACATAGTCAACGCTGAAGAGCTCGAGCTCTATGCCGACGTTGAACGACTCTTGCCTGACCACGTCAAGCCCGAATGTGTGGAAAGGGTCCTGGAGGTCGAGGAGTATGTGCGCGAGGAGAAGGTACTAAGGAAACGCTCTCATGCAAATGCGACTGGCTCTCCGAAGGGCAAGAAGCGTAAGCGGGATGACGATCTATGACTCACTCAGGAAAACCACCGTTCCGTAACTTGTAGTAGTGCAAAGTTGAGAAACGCCCTAACGAGCAGGACACTCGGGCGTGATTCTGAACCTGATCCTCGCCTGTAAGGATGTCGAGGGTTAGGGTTCCCAAGGCAGATAGCTCGGACTTCGTAGCTTACATAAGACTAGTCGTTTTTCTTGTACCGTCACTACGCTGCGTCGTTTACCGCTATGGAACGGGATCTAACGCACCTGTGACGACCGACGACTCACCACCACCTCCAGCAACCTTACATCGCCTCTACAGAATATACTTGACCACTTGCAGATTGATCGGCCGGGCCATTGACGGCAAATTGGCGACTTTCACACGAAAGATGTTGGTGGAAGATGGCATTTACATGACGGTGTTGTGGGGAGCCCGCACTTCTGACAAGGGGGCCGTTATTGGCATGTAAGACGCCTCTTCGCCTGGCCTTCCCCGCGAATTCCGCTTACTGTCTGTACAGCGCGGACCACAATGAGGCGAACGGGGCGCCGTCTGGCTTTTCCGATCGCACAAGGCGTTCCGACTGGGACTCGACCCGCCTGTGGTCCGACTGGGATGAGTGGACGACGGCAGTGCTCGACGACAAGCCATTGGCGACGTTGCCTGGTCTAAAGGCGAGCAAGGCGCAGCCGAAATCTGCTTTTGGGGTTCTCCTGCCACTACATGCCGACACTGGTCTCCCCATTCCTCCGACCGTCGCAGAAATACAGGCCAATGCATCGAAGACCGTGCAGTGGTGGCAGCATCTTGTGCGGGAGTTCCTTACCGTGCATTACGGTGCGCTATCGACCAGCTGAAAGGCGTCAGCACTGACGCGCCATGTAGCCGCCGCCTCCAACGGAGCAAAAGAGGCGCTTCCCTGGGCAAAGCTGAAACGCCATGGGTCGCCGACTTGCCTGGATTCCAAGTTTTGGCTGAACGACGTTGATTTTGAGGACCCTTCGAAGATCAAGAAGGCGAACTGTGTTCGGCTTGTTCGCCTGTGGAGACAGTTGCAAGATGACGAGGGGGAGGACGGGGCCTTCAGGTTCCATAGCTATGTTGACGATGTTGATGGGGACGCCCGTGTCGTATCGGAGGAATATGACGCGCATGTGGCGCGGTGGGTGGAGGAAGCCCCCAATCGAGAGGCCGAGCAACAAAAGGAGGCCGCGCGGAGGCAAGAAGCGAGTGGCGAGGGCGACCCGCCCAGTGGCGAGCAAGGCGTCGGGCGGGGGCCAAATGAGACGGCAGCCTCTATGCGGAGTGAGTGTTGGCCCTCAGCTAAGCATCTATGTCTGGCTGACAATGTGGCAGAGCGACGTCCGCCGGTGAAGGCACCAAAGCGTGGGGGCCAGCCGATGTCCAAAAAGGCGAAGGGCAAGCGAAAGGCAGCCGATTTTTCAGAGGAGTCCGACTCTGACACCGACGTGGAAGCCTGGCGCGCCGCTATGGGCGAGGAAAGTTCCTCGCATGGTAGTGATGCGATGGACCGGACGAGGACCTTAAATTCTCCCCAAGAGGAATCCGACGAGAGCGAAACCGAGATTGAAGACGCCGAGCTGCTGCCGGCCTTCGCGGGCGCAAAGAGCGGCGCCTTTGGAGGGAAGGCCCCGCGCAGCATCTCGAGCGGCCAGAAACGCGTAGTCTTTCTTGCAAGTCTTAGCTCGGACCGGAGGTATACCGCTGCCGTCGTAGCTTACTTCAACGCGGCCCGCAGATTGGGCGGGCGAGGAAAACGCGTCTCCGGCTACCTACCACCGCCTCTTCCTGAGGCGCCCTGGGCTTCGTGGGATTGGGGCCAGTCGACTTTGCCCAGGGAGACCCATGCTCGCGATGACGGCCTGGCACCGCTTCTTCGATGGCTTGAGAGGAAGCCTTGGATGGCGGGGGACGTCGCAGTGTTGATAATCGTGGAGCAGGTGCTGCTGGCAGTTGGGATGGCATTGCGGGACATACACTGTAGCCATTTCGTTGACGACCCAGACGAACCACTGCCGGCCCACATTCCGCCTTTCGTCGCCCAGAGCCACCTACATTTCACCACGCATGAATCCATGCTTGCACTTATCTCTTCCATTCCTGATGCCTCGATTAAGGACGTAGACCCGATTGAGGCAACTCGAGCCCGCCGCGGCGATATCGGGACCGATTTTCGGTCAGGATCAGAGCAAGACGCGCGGAACGGACAATCCGCCTTCACGATTCAATGCAGTGGGGCTCAGCGGCTGGTCCTTGGCCAGTGGCGATATTGATAGTTCCCGTCTCGCCGTTGACGCTGCCGCTGCCGTCGTGCATACGTCGCCTTCACCTCCCCTTATGTTCGCTCCATTGCCGCCACACCCAGATGATTGGCCCTCCGTTCCCAACGAAGCCGACTTCAGCGAACTTGCTCCGGAGCAGGACGCGGGTGCACCGAGCGCTTCGGCGGACTTGAGCGCACCGAGCAGTTCAACAGGCCTGATTCAGCGCGAGCCAGAGATCGCCGCTACGGGTTCCCCTTCGACGGGCATCGCGATTCCCGCAAGCAAGCAGTGCGAGCCCGGAGGCGGAGGTGAAGACCCAGCAGGGCCAGAGGGTGACACCGCGCACGTGCGGGGTGCGAAGAAGCCGAAATCCAGCGCTCGCTCCGCGAAGAGGCCGACAGCCAGCGGCGAATCATCTGGACAACCGCGGAAGCCCCCGTCAAAGAAGCGAAGGGTTAATGACGTTCCGGCAACGATTCAGGATGGCCGACGCTCGAGTCGCTTGAGGGAAGGTGGTGAAGAACTTCGCAACAAGCAGAGGGAGAAGACGCTACTGGCGGCCGGTCGGGGGCGGCGATCTTAACAAGATGGCAGATGAGTCTTAGCACCGTGTTCTTGACATGTTTGTTTGTTTGTGATCCCTTTATTGTCACTGAGGGCGAAGCCCTATGTAGACAGTACGTGCTAATTTAATCAATCGAGTCTCGTGTCCATTTGTCGCTTAGCATCACCGTCCGCCGGAGCTTCAGGCATGTGTGTAAAGGTAGGGTGTGTATAGTCGAGTGGGGTGAGATGAGAATGGGAGTGTCGTGGTGTCTGTTCTCGGCGCCGCTTCAAGCCAGGATCTTGGCCATACAGCTCATGAGAGCTATAGACCTGTAGGATTTCGCAACCGAGTAGTCGCTTTTCCCAGGTTTGCGTAGCACGACTGTTGTGGATATTTTCCACTCCTCTGGTTAGTAGTGCAGGTCGAACGTAGCGCGAAAGAGGCAGCCGAGAAAGGGGACTAATAGATCTGCGCACCGTTTGTAAACCTCGTTGGGTGTCTTGAACTCCTTGAGGCGGTGGCAGGCAGCGTGGATCTGATGGTCCGAGACATGTGCGAATTCGAAGGCCGGGGGAGGGTAGTGTTCAGCGTCCGGGTCTGGGAGCTCGAGGTCTGGTGGGGGTTGTGGGAAGAACGTCTCGTAGAGGACGCGGCTTTTCGCCTCGTTCTCGCGCTCCAGTCGAGCACTGCCCTGGCGGTGCAGCGGTGGCACTCTGCTTTTGCTGCCATCGTTCGAGCCTGAGCGTATGTACTTCCCCACGGTCCAGATCGACTTCGCGTCGGCCTCTTCGAGCCACGCATCCCAGTGCGCCTTCTTGGCAGCGCGTACGTGTTCTTGACATATATAACCATGAGTTCATCCAGATCGTGCGATAAGCAATCTCAGTGCTAGCGTAAGTTAAAAATACATGATATAGATGCTGCTGAAAAGGCTGGGCATTATTCCCCCTGGTCCATCAATTCCTCCCCAGCCTGATTATCGGGCGCCGTCTTGCTCTCGGACTCGGAGGCCAGCTGGTCGCTCTCTTCGTCGATCTCGCCGGTTCGGGGGCGCTTCCTTCCTGAGCCCTGAGCGTTATACGTCGGACCACCGAGTAGAGGGGCGATTGGATGACCTCGCGGCTTTCCGCGCCTCCACAACGCGTCGAGCTCCGTTTGTTCCTGAGCGGTGGCCCGCGCTGCTGAGGAGGTAGATGCCGTGCGCGTACGGCCGTTTGCAACGTCGGGTTGCTCAACACTCAGAGATACGGGGGAAAGTGTGCGCGGTCTCTCCGGGAGAGACGCCGAACCCGACAAATAGGCGACGGCGGCGGGGGATCTCATGGCCCAGCCCGTGGGCCTATTCCAGCCAGGCGCTGCGCCTGCTGAGATCCGGCTTGCCGGCAGCGCCCTCTTATATGTGGGGGCTGCGTCTTCGACTGGCTCGTCAACTTCTGGCAACGGCGGAAGTAGCGAGCCCGGTGCGGGAGGGGAGAGCGTGTCGTGGGCTTTGTTCTCGTCAGCTGGACGGGGGATCGAGTCTGGAAGAGGGGCGAAAATAACGGATTCCGCGCCCTCGGAAGCGGTGGGGGACGGTGGTGATGGGGTTAGGAGGCGCACTGGAGTCAGAGGGCTCAGCGGAGCCGAGGGCACTCTGACCACGCGATTAATGTCGTCGCGAATTTTGATTTCGATCTCTCGAACGCGTTCCAGAGTCAAATCCATCGCCTGGAGTGTCCCCTCCTTGACAAGGTCTATGTCGCTGCGCAGTGTGCACGCCTGCTCGACTCCACTCCTCATCGTCGCAATGTCGGCTGAAATGTCAGCAATGACGCCCTCCAGCTGCGCCTTCTCCGCGTGAAGCTGGTTGACTTCCTCGCGAAGCTGGTTGACTTGCTGCCCCATATCCCCCGTTGTGAGAGCCAACTCGTCGCGTATCTTGTCCACCTCAGACCACGTGGGACCAGTGCTCGGCGCTGGGCCATTGGCCACCTCTTCGACCCTCGCCTGCAGCACTGCGTGCCTCTCGCTCTCATACTTGAGGAAGAGGATGATACTCGCCCACGCGTCGGCAGGATTGAATGAGGCCTGCGGCGTAGCTACACCCTGCGTCGCCAGGAACCGGATGTAACCCTCCGCCTCCTGCCTTGCCTGTAAACTCAATGGTGCGGGAACCGACGGCGTGGCCGACGTCTGGGGCACAGACAGGGAGGGGAGG